TTTTATAAATAAGTTTTTAATTAATTATATTCTTAAGAATAATATTATTAAAAAAATAATTATTTATAAAATAAATTTTAATGCTTATTTATTTATAAAAAGTTTTAATTAAAAATTAAATAATTTTATTAATTAATTTAATAATAATTAAAATAAAAAAAATTTTATTAACTTATTTTTTAATATATATAGCTTTTTTTTATAAATAAGCATTATAAATATAAATTAATGCTTATTAATCTTTTTTTTTAACTTAATAAATTTTTTAAACTTTAGCTTAAAAGTTTTTTATAAATATAAGAATTAAACTTTTTATATTCTTATTTAAAAAAATACTTAAAACTTTTTTATTTTCTTTTATAATTATATTAAGATATATTAATATAATTAATATATTAATTAATATTAAGCTTTAATTAAAATTTAAAAAAAATAAAGAAATGCTTTTAAAAGCTAATAAGTACTTTTAAAAAACTTAAGCTTCCTTAAGTAAAGCTACTTTAAAAAGCTTTTAATTCTTTTATTTTAAATTATATATTATCTTAATATTATTAAAAATAAAATAAATATAAAGATATTTCTTTAATTATTTAAATATTAAGTTTATATTTAAGAAAAAGAGCATTTTTAAAAAAATATAATATAAAATATTAAAAGCCTTATTATTAATAATAAAAAATATAGCTTTAATTTTATTTAAATTAATATAAACCTATTTTTTTATAATTTTAATTAAAAATAAGAAATCCTTATTATATATTATTAAGTTTATATTATTAAGTAAAGTATATAAAAATTTATTATATTTATAATATAATAAAAGTAAGAAATTTATCTTAGCTTTAATATTTAAAAGAATAAGCTATAAAAAGTAATTATTTACCCTTATATAAATTATTAAATAAGTTAAATTAAAATATCCTTAATTAACTATATTTATAATAAATATAATAATAAAATTAACTTAATATTAAATAATTTATAATAAATTAATTAAAGTATTAACTTTAATATTATTTTTAAAAAGCATAATTATATTAACTTTAAAAAATAAGTTTTTAATATAATTCTTAAAATATATTAATTTAAAAAGTATTTTTAATAAAGTATGCATTTTAAATTATATTATTAATAAGTGCTTAATTAAAATTAAATTAATATTATTAAGCATTAAAATATTTATAATACTTATTTTAATAATTATAATTAAAATTACTTAAATTATTTTTTTCTTAAATAATAAAAGTTATTAAATATATTTTTTTAATTTTAAGTTTATTATATTTACTAAGCTTACTTTTATTATAAAAAACTTAGCATTTTATTTTTAATTTTAATTTTAATTAATAAATAAATTTTTTCTTTTCTTTATCTTTTTTTTATTTCTTAATTATAACTTATTATTAATAATTTAAAATTAATTATCTTTTATTTTTTTAAAAATTTTAAATTAAACTTAATTAATCTTTATAATTTTTATAACTTTATTTTAATCTTTAATATTTTTAGCTATATACTTTTTCTTAATTATAATAATATTTATTTAAAAAAGCTTATTATTATTTATAATTATAAGCTTTTTTTTAATATAAATTATATAATTTATAAAATTTATAAATATTAAGATTAAGCTAACTTTCTTTTAATTATTAAGCTTTTAAATTACTTTTAAAATTCTTAATAAAGCCTTTTCTTTAAATAAAGAATTTATCTTAATAAGCTTATAATATTTAATTATATAAGGTAAATTAAATCTTTTTTTCTTAAATAAAAACTTTAATTAATTATAAATATATTTTTTAAAATTATAATTATTTTAATTATAATATAATTAAATATAAATAAAATTTAAATACTTTAAAAAGCTAGCTTAAGTATTTTTAAATAAATTAAAAAATATTAATAACTCCTTTAGCTTAAAAGCTATTAATAAGCTATTTAAAAAAAGTTACTTAAGCTTATTATATTAATATATATTATAATTTTAAAAAGTATAATTATAATAAACTTTAAATAATTTATTTTTTTAAAAAAAAGCATTAAAACTATAGCTTATACCTTATTATTATTAAAATCTCTTTAATTAAGTTTTATTAAAGATTATTAAATAAAATTTATAACCTTTAACTTAATTATTTTAAAATTACTTTATTATTTATTATAAAAAAAAGCTTTAATATTTTATTAAAATAAATTAAATTTATTTTTAAACTTAATTAAATTAAATTTTAACTTTATAAACCTTTTAATAAGTTTATTTATATTTTATAAATCTTAATTATATCTTTTAATAATATTAATATAATTAAATTTAAATAAAGATTATTAAGTTTATAAACTTTTATTTTAAAGATAATTTAAAAAATTAAAATTATTTTAACTTTTTTAAAAAAAATTTAATCTTTTTAAATTAAGTAAATTTTAATTAAAATTATTTTATATAAATAAATATTTATTTTACTTAAAATACTTAAGTTTTTAATTAATAACTTTTAATAAAGTATATTTAAAGTTTAGTTAAAAAATATTTCTTATTAACTTATAAATAATTTCTTTCCTTATTAATTATTTTTTTTAAATATAATAAAAGCACTTTATAAAAAAGCTAAGTTATAATAAAAGAAATATTATTTATATTATTAAATTCTTAATTATATTTTATAATTTTCCCTTTTTATATTTTTAAATTATTATAAAGATTATTATAAATAATATTTTTAATAATTATAATTAAGTTTATATAATAAGTTTAATTATTAAACTTATAAAAAGTAAAAAGCCTTTTTTTTAATTTTTTTAAATAAATTATTTAATAATAATACTTTTAATTATTTTTATTAAGTTTAAAGTAATATAATATTATTTAAATAATTTTAAGATTTAATTATTTAAGTAAAAATATTAATAAGTAATAATCTTAAAATTATTTAAAATCTTAATAATATTAATTTTATTAAACTTTAAGATATTTAAATTATAAATTATAAATAAAGTTACTTATAATAAAATTATTATATTAATAAAAAATAAAACTTTTAAAATATTAATTTAAATTCCTAACTTATTATTAATAATAAATTATAAAATTTAATTAAAGCAAGGTTAATGCTTTAATTAATAATAAATAAAATTAAATCTTTCTTTTTTCTTAATAAGTTTCTTAAAATTCCTTTCTTAACTTTAAATAAAAAAGGATAAATAATTTTTAAAGTTTAAAGATATTTTTAAAATAAAAGTAAATTTAAAAGGGCTTTAAGCTTAAAAATATAAATATATATATTATAATAATTTTTATTAAAATAATAATAAGATAAAGAAACTTAAAAGTAATAATATTTTTAATTAAAGTAATTATTTTTAAAGAATTTATTTTTAATATTATTATAAAATACTTAAATTAAAGTTTAAAAGATAAAAGTATTAATAAATATAATAAATAAAATAAATTTAATAAAAAATATTTTATTAAGAAATAAAGATTATAAAATTATAATAAAAAAAGCCCCTTAAATTTATATTTAATGCCTTACTTATTAATATTATATTAAATTCTTAATAAATTAAACTTAAATTTAATTAAAGCTTAAATAAAGTTATACTTTAAGTTTAAATCTTTTATATAATTTAATTAATATAAAAATATATAATATAATGCTATTTATTAAACTTATAAATAAATAAAGTAAGTACCTTAATTTTATATTATAGCCCTCTTTATTTTAAACTTAAGGTTATAATAATAATAATAAATATTAATTAAAAGTTTAAAATATTTTTAATTAATTAATATTAAGTAATATTTATAAAGTTTAAATTTATTATTTTAATTTTAAGTTTATATTATTATTATATTTTAAGTATAATTTTTAATAAGAAACTTAAAATAAGTTTAAAGCTTAATAATATATTAATATAAAACTAAGATAATATTTTATTTAAATATTAAAAGTATAAAAGGTATTTTAAGATTAGAAAATAATTTTAAAGTATTTATAATATTATTATAAGTTTAATTATATTTAATTTTTTTTTATAATAAATTAAAGATAAATATAAGCTTTAATTAAAGCTTTAAGCTAATATATAAAATAATTTAATAATATTTAATATAAAAATAAAAAAAATAAAATTAATAAATAATTAGCTTATAGCTAATTTTTTATTTTTTTTATTATTAATTAAAAATATATAAAATTAAAATTATACTTAAGCTAAATTATTAATAAAAATAAACTATTTAAATAATAAGAAATAGGTTTTATTAAATCCTTTTAAGGATAATTTAAAGAAAAGCTTTAACGCAATAAAGAAGGAAAATAAGAATAAAAGGGAATTAAAGAAAGAGAAAAGATAAATATTTTAAAAATTCTTAAAAAATAAGAAAAGCTTAATTAAAGCATTAAATATATAAGAAAAGAGAAGAGTTAATTTCTTAAAAGAATATTTAAAATAAGCGTAAAAGCTAGCTTTTTATAGCCAGCCAAAATTCAGCGCGATACCATTTCTTACGTAATTCCCTGCACCCGCCAACAATATATATTAGGGTAATATATAATTTTAAATAAAATAAAAATAAAGATGTAATTATTATTATTTTTAAAATTAAAAGAAATATTGCTACTTTTTTTAATATAAAGATTAAAAGCTTCCCTTACTATAAAGATATTATAAAAGAGAAAAGTAAACTTAATAAAAAATTTATAATTATTAAAGATATGCTTATTTACATTAAAATTTAAGAGAATAATTAAATAACCAACTTAAGCGCCCTTTATAGCCATAAAGGCTAAAAGCAAAGGGTTGCTAAGGCTTAGAAAGTAAAGTATTTATTTAAAGAAGAGGTAATAAATAAAAGGTAGAAAAGGATTAATATTAATAGAGTAGGGTAGGGATGCAAAAAGTTATTAAATAAAAATAAAAGGGTTATTAAATAAATTAAGAAGTTTTGCAAGGATAAAAGCATTATAAATATTAAATATAAAAGCTATTAAATAAAAAGAATGGGTATAGCTAGCTAAAGAGGGTAGGTGCGTAATATTAAAAGCATTATAAATAACCTTAGCAAAGTTACTATAATTAAAAATAGCAGTAGTAATAAAAACTTTTTTATTACTATCCTTCTTATTATTAACAATAAAATCCTTTAAGGAGCTAGCCTTATTAATAATAGCCTTTTCCTTTTACTTAGCTGCCTACTTTACCTCTTTCTTCTTATATTAATTAAGCTTTTAATTAAAATATTTAATAAAGTAATGATTCTTATCATAACTCTTTTATTTATACTTAGCATAAGTATAGATAAGGTTTAAGTTTTTTTAATTACCCTTATTTTAATCCTTATCCTTATCCTAATTTAAGATCTTCTTAGGCTTAGGGGCTTGGAGTTAAATATCCTCTTTTATAAAGAGGAAATAAAAGGAGAGGAAATGCATATCTAAAGCCGCGTTAGGTTCTTTAGCGTAGTCCTAATCCCATTTCTTCCTAAAGGAGGCATAGGTTTTAAATAGGTTATTTAAAATGTTTAAAGCAAGAATAAAGTTATTATATATGGTTATTTTAATATAAATAAGATTAAGTTTAAGCTTATAATGCTAATTAAGGTAATTAATTATATTCTTATAATTAAAAAGCTTAAGTTTATAAATGTTATTAAGTAATTGCTGCTTAGCAAATTTATTAGTAATGCCATAAATTTATTTAATATAACAAATTATTAAGTTTAAAGTGTTTATATTTTTATCTTATATTTTAGTAATAATAAAGGATAAAACGGAGTTAAGGATGATTTCTTTCATAAGCTAAACCTTTTCCTGCTATGCTTCCCACTTTTTAATATTAATTTGCCAGCTTATAAGCATTAAATTAAAATCAAAGGGTTCATAAGCTTCTTTTTTATTATTTATAATTATTTCAGCGGTATCGCCCTTAGCTGGTATAAAAGGAGGGGTAGCTAGCATATAAATAAAATAATCCTGCATTTTCAGCTTAAAACAAACCGGCTCTTTATTAATAAGCAAGTTTTAAATGCCCTTAATTTTATAAACTTAATTAAAGTATTAATATTAATTAAAGTAGTTGATCTTATTAATAAGTTTATAAGCATAAAGCTCCTTTTTAACATTAATAAGGGGCGCTATGCTTTTAAATAGCTTAGTAAAGCAAAGAAGGTTAAGATAATAATTTATAGAAATAGGGTTAAATTTAATAAGGATAAGGAGAGTTGGAGAACTGGAAATGCTGGTAAAAGTAGATAAGAAAAAATCTAGTTGTTAAGAGGGAGTTAAGGGTTTGAAATACTTAGGCAAAGAAAAAAAAATAACTTTAAGAAAGCAATTAAACTTAATAACGTTTTACCATAGTAAATAAAAGGAATAATAAATCTATTAAAGATAAAATAATGCTTAAAGAAATAAGATAATTTTAAAAGAAAATTAAGCAATTTAATTTAAAGTTAAAAATAAAGGTTATAAAGAGAGTTGCTAAATAGTAAACGCTTAATATATTAAAATATTAAGTAGGTTAATAGGTAAATGCAATTTAAATAAGTTAGCAAGATATATTAAATGTTTAAAGATAAGAATAATTAAAGTAATAACTTAATAAGCTAAGATAAATTATAAATAATATAAAGTATAAATATAAAGAAGAATGCTCTTTTTAAAAAGAAGAAGGAGTTATAAAGCGAAATTAATTATAAGTAGAAATTATAAAGATTAAGCTATAGGTAGTAGCTTTAAAACCTAAAGGAAAAGAAGCTTATAACCTAAAGCTTTTTAAAAGATATATATATTTAGCTTATAGGCTAGGCTTTCCAGAAAGATATAAGAGGCGATCTCAGTTTCTAAAGTAATCATACACTAACAAAGATCACATCTCATAAGTGAGAGGATGAGACTGATGTCTTTGAGTCCCTACAAACAACACGCTTGAAGGGTCCGCGATGGAGCAGGTCACGGTCGACGGTGAGACTTACTTGGTCAAGGAAGGAACGTCAGCAGATGACATTTACGTGTGGTGGAGCAAGCCCTCCGCGACGGGGCTACCTGTTGGGATCGAGTACCGTGGAGGTAACTCTGCGGATGCCAATGCAGCGCTAAGGGTGGACTCGCAGGTTCTCTGATCGCAGGGAACCATGCTTGATGGGAGCTGCTAATGGGTATATGATTAAGTAGGGTTTTCAACCAAGGGGGGAGGGGGGGCGCGGCCAATCTGTGAGGTAGAATGTAGCAAGTGTTGTGATAATTGCGCATGGAGTGGACCTAGCTCTTCGTCCTCATAGTTCATTTCTTACCACAGTATCAACAGAATGTTCGAGCTATCTAAGGGTATGCGAACAGATGCTTTTATACTGTACAGGCAGTGAGCAATGCCAATAACACTCAAATCACTCTACAAATTAATTACCCGGAATGAAAACTAATGTGACATGAGCTCATGGCTAGCTGTAGATTTGAAAAGAGTCTTCAATTATGGGGGAGCATTACTAGCAAGGCTGGGTTGTGGGAGTACTTCAGTTAATCGAGGAGAGGAATGAATGAGTTTGGAGTTTTTGTGATCCAAAGCAACAACCGAGGTATACTTGTCAAGAGAATATAATTGCAGAACACTCAGCCCCTGTACTTACATTTCATGTAAAACCGGTCGGCTGGCGCAATGGTAGCGTGTATCACTCCTATTAAAGAAGCGATGATGAGGTTTTGGGTTCGAGTCCCAAGTCGATCGACTGGTTCTCTTTTTGCCGAATTTGATCACAGTCCATCTGTCAGCTTAGTTCGAAGGCTGAAAACTTGCTTGTTTTCTATCCTAGCCGCTTCGAACAGGGGGAGCGATGCGTTTGCCGAGATTTGGCAAGCTATTTGTTCATGCTCCTTGAGCTTGATCGGAATACCACCCTGCTGCTTTAGCTGCTTATAGAAGTATGTGCTATAGGCTCGCCTCAGCGCTTACCCTTGTCTCCATCTTGTGGATCTTTCCGGAATCCTTCGCTGCCTTGAATTTCCCTACTTGTTGATAAAAATTAGCGTGGTCACCCAGCTGTCCTTCATTGTACCTTCCTCAATCCAATACGATCAGCCACAATGGCATCAAAAAACAGCCCGGGTCCTTGTGACCGGCGGCAGTGGATTCGTCGCCATGGAGCTAATCTCGCAGCTACTCGTCCAGGGGTATGCCGTCCACACAACTGTACGAAGCCTACAGAACACCACCAAGGTTTCGTGCTTGCAGGATTTGAAGGCACAACATCCAGAGGGGAAACTGCTTCTTTTTGAGGCTGACCTCCTGCAGCCAGGCTCCTTCCACGCGGCCATGCAGGGCTGCGACGTCGTGTTTCACGTTGCCTCGCCATTCAAAGTGCCTGAAAAGATCAAGGATGGCAATTCAGAGATGGTTCAGCCAGCACTCCAAGGGACGAGGAATGTGCTCAAGGCTGTCGAGGATACACCAAGCGTGCAGCGGGTTGTGTTTACATCGACGAGTGAGTCTGCCCTTGTCCCACTGCGCTGGCACGGACCGACAGCGTCACTGACATGCCCAACAGCTGGCGCCATAGCAGGCGACTACAAGGATGTCATCGACAAGATGCGAGTGATGAGCCATGATTACTTCAACGAGACGAGCACTGTCAAGCATAACCCCTACCATTACTCCAAGGTTCTCGCGGAAAAGGAGGCCTGGAAGGTCTTTGAGGAGCATCAGCAGTCGGTGCAGCGACGCTGGGACCTGGTGGTCATTTGCCCCGCTTTCGTGCTCGGCCCAACTCGCACATCATCGTCGGAATCAGGCAGCCTCTTCCTCATGGACGAGCTTCTTTCCGGTCTGATGTTCTACGGTGTGCCGGACTTGTCATTCCTCCCGGTCGACGTGCGGGACGTCGCCGCTGCGCATATCAAGGCTGCCGAGCTCAAGGAGGCGTACGGTCGTTACATCGTTGGTCCACCCAAAACAACAACATTCTTGGAGATATCGAAGCACTTCAAAAGGCTCAGGAAAGGCACACCATGGCTGCCCAGTTTTCAGCTTCCAACCGTTTTGGTAAGGATTGTCGGGCCATTGTTCGGCTTGTCACAAAAGTGGATGGCTTCCAATCTTGGGGTCAAATTTGCCGTCGATAACACCAGAAGCATCAGCGAGCTTGGGCTGAACTATCGAAGTCTAGAGGAGACACTAAATGACCACTATGCATCGTGGGAGAAACATAAGAGAAAGAGCAAGGCAAAAACGAGTTAATGGCCTGGACGCCATCTTCCGTATCTTAACGCCCCTCAACGCCCCGTTACAAACGCCGGTGCTTAATGTGTCGACATAGGAGATAACAAAAAGGAAACGACAGCACAAGATGCTGCAGTTTGCCACAAACCTGGCAGTGCCGCTCAGTTCAGGATCTCCTGGTATCCGCTCTTCTCCCTGGCATTCGCCAACTCGGCCTCATCAGCCAGCTTCCATGGCTGGGCATATCTGTCGTATGAGCCCCAGCCAGCATCACTGTTCAGCACCTCGCTTCCTCGAAGGATGACACGGTACTCCACGTGTGGTGCTTTAGTGCGCCTGAGCTTCCTCATCATCCTACACCACCTCTTGCTGCACTGCTTGCCAGTTCCCGCATCAGTCATCTCGCCTCCAGGAACTTCCAGGAGCACGACAAGCTTGTACTCCCTGCGCCGGAACGCGTTGCTGGCGTTCTCAGTGCGATCCCTGATCAGCTTGTAAAGCTCGTCCTGGACCGTCCAGTCGAGGCTCCTCAGACGGGTTTCGACATCCTTGTCGTAATTCCCCGACCTGAAGAGCTTTGGCTTGTGCTGATCTCGCACACAATACACCACCTCGGCAAGCTCCTTCTGGCCATATTGCGTCTTTGGCTCGATGGACATGACTCGACCTGGTACAGTCGTGGTGTTTTTGAGCAGATATTGAAAAATGCAGAAGCTCTTCAGCTGAGGACTGACGTGCACTGTGGGCCGATGATACGCCAGAGTCCAGGACTCGTATATGGTCTTCGTGGTAGCTGGCAGTTGTCTGATTTTGTGGAGTCAGTGACCAAGGAACACCACAAAGACGGATGCAGAGTCAAAACCTACAGTTCGCGGTTCTGGCAAGTTATGCTAGCGCACTCGCAGTGCTCAAGCACACCACATCGACCCGTTTGCACACCAGTTGTTATTTGCCTCGCATCGTCGTGGACAGTTGTGGCGTCGTCCTCGGTGATCGTCATTGTGGGTTTGTGGATCAAGCTAGCAGTGCTGCCGTCGTCGCGGAAGAAACCCATAATTGACTGTTGCAGCGTGCAAGTGTAGCCAAATCAGCAGTATATGTGTGTGTGCGCGTGTGGGACGGGGCGGGTTGATCTAATCGCAGTGTTGGGAATCATCAAAAGAAATCCACCCGCATTGGAAGGTGGAAGTGAAAACGAATATACTCTTTCAAGCTTTATAATTCCCTTCGATCAACTACGCCCCTCGTTGGTTTCTATTCTTCGATGCCCGGCCCAAGATGGCCTTGTTTGGCCGGGCTTGCCATTGAAAATCATGTTGGCCGTGGTTGAAACGGGTCCCGACCGACCCCAAGGAGCGGCATAGCGTCGCGGTTGGCCGGATGCGGGCCGTTTCCTTGCGTCAACGAGCCAAAAATAAGCACCCGCGATTTCATCCCGAATCCAGGCTTTGGAAAGTATCGAGGTACTTCGCTGACACACACGTGCCCAGCCCGGCCAGCAGATCTGCGGCTTTCCCACTGGCCTAAGTGCTTACCCGCCTGCGAGTTCGGCGTGTCAAGACCGTTTTGGGCTTCCGCAAATCGAAACCAGCACTCTTAGAGTTTGATCCATGAGGACTATTAGGCTGGCCTGCATCTCAAGAGAACGTCACAGCTTGTCAGACATTCTTATCTCATGCTTGAGCAGCGATTTCTCCAGACTCATCCATTCAAGTTTTACTCGCCGCATTTGATCTGTTTGACGAACAACATCGGCAGTTGACTGCTTTATTTATACTAAGCAGTGTGTGCGCCGATCTGAGATTTGCAGTCTGTAATGCTACTGCCAGATTGACGGTGCTGATTGTCTACCTAGGTATACTTGTAGGCATATGTCTTGTGAATTGGCTCTCTGGATCTTTTCAAATGATAACCTGATTGCTGGGATGTTCTCAGACCTGCCGATTTACCGAATCAAATTCCACTTGCAGGATGGCTCGGGGTCCATTGCTACAGTGCTTATACTCCTTTTTGCTCACGCATTTGGAAGTTGACCAGGGTGAAAATATTTGCTGGTTCCAAGTCAATTGAGACTGGCCAGAGTTGAACATTGTCTCATGAGCAGGACAGATATCTACATTGCGTGAAAATGATAGTGAACAAGAAGTGAAGAACCGCGTCTACATCCTCAAGGACATGGATCCCAATGAAACTGACGCCACCAGTCTTTAACTGGCCCACATATTTATGTGCCTTAGTATGCCGCCTCGCCGATCATGTTTCCTGGCTCAGTATACCTAGCAACGACGTAGAAACCACCTGCTCCGTCAGAAACTGCCGCGATGCCCACCTTGGAGGTGTCCTTCCAGACGACTTGAGCTATTTCACGACGGCAATGATTAGCGATCTGATGAATTTGTGTCGAGTGGAGCCCAGGTGACTGTAGGAATGCTTACTGTAGTGACCAAAGTTCATGTAGTTGCTCTCGGTGATTGTCTCCCCGTTGTACTCTGACTTCTCGCCGATCCACATGTTTGCGGCGTTGGTCATCGGAATGTCGTCACCACTGCTGCCCTGCCAGTAGAGGTTCTCGCCCTGGTCCGAGATCTGAGAGTGCTCGAGCGTGCCTGCGCTGCCGTATTGAGAGACCAGCGTCTCGCCGTACTCCTGGGCGTTGGAAGCCAAAGTGTCATCCCAGACAAGTGCTGCGGTGCCAACGTCGCTGCGTGCCGCGTTGTGGGCGTCGAGTGCCTTTTGCGCATCGGAGGACAGGGATGAGTTTGAGGACGAGGAGGAGGTCGAGGCGACACCGGAAGCGGACGATGTTGGCGTGGCGGACGGAGTCGAGGCCGCAGCGCCTGTGTCCTGGCCCCAGGAGCCCCAGTTGCTCCAGTCGAAAGGTGCACAGCTAACGCTGGGAGCGAGCAGCGCGGCTGCGAGGACGGTCTGGATGGAGATCTGCATTGTGGCTTTGAGGTTTTTGGGTCACCTGGACTGATGGTAAACGAGTGGATGGATCCTGTCCGGAGAAATCTTTGGGGATGAGTGGGAAGATCTAATTGACAACCAGTCATCGTGAGGTGAATGCCATAGATATATATCATGTAGAGTCGTAGGGCAGCATCGAGCCCATGTGGGTCATGTTTGAGTTACACGCCTTAATTCTGGCCCCTGGATGCCCAGCCCTATGGGGACTGCGGGACACTCTAAAAGACCGGACGAACTGTATTTCAGAAACTTCTGGGGCTTGTTAAACACAATCAGGGAATTGATCCCGCGTTTCAAGCATATGAATCTGCCGAAGAACAGTTACGTAAGATGCCCCAGTAAACATGGTCCGTTCAGGTCTAGACGTGAGATGGCATTTCAATCCGTCACACTTGCCGTCGTCACTCCCGTGCTGAAGGGTGACGCCACGTGCATACATGGTTTCCCAGTAATTAAGCACAATTGAATCAATGCACTGCCTAGATAACCTACAGGTCGGAGGCAAAGGTCTCAGACCACTGACCTGTGTAGAAATACAGACTGGTCATCCCGGGTTCGAAGGAGCGGGCTGGCTACTGACAGGGTGTGTGCTTTTCTTAATCAAAGCTTCTCCTTTTTTATTCGAGCACGACCCACCTTGACACGTCGATTTGGCCGAGTAGTTCCACCACTCAATACCCTCGCCGCTGTGACGACGAGTTGACAATGACGGTGTCTGATGCAGACATTTCCGACGCTGCCACTTGCCCTGGTGTCATTGCCTGGCTCTTCTCGGTGCAACACTCAAGAGTTAAAGACGAGGGGTCAGAGTGGTTGAACGAAAATGGTCCGTAGGGGCACTCACGTCTGTAGCTCTCACTGCAATTTTATAGCTGATTTTGGGTCGAAACTCAGTGTAGCGGATTACCGGACTTGACCGATCCAGAGGGACTAGACATGCCCTGATTCTGGATACAAGTCATTGCCGTCCAGTCCGCCTGGCTCTTGCACCATGCAACAGTCTTATATGGGTCCATGATGCCTCGGCGGCTAGCCAAAGCCTGTCTAGGTATACGTCCTGGGTACATATATAATTCTGTGATCATGCCCACGTTCCGTTCGCGCCGCCAAAATACCCAACCGTTGGCATCTGCAGCCACGGCGTGCCAAGACCATCTGCTGTGTTCTGCCAGACGGTGTTCCCCCACCAGTCAGGGAATTGGAGGTTCGGTCCATAGGTAACTGAAGTTTTGTTAGGTCCTATTCCCCATTCTCACACGAACAAGAACTGCGTCTCGTAGGAAATGGGTAGAGGGCCTCTGGAAAGCTCCAACAGTGCCAAAAGACATTCATGTCAATCACAGCAGGAAGCCTGCTTTAAAGGTGTCAAGAGGAAGCGGGACTCGTAAAGCAGCGACTTACTGGCAAAGAATATGACGATGCCCGCAATAGCGAGGCCCGTGTCCAGGGCGGCGGCAAGGACATAATTATACTACCAAAAAACAGGGGGCCGTCAGTACAAAACCATCATGAAACCCCCAAAATTTACCTTTCGAGAGCAGGCATATTCAACTTACTTTGGTCCACCAAGCCCTAAAGCGGCTAAAGATAATTTTGTTGAATATGAGATTCACCAGGTACCAGGAGCTGAAATTCACCCCTGTCGCCGGTGGAACGTTGTAGGTGCCGACAAAGATCAGCGGCCAGTTGATCTTGCGGGCAAAGTCAGACTTCGTCTTCTTGAAGATGTAGTACGTGATCGGGGGCAAGATGAGGCCTATCCAGAAGAAGTGTAACAGCCCAGAATAGATCTTTCCGGCTGAATAGAGACGGCCCGGTCCAATGAGACCCCAAATTATTGAGGATGAGTAGACTGTAAGCCCGTTAGGGCAGGTAAAACCGTTTGGCTGATCCGAGGTGCAGATGCCCTCGACATTTCCTAGCATCCATAAGGTCACGCCGACCTGGGTTAAAGCACCGAGGATAGTAGCGATACCCTGTGCAAAGAACAAGGTCCTCAAGGGAATCTTGAGGTAATGAGCGAGCTTCATATCTGAGGCGAAATAAAGGCCTTGACCGACAACGTCCGTTGAAAGTATCTTGAACAATATGTTGGCTATTGGTTTTCCTTGGAACAGGTAGCCTCCAATGAACTCTGACAGAACATTGACCTGATTGGCATCCACATTCGTCACGCCTTGAATCATTCCGCATGGTATCATGTAGACCGCAGGGATGATGAAGGCGAGGAAGATGCCGTAGACTGGAAGTCCGGTATGGTAGACCTCAGTCATCGCTATGGACATGGCGCTGCAAGTCATCAGTAAGTGGCCTTGAAACCCGCACAGGTCGCTTACAGGACAATAACGATGATGGACAGGAACCACCAGAACGGCACTCTCTTGTATGCTCTCATCATTCTTGAGTGGACATCAAGCTTTGTTGAGCCCCGTAGAGCATGTACAAGCTCACCCCAGTGGAAAAAGTAAACATGTGATAGTACCGATGTAATGGATGCAAAAGACAACCCGTATACAAAGGCGAAGGTGGCCGGGAGATACGGAGGTGAATAATCCTGGTATTTGGCCTTGTCGAAAAGTTGACCAGTGATCACCTTGGCTGTTCGTAGTTGTCAGTTCGAGATTTCCATTTTTTTGGCCGTTTCAGGCGGTACTTGGGAAGGTCTCTCTGACAGGTGTCTCATGACCCGCAAAATGAAGCACATGAATCTTTTCCCGTGAGATGTCTCGTGACAAAGCTTCGAAGACGCCTTGAGTAACAGACAGGAGGGTGTTTAAGGGAGGGGGGGGGGGGAAGCCACTCACTAGAGTCGTACACCTGGCCGAATCGATCATATACATCTGCTGTACAGAAGGGCAGGTGTGCGGTGAACCAAGTGTTTGTGTAGTAAAGAGCTGGAGTGACGACCCAAAAGAATAGGGCAAAGCCGAAGAAGACGTTTGCAGCAGCCCAGTGAGGGCTCAGCAAGGGGTTTGTGTTGTAAGCGACCATGGACCAGTCCAATGTTAGAGGGAAAAGCCCCATCCCAGTCACCATACCGAACACTTGATTAACCACAATGTTGTCGGGCACGATCCAGCAGATCCAAGTGAAATAAGACAAGCCAGTCCACATCAAGCCTGGGAGCCAGTACCAGATGAATGCGCAGCCCCCCACAACCATGAAGAACCTGATGCGTGACATCTTCCAGCCGTCGGCTACTGCATTAGCTCTCGAGTGCAACGAGGTCAGCAGGGCCACATTGCTCAACACACCCGGCCAGATCATGCTCGCCTAGACTCTGTCAGTTGCTAAGCCCCACTTCTGCAGACATGGAACGACGGCTTAGAAGATGACCGCAGAAATCTTTTGGGGTCTATCGCTTGTCCGACGTCAGGATTGTGTGTTGTCTTACCGGTTCAACAAGCCACCTGGCACTCAATCCCGCGACGCCATAACCTAGGAGCTGGCAGCACAGAACGACCATGACACTGAAGCCAGTCTGCAAGGCAAAGCCGTACAGCTTGGCTGCCTGGATGATGTTGGTCGCGTCGGCGGATCCAAATCCAAAAGACACATTGGACATAATGGTAACAAGGGCATGCTCCTTGATGTTAAAATGCCTGTCGGGGTTCAGGCGGCTGATAGGCAGCAGATGCGCAAGGAAGACACCGATGGGGTAGGCGATAAGCTCCGCAACAAGTGAGACTATATGAACACCCGGATATCGTAGACCAAAGAATTGATTCACACCGGCACCGAGGAAAACAAAGACCTAGTGTTGCATCAGCCTCACATCTGTTGGCGGAGGTGAACGGTACAGTTCCGTTCTCAGCTTCGACGGCACGGCGACCCGAGGCCAGCGAGTCCAGGTTTACTCACGATGCCGAGGAACCAAGCCCTAAAGGTGTTGACAGGCATTTCGGGGTCATCCGTCTCGGGGACGACAGCGCGGACGGCTGGGAAGGGGCTCGTATCGGCGTCCCAGTCTCCTTCGACATCATCCTCGCCGATGACCCGAGACAAATCGACCTCGAGCTCGATGAGATGGCCGTTGAGAATGTCTGACCCTGCACCATCGTGGGTATTGTGAGATTCCTTCCCTGATAGGTCTTTGACAGCCTGTGGAAGCGGCTCGTCGCCCTCGCTACCGGTCTTCTCAGGATCCATTGAAGCTTTTCTCGGGCCCGCGAGCGCCAAGTTGTCAGTCGGCGATGGCGCAGCTTGGCGTGGGGAAATGGTAGGACGGGTGGGAAGAGGAGGGGAATCACACCCTGTCTTGCAATATTTATTGGTACCAAGGGAGGATCTCACTCCAAGCCATCTCCGATGTTCCAGATGTCTTATCGGGGACTGGGCTGCTCGAGCGTACGCTGTACAAGCATATGGCCATATCCCGGCCGTCCGGCACAGGGTCATTATCAAGCTTCCCGATCCGGTTGAGGGAATCTGCCGGACCCATCGATCCCGCGCATAAGAGCCAATCAACAAGGGCTGTTTTATCATACTTGGTACAGGCGGACGACAGCTTGTCGTCAGTTGACATGTCTAAAATTCTCCTAATTACACAGCCAGGAGATTACGCGCCATGGGATCTTTACTGCCGGGATGGTCAAGGTGGCCCGTACATTGCTTTGCCCTGACCGCGTCTTGGCCAAAAGCTTGTGCAAGCTTGTGGAAGCTTGTTAACTACGGCTCACCCAAGCCCCTCGTGCCTCGTAGTCCAAACGAAGTTAGTCAATCGTGTGAGCCTCAGAAACTACAGCGCGACACCGCATGTGTGTACGCAAGTGACCCTCCCACGCGCCTATTCTTCTCAAGAGCCGCTTCGAGGCACTCAGCTCGAGTAGGCCTCAGTGTATGTTGCTCACCAGAAATGGCCTTCTTTCTCCATACACATAACGGGCTCTGCTCCATGACAGAGTGGCCATGAAAGTACAATCATCGACAGATGGATCCTCAACACCTGCCGCCTCTCAGTCATCTGCCAGTGCGTCGCCATGACAAAGCAACCCGCCCCCGCCTTCCTTCCAGAACAAAAGCGTGGGCCCGAAATAAGAATGTTCCCTTCCGTTACACATCCGACAGCGACGTCCGAGTCGAGACGTCAAGTTCAGGTGTCTTTCTGTCTCTCCGGTAGGGCCGGCTTGCCTCCGGTCTCCTGCCTCACGCCGAGCCCTATGTGCCGTGGCGACAGTGCATTCCGGCCTAGGACGTCATATGCCTTCTTCATCGCGTCCTGGTCAATCTGGAGAAGGTCCATGCAGTCGTCGAAGCAGAGAGATTTCGAAGGGTCATATGATGGTAACAGAAATATATGACGAATCATCAGAGTCGACTCTGTGAGTCGAGTGCTCATTGTCTTCGAATCGAATCTCGGATAGGGCGACCTCGAGCCCGAACAAGACAGCCCAGCCTTGGCCGGCCTGGCCGAAGAACTGGCTCCGCTTCCAAGCTTTTAGTGAGATGTCCCTTGGTGTGTGTACACAGTAGCTGTATCCAGGGCTGTCAGAGTAGAAAACGCCCGCCGCGTCTACGGCATAGGGCTCTGAGATCATGTTCTAGTAAGTGTCAATGGAACATTCTCAAACATGACGGATCGGGAATCGTGAAAGAACAAGAATGGTGCTTACGCGCAATGCGTCGGTGATGATGTTGAAGGCTCTGGGGGCCCTAGCGCCGCGGAAGGCAACGGATCCCCCATCGACCTTGATGGCTTGCTCCATGAAAGCTTGCTGCCGCTCCAGTCTCGAATTCAAGAGCATGAATTGATGGCTGCCCTCAAGACCCTTACCCTGCATGAAGAAGTCGACATTGTGCGGCAAAGACACGATGCAACCCCTGAGCCGTAGAGCAAGCCAGGAGAGAAGTCGTCTCTTCTGAGAAGATGCAACGCGGGTATCCCCAGAATTCACCAATCGGTGCAGTCCAAGCTCGTCAGAGATTTCTGTGAAAGAGTCGATGACGGGCTGGATCGCGGCTAGTTCAAGCGGGCAGTCGACCAACAGGGACGATTTGGTTTCGTACTGATCGGGGCACACTTCCTGGCCTTTGACAGCGGTGTAGATGCAACAAAGCATAAGGTCGAAGACCTTGGTATCGGAAAGCAGGTGGGAGAGCCGAGCTCTCAGTGGCCATTGTTCGAGTGTGTCCATGCATTCGCCCAAGCACGCGGTCGGTGTGTATACCTTCACCTCATATCGCTTCCCGCAGATCAGGCATCGCTTTGTGGGGTCCGATTTTATGAGTTCGAAGGCTCGATCGTAAACGATTTCCAGGTCCCGGCAGCCTCTCAGTCCCAGGAGGCCGAAGAGCTCGCGAGACAGCACGCACGTAAGTATCGTCGAACGAGGCGAGCAAGGGTTCTCAATGCACCTGCTGGCTTCGTTCTTGGTTGAGCTGTACAAGTGTGTTCTTTTCTCTCGATCAGTTGAGGAGTGGACGCAAAAACGGGCGTGTCCCGATGATCTGTCTTCGCCCTGGAGGAACTCGAGGTTCACAATCACCAAGTCGGCACGACAATCGAGACCCCAGGCAAGGCGCTGCACTCCGTTCAGATCGTTGATGGGGAGCTTGAGCTCAAAGAGGCTCCTTTTTCTTTCCACTCTCTCAACGACGTCCTGTAAGCGATCAGGTATGGGGTAAGTCTCAGCCGGCGGCACCCGGTGTTGTCTCTGTCGCTTGCTCTTCGGCGATCTAGAGATGGCTGAGCCGACCGGATTGTTTCTCTTGCACGGCGCCATGTTTACTTTCTCACTCTCTGGTTTAGGTTCCAGTTCATGCAGTGAAATGGGCCCCTTTTTTTTTTTTTTTTTTTTTTTTTTTTTTTTTTTTTTTTTTTTTTTTTTTTTTGCGAGACGCGTGTGTATGTTGATGGGAGTTTATGACGAAGGAGGGGCACGAAATAGATGCCATGGACAATTATTACTGTCGGGGACCGTGTCGTTGCTGGGCCCACACGCGCCAAGTAGTATGATGAGCGTACGTACACCTGTCTAACCATTGGGCTATCTGGGGTTTGTAATTCCCAAGCTTCACAAATCTTTGCCAGCTGCAAGCCGAAAGGGCTTGCTCAGTGGCGTTCGCTCAAGGCGTCCCTGAGACGCCAGCCTGTTCCGCCAGGCCTTGATCTCTCCTATTCTGTGTTCATCGAAGACTCGGATGAGACACACGTCTTTGTATGAGTGCAAAGACTGGCCTGTTTCGAAGCAACAGTTTTGATCAGCAAATCAAGCGACGCAGGACAGCTATCTTTGAAATTTCCTGTGCCGAGTATGAACTCATACATGAAGAACGAGGCCGAATGAGGCAACTGAGGCGAAAGAGTACTTGAATATTTGAAGTCATGTTGAAGTCCTCAACAGAATATCCTGCAAGCTTAGTCCAGGACTTACTCTGTAGTTAGCTGGCAAATATTTGTTGACTTCCTCTAGCACTAATTGCTACTTGTTTCCATATACAAAGCTTTCTTGTCTTTCAGGGTGTTCCTTACAGCCCGAAGAATTTCATGTCATCACTGCCTCGAATTGGGACAGTGTGACCAACTCCATTGGCGTAGATGCCCTGCAGCTTGACCGGGCTGCCCCAACCATAGGTGGTGTAGCCGCTCTGCGGCGTATTTGCAGCAGTTGTGTCTGGCTTGGTATAGTCGAAGCCAAAGACTCCAGCCCACTGCTTGATTGTCTCGTTATAGTTGGATGGGTAAAGAGTAGTATCGGCACTGCCATGATAGACCTGCATCTTTGGATAGCTGCCGGTGTAGCCCGGGTACATGTCTTTGACCATCTGCCAGGTGTCAGCGTTTGCAGCGACAAGGAAACCTCAAACATTAGCAACACAATCCTTACCCCTGCCCAGACCTGTGGAGTGCTATGGATCTGACCACTTGCACAAGAGCTGTTCCAGGCGTCGACACCGCCAGACTGGCTGTAGAAGCATCCAGCTGGGGTCCCAGAATAAGGAATGCCCGCGGCGAACAATTCTGGGTATGTTGCCGCCATTACGTTCTTAAATCAAGCAGGTCAGCATGAGCGCAGCACCATAATGTCACCCTTTTGTCATCACGGTCGACCCCAAAGTCCCGCTTTGCGAGGAGACATACCGTCATCATCGCGCCCGACGAGCTGCCGGTGACGAACACCTTGCTCGCATCCCCATTGTACTGCTTCAGCGCGTACGTGACCATGTTCGCTATGCTGTTGCTATCGCCACCACCGTTGTGCGTCAATGCCGCCCGGCTGCTCACGTCCCAGCACGTCCCGCTGTATGGGCTTTCGGGATAGATGACGATGAAGCCCTTCTGGTCCGCGAGTTGCGCGTATGGCGAGCCGTTATAGTACCCCTGCGCTGTCCCGGTACAGTAGTGGATCGCGACGATGATAGGTGGGCTCGCTGCAAGCTTTGGATGGCACATAAATGTACATTTTCGTCCCCGAGGTGTTGGCGCCAAAGTTGGTGACTTGCGTGATGGCCTGGGCGGCGCGCTTGAGGGGCGCCGTGGGCGTCATCAACTCGCCAAAGCTCGTAGGCGAACCGCTGGCGGCGGCGGCCAGCACGCTGGCCCCAAACAGAGTTGAGAAGAGCTTCATGGTGGGTGATGGCTGTCCGGGCGGGTAGAGCTCGAGGCGGTGACAGGAGTTTGTGCAGCAATTCAGAGGCGACCACGGGTGTAGGGATTCAGCTCTCAGAATTGCAATTGTCTTGCGACTCTTGTCATTATATACCTACTTCTTCATCTGCTACAATAGCTCCGTCTTTCCCCGTGACCAATGCTTGCGACTCCCAAAGCTGCTTCCGCTTCCCCGTCGGCGCTTCATAGTCCGAAGACAACATTGAGCGCCCGCTGGCTGTCACGCACGAAGCAGTGATGACCCCTGGGATTTGAGAGTCAATCTAGATTACTCCTCAACAATATGCCGGCACCTGATGGTCGACATCCAGCGGGCATTTATCCGGGAGGTCGTAATTAGGGCAGAGGGGTGCTGCCACCAGACTTTACCCCTGAATATTGCTCCAATCGCCGCCGTGGCTCGGAGCCGGCCTACCGCAGGCCTGGCACCCCCTGACGTGGCTCGTCATCTGCCGCGGCCCGAGCACACTTCGGGTTGTCGGCGCCGGTGGACTGGCCGGGCATCGCTTCCAGGTGGCAATTGATACATTTCGTGAAGAGGATGATGGTCAATTGGTGATTCCATTCTTAACTGTTGATGATAATCGTGGAAGCAAGATCATGCAGAGGAGAAATCAAGATGCACGCTCGTCTATGCCAAACAAATCGCGGTCCTCATCCGGCCAGTGCACACTCTTCCTTGCGCCGTGGCGCCTCCTTTTATTGTGATTACTACTCTTTCTCAGAGCCCCTGGCAGTCTTGCCACGATATCAGGGATATTATTTCTCGCCTTGTTTTCCCGGCTCTTCCTCAGCAGATCGTCTACTCTCCATTCCCACCTGGCCCTCTCCACCGTGTCGCCCCCTTTCCGCAGCTGAGCTCTCCACCCTTCCACCCAGAGCCATGCAAGACGAAACTCGGAGTCTGATTCTACTTCCGGGTTGATCGTATACGCAGAGCTCACCCTGCCCTCGGCCACGCTTACCATCCTGTCAGAGTGCACGTCGTCTGCGGTTTCTGCGCGCAAGTCGATCGTCTGCACAACCTTTCTCAACCTGGGTCTCGCCACGGGCCCTGGCCGTTGCTTTTGCTTGGTATCTTCACCTCGGTCCGAGCGTGTTCAATGTTCGTCATTGTAACCCATGTGACCCGAGGGCTGCCCGTCACTTCTCAGAAATGCACTGCGCTCGTCAATCTCATGATCCGCCTCGTTCAGGAACCCACCGCGCTCGTCATCGCGCGGTCCTGTGAAACTGTCCTGAGACTTTCTCGGCGCAGAGACGGCGGGATGAAAGACTCCAGAGACAGGTCGCGTCCTGCCTGGGCTTGCAGGGGCGTCACTGGCCCCGTTCGAGCTCTGGTTCTCGAAGATATTCCGCATCTTTGCGAATAACGCACTCCCGCGGCTCGGGCTGTTGCTCACACTCGGGTTGCTGGGAGCAGTGCTGACTGAAGACTCGGCACGTCCGCGTTGAAGGAACGGATTGTAGCTTGAGGAAGATTTGGCAGCGAGGTGGCCGCCGGGAGCGCCGCCGTTGTCGGGTCTGAAGGGGTCATACTCGGGAGCGGTGCTCGTGGTATCACCACGTGGACGGGAACCCCAGCTCGACAGGTACTGCTGGTAGCCAGGAGCCGGAGCTGGCCAGCTGTCGCGGATCACAGGCTCGTGCCTGTCAACGGGGAGAGACGAGTGCACCGGTGACGACCATGATGAGTCAAGTGTGGTCTGGCTGTGCAGCGACGCTGGAACAGAGTCCTGCCGACCGTGTGTGACGTCGCGGGGCACGAACAGGGAGGGATCCATGTCAGACTCAGCCTGCCGCTGAGGCGTTGCAAAAGGGTTGTTGCTGTGTGATGTTGCAGAAGTCGGCGTCTGCGGCCTTTCCGGGTTCCACATGCTCGAACTCAAGCCCCTCTGGTCGCTCCCATGACTGGGCACCGGTGTGTTGCGCAGCGCGAATGGACTGATCTCAGGTGTGTCGTGCGTCGTGGATGGACCCAGCTGTGGCGTGGGGTTTCGAGAAGACGGACGCAACTCCTCCTCGTGCTCCGCTGCCCAATCCGCACGAACAATGCTCGGCCCTCCGATATAAGACCCGAACGTGGGACGCACGGGGGTTGTGTCGCGCATACTGCTGATGCTGCCCTGCGAGCGGTGACCGACGCTGCCCAGGCTAAGCGAGGAGCGATGGCCACCTAGGGCGGTGTTGTTCTCGTCGCCCCGTGTCGAGTAAACAGTCTTTTCCTCACCGGGAGAGCTTTCAGCGGCCTCGTTCGAGTGTTGATAGACGACAGCTTCACCGTAGTCATCCTGATCCTCGGCATCGTCAGTGTCGTCAAAGAGGTCATCAGTGCCTTGGACGGTGTGCGCACTTTCACCCGGAAGGTGCTCGAGTGCCTGTGAAAAATGACCCGGTGTCACAGATCGACCGTCTTGGTGGGACCTTCGAAAGTCGGCGGACTCGAGTGGCGTCTCGAATGTCTCCGAGCCGCTGTCCATGTCGTAAGTGTGTGGCTCGGGTTGGCGCGTGTCGATGGAGTCGTCGGCAGGGTGCGTCTCCTTCGTCTCCCGAGGCGCTGAATCTGCGAGAGTATCATTGCTGTACTCGCTGGAGGGCGTGACGCCATAGCCTTCGCCATCGTAGTTCACCCGCTGAGCGCCGAAATGTTGGTTCGAGTGATCAGGTGGTGGCTGGTGGGCTATGCGGTCAGTATCCGCGTGACCTTGTTCAAGTTGTTCTCCGTCTGATCCGGGGCCAGACTCGGGGTGCTGCGTCTCGCCTTGGCCAATTTGTGGCGGATCGGCAATCTGTCTGTTGCTGTCTTGGCCACTGGATATCTCTTTGTCCTCAGGTGAAACGCTTTGGGAAGGCCTCTCTTCGAGAGGCCGGGGCTCAGAAATTTCGCCGTGCTGAACTTGACCACTTTCACCTAGACTCCTGTTGCCACTCTCTCCACTGTCTCTTTCGCTTCGCTCTGACTTCGGCTGAGTGCTCATTTCCCGAGGGCTGAAGTCCTCCTGCGGCCCTTCTTGTTGATTAACATTGCCCGCAGACTCCAGAGTCTGGCCTCCAGTATGGCTCGAGCTCGAGCCTTCCTGGCTGAGACCATGTTCCTTTGTCAACCCATACGGCTCTGAGTCGTGTTCGAGACTGGTGCCACGGGACAGATTGTCTGACCCAGCCTGCGTCTCTTCACTGTGTTCTTCCTTGACTTCTGGCTTGCTCGGTGCATCACCGGTATGCTGCTCCACAGAGAATGTTCCAGGTTGCAAAGGCTTGTCTAACTGCCTCTCATCCGCGATTGATTGTTCTGCGGGACTCGAAGGCGAATTTGCACTGTGTTTCTGGCCCTTTTGTTCGTGATCGTCGCCAGCTGATGTTTCGTGAGGCAAACTTTCATTTCCTGTAACTGACGACTCTTCCGGCTGCCCTCGGTCCGGCGTCCCGCGGTTTGACGACTCCTCTGAATCAACCCGAGACCCGGCTGTCTTCTCCTCGGGACTGTCGGATGTTTCGAATACATCCGGACGAGGTTGTTGCGCGCCATCGGGGCTGTGAGACACCTCATTGTGTACGTCTTCCTTGGTTGCTGAAGCCTCCTGCGGAAGTTCTCGGTCACTCTCCTCACGGTACGAGCCTTGTAGTCCCTCCGCCGCTTTGGGGGACAACGTGTCCGCTCCCGTGGAGCCATTTCGGCTGCTAGCCCGACTGGACGGCTTCGAATCGCCGTCACTTTGGAGTTGCGAAGGCTTGTCATGGTCCACTTCATGGCGCGGCGTAGGAGGTACAGCGAACAGGCCTTCGTCAGCGTCCTCGTTTGGCCCGTCTGTGCTGATAGAAGGCAGGTCAGCGCCTCGGTCTGTTGGCCCATGCGACCTGCCGGCTTGGACAGAATCAGCTCTCTTTTTGAAGCTGAACTCGTTATTATCCGCTGGCCCACTAAAGGCTTGATTACTCCAGGATCCGAATCGATCTGAGCCTATGTCATGAGCACTTGTTGGAGATTGAGAAACATGGCTCGCTCCAGAAACCTGCTCTCGGGAAGCAGAAACAACTGCACCGTCATCTTCCACTAACGTATTTGGTTGTGGCTCATCCGTGTCACGACTAGTCGTGTTCTTGACGTCGTCCTCAGGGTGCGACTGCTCAGCTTGGCCATCGTTGGACATGGATGCCTGATCTTGGGGGCCAACTTCGGTAGGAAGTTTCGAGCTGCTTTCCATTTCATCCGACGGACCCTGACCGAGGGGTTCGGCCACGCTCTGAGAGTCTCCCTGTTGGAGCTGGGCTTCCGCTACCTGATTGCGTGAATCGGCTGGTATGGTATTGTCCGCGTCATGAGCCACAGATTGAGAGTCGGGCTGCGTGTGGTCGTGATCGGCCTCCTGTGACGACTCGTGTGGAAGGGGTCCTCTCACATCTTGCTTCTCATGAGTCTCATCGACAGCTTCACCCCGTTGGTTTTCATCCGCAGGGGCTCCGACCGCGAGATCGTCATCTGGCCGTTGGTGGCTGACGTCTTGCGAGCTGACATCTCCGCCCGCGAGTTCCTTTGCCTGGCCCTCAGTCTCATCTTTCCCGTGCGTCATAGTGCCAGGTATGGGCTCACTCCCGGAGAGATCGAAAGTCTCTTCTACTGGATGGTCGTCTGAGCCTTGATGTTCTCCTCCCAGTCTGGGAGGAGACGCGCCTTTTCCCGAGCCCTCGAGTATTTGCTCGGGCCGCGGTTGCCTTGGCTTCTCCTGCTCGCTTTCAGAAGGCGCACTGGCCAGTGATTGTTCGGCCTCTTGCACATGTTGATGTTCATGCTGGTCTTCGTGCAACGTCGTGGTTGAGTCCTCGAGATTTCGACTGCTAGCCATACCGGTCTCGTAGCCGGAATCGCTTCGTTTATCGCCGGGTTCTTGCTCGCCGGCTGATTCGTGGTGCAAGGCGTCGGTTTTGCTTGGCTCCACGATATTTGAAGTAACATGCGAACTTTGCCGTGGTGTTTCCGTGTCCCCGCTCACACTCTCCTCGACGGAGGTCTGAGGCGCATCATGACTCTCTACGGCCTCCTCATGGCCGCTAATGCTCCCAGTGTCTTGGTTGTTGCCTAAATCCTTTTCGAGCTGAGAGTCATGGCTAGATGTCGCTGGAGCACTTGGGTCGGAGCTACTTGGGCCTTGTTGACCGGCGGATTCCGACTCAACCCCTGTTACCGCGTCATGCCCTGGTTGTTCTTGTTGTCCATGCTCGTGTTCCAAAGAAAGGTTGCGTTGTTCGTTCCCATGGAGCTCTTGTTGATCTTCGGCTGGCCGGCCATCAGCAGCGTCTTTTTCTGACCCTGATGCACCATGCTTGCTGACCGTGTTGTCCCCAGATTCTGGGTTTTGAGCCAAGTCGAGGTTCCTTGACTGAAAACCTGGTTCCGTTGAAGCAGTCTCGTTCTGCGAGTGGTCTACCAGTCCTGGCTCTTGCAGCCGTTCCCCTTTTGATGAGTCCACGTCTGGACTGTCTTGGGAGGACGAAGACAGTTCCTCGTGTTTACTATCTCCAGTGAGAGAACTGCCCAGATCTTGAGACTGGCCTAATTCTGGCTGCCCAGAGCTGCTTGGCAACTGCTGGTCTGGGTTCACTGTAGGCTCGTCGTGAGATCTGCCGTGGTCAAGACTGCCAATGTCCCTGCTTTGCAACTGGCCGCTTCCGCCTTCGCTTTCGACTGGCGACCGTCCCTTATCTTCGACGGAATCAGCTTCTCCGGACGTAGATAATGGCTCATCAGCCTGGGCGTGGCTGGTGTGCTCTGGGCTTTCTCGGTCGGTTGTGGAGGAACCCAATTGGGCTGTTTCAGGCTCCTCGATGCCGCGGCTGGGATCTTCATCTTGCTGTTCGCGGGACTGTCCGCTGCCACTCAATGAGTTCTGCTCTGGAACAGAAGATGTCTTCCCTCCGGGCTGTGATTCTTGGCCGGACTCAGCCTCCGCCATCTTGACATACTCCTCAGCAGCGCCGCCTTTGGCGACCCCATGGAACAAGTCGTCGTTATCGGAGCCTTTTGGTGCTCCATGCTCCGATGGGCTGTCCGAGGTAGTTGGGCCGTCAGTTGTGGGCTGTGAGCGGCTATGGTCTGGCTCTTCTTCACGTGCTGGATCGTCGGTGGTCTTGTGTTCGCTTGCGGTCAATTGATCGGGCGAACCAGGATCTTCTCTTGCTGCAAGAGCTTCCTGGTGATTGTTCGCCGCTGGTAGATCCGTGCTTTGTCCAGCGTTGTCGGAACTGCTGACTGTGCCCTCGCTCTCTACTCCCAGAGCTTGATCTTGGGTGTGAGATGGCGTGGCTATGGAGGCGTCCCCGTTGCCACTCTGAGAGTGCTCCTGTGCATCAACACTGTCGAGCTCTCGTGGTTTGGAATCAGAAGTTTCAGTCGCCGATTCGTCCTGGGCGAGGTCCTTCTGATCAGAGTCTCCCACGTCACCTTGAGCGGTGTCTGTGGTTGCTTCTTCTGGCCGCTCACTCTTCACACTAGGTGGTGCTGCCTGTTCTGCGGCTCGATTTGAGCTATCTTGATCCTCGCCAGTCGCCTGTCCCGGGACGGGATCATGATTTTCCACCATGGCTTCAGGGATTTCTCTGTTATCGCCGCTCATAGCGTGGCTTTCTGACGCGGTTTCTTGTTCTTGAACTTGACCTGGGTCTTCTTGGCTGGATGGCTTGTCGCTGGGGCTCTCGTGTTCAGCCACAGATTCTGCAACCTGCCCTTGCGGCTGATCTTGAGGGGGCGATTTCTCTTCGGCCGATGCCTGCTCTGGACTACTTGACTCTTGTGGGGGTTCATTTGACTTTGGCTCTGCCTGTGAGAGCCCTTGCTCTCTGCTTTCTTCCGGCTCGATGCTCCGGGAAGTAGACGCCTCGACCTCCCGGGTTTGGTCCTGCGATTGAGCCTCAAGGGTTGCTCCGCTTTCTTGTGGCCGACTTGATTCCGTCTGACCAGAGACTCCGCCTTGCGAGGCTCTAGTGCCGCGTCTAGCTCTCCGTGCCGGTGGAGGCGGTAGGGGTGCCTTCATTTGTTCATCAATCATGCGGTTGATTTCCTAGAGCCGAACCCGTTAGCCACAACCTCTTCCGCCTCAAAGAGTCAGGTACGGGACTCACTCTTCGTCTGTCTTCCAGGTCCTTCAGCTTGTTGTGACCCTCGTCTAGCATTCGTTTCGCCTCTTCCTCAATGCGGTCCATCTTTTCATCGGTTTCCTGCTCCACGCCCTCCTTCTCGCCCTCTAGCTTCTGCTCCCTCTCGGCATCCTGGTCATGGTCTCTTGTGGCCTTGTCTTCATCTTCTCTCCTGCGACGAGCTGCTATTTCCTCGTCTTCCTTCCGGCGCTTCTCGGCAATCTCGTCGCGCTCAGCCTGGCGACGCTGGCTCAACTCGGCAGACTCCTTTTCGAATGCAGATTGCAGTTGACGAAATACCTCGTCCCGCTGTGATTCGAGAGCGTCTAGCTTCTCATCATGCCCCTTGGTGTCGAGCGATGTTATCGTGTCGTGTATTTCCGACAGGGTGTCGCGCATTTGCTGCACGAGTGCCGTGACGTCGAGCATGGTGAGATGCGGCGTGATGCTTGGGGCACCGTCTCAAGAGCACGTTGGCAAGCGAAGCAGACCGGAGGAGACCAACAACCAAGCTAGTTCAAGGTGGACCTTTGCAGTACAGGCGGGGCGGGAGAATATCACCGGGAGAGTATCGCAGCTTCCAGAAGGAATACGTGGACGTTCAACTGATCTTTTGAAACAAGTTTGGGCAGAGAGATCATATATGGCGCAAGCCGGTATTCAAGCTTTTGAGCGATGGCCGCCGGGCGACTGGAGACGGGCAAAGCACTTGCTTTCCAATCAATACGTGACTGGGGCCAAGAGAGAAACAAAATAACGATAGAGATCAGAGAAAGGAACCCGAGGCGAAGGGGAGAAACCACCGTGGAAGGTCCAGCGCCGAATCAAGCCTCACGACCGAGGCGTTTCTCACGTCATGACAACTCGGATGGGCATGGAATGCATGACCTTGGCCGCTTGGATAGCCGAGCGCGCAGGCCTCCCATGGCACTCGACCCGTTGGTGGTCCATAATAGCACTGGGCGAGGTAGGGGCATCGGGGCATGAAGATGGAAGCGCCAGGCCGCCCGGCATCCAGGTCGCGGCTCGCACTCACTGAGCTTGGGAGGTGGGAAGCTTCATGCGACGGCATTGCTCAACGGGGGGATGGGGCTCCAGGGATGGGCTCCTAAGACGTCGATCAAGAGAGGGGCCACTCCTGATTGGAGGGGTGGAGGGGGTGTAGCATGAAATTGGAACGACATATGGCCGTGGTCATTGGTGACAACTTGGAAGCTTCGTCAAGTGCATTGCATGGGAGAGGCAATGCGAGGCTGGCGTGGTTCTTCGCACGGGTGGCCATGACGCTTGTCATCTTGGTCGATGCCGGCGGTCCGCGCGAGGCGACGTCTTGGGTTGGGTTTGTGTCCTCGGTGCGCCAACGGCCAGAGAGGAGCGCGGTATGCCAGAGTTGGGCTCTTCCTGTTCCTTGTCCTGTACCGGGCAGACGAAAACTCGGAACACACCCACTGTCGGGCAGCCTGGGCACCCTTGGCTCTGCTCTGCTGTTGTGTGTATAGTAGGGTGCTGTGCAGGAGGGCCATGAAGGAGGAGTGGAGTGCCCAGGCCCAGGCCCAGGGCGGCCCTGCGTCGGGATCCGGAGTATCGGTACAACGGCCAATGGCTGACGAACAGCGCAGACATCTTGACTTGACAAGAGTGAGCGTGGGTGTGCTGCCATGGTTTTCACAGTACGTCCGTCGACCTCACGGCAGGGCGGAATGTCGACACAACATTGATTAGCTTTCCGATATCCAATGCATGTGTCTGTTTACTTGGCCAATGTCTTCCTTGTCCTTGCGAGGTAGTCTGCCCTGTCTCTCACATCCACATTTCCCCCCCCCCCCCCCAAACTCTCGTTCTCCCTGAGATCTCTGTCGGGAGGCAAGACCACGTCAACGCACACTTGCTGGCTCCCTTCCTCTGCTGCTGGGCACGGGGCGAGGTGCCTGGAGCCGGTGCATGAAGTGATGCGAGTTTTGCGAGGCGTTGCAGGAACGGGAATCTGACGGTGCGTTTCAGAATTTAGGTGGGGATTTCGTGTCCTAGACCCACTATCAGCATGCCGTGCGTCCCGGGCGGGATATTGTTAGAGCACAGACATGACTGGGCCGACCTCTGTGGGATGTGGGGGAAGAGGTGGTGTGCCCGCCTCACTCGCTCTTGGTGATAGATGGCCCCCACCAGATCGTGAAGCGCATCGCGATCGCCGTGCCAGCTTTGCCAGCTCAGACCCGAGAGCGCCGCGACGAGGCTTCGCAAGAGCCGAAAAGAAGCAATCCCACCGAGGTGAGGCGGTTGGGCCTCACCGTCTTGTTTGTCCGCACATGAGTAGGTGACGAAGGGCAGGGCTGGGTTGGGCACAGAGGCGGGCAACGGCCACGCGACGGGGCCACTGTGCTGTTGTCGACTTTTACAATTTGTCATTTCTTCATGGAATCTGAATCTTATCTATGCTCATTAAAATGCAATGCCGGGTGCCAAGATCAGCTCAACTGGCCGCCACGTCGGGAATGGAACAACAGTACAAGTCCGCCTTCAGCCAGATGAGTCGTAGAGGCAGCCTCACAGAGGCCCGCAGAGGCAGCCGGCGAGACAACCCCGGTTCATCCTCCTCCTCAACGGCCCCGTGCCCATGGACGGTATCGACGCTCGTCATTAACACCCACTAAATCCTCCTCGTCGCAGAGCCCTTGTTGGCTATGGCCGACCTCCTCCTGTACGACTCGCGGTACTGCACGCGCTCGAAGAATCCAAACCCAATGACCGCCGCGCCTATCACAGTCCACGCACCACAGATGATGAGGCCGATCGGAAAGATGAGCAGGTTGACGCCCGGCAGCACGAAAGCTATCGTCCCATTGGTGAGCCCCTGGGTGACATCGTCCACCGCAGCCTGGGCCTTGGCCGTGTCCGACAGCACGACCATGTCGGAGAAGACACCAGTCAGGAAGGTTGCCTCATTCGAAGAGACAGTGGTGTTGACAGTTTGTCCGGCGGCGTTGACGGCAGAGAGCGTCACGGTCGGCATGACGAGCGCCTCAAGGGCGGCCCTGTGAGGTTGTTAGCGGGCATGTCCGGAGGGTGACTCGACACAATGTGACATCAATGTCGATGAATTTCGAGAGCCGAATTCACGGTATGGGGGGACGGGGGTCCGGTGGTGGCTTACATGTTCATCTCAAGCTGCATCTTGTCCTGGTCAACCTGCCCTACGAAAAGATAGGTCTGCAGCAGCTGGAGGCTGGGGTTGGCCTGCCGCGCCTGCGGTCCAGAGACTTTCTGCGCTGCGGTGGAGGCTGTCACCGGGCTGACGCTGGCTCCGTTATACGACAAGCTGACTTGGACCTGGTCCGCCGGGATACCGGCGAACTCCTCCCTAGGCGTGCTGAGCTGGTAGAGCCTGAGGTCGGCCTCGAAGGCGCCAGTCTTGGTGTTGAGGACCGGCAGGTTGTAGCACGTGCAAGTCCCCGACGGATTGGTAGACTGAGGCAGCTTGGAGAGTGCTTCTTGACAGGCAGTGTTGACCTGGGCTTCCCACTCCGCCATGTTGACCGTGCCGTTCTGTTGCAGTGACACGGTGGATGATGCCTGCCTGCTAACGACGACGTGATCACTGACATGTTCCTCCATCCTCTGCTCGATTGACTTGGGGGATCGTCCGGTGAGGGCCCCTTCTGCCACCAAGTCCGCGATGCCGCCAGCCTGCGCTCCGACGGTGAGCAAGGCCGTTACTCCTGCTTGCCACAGCATCCTGATTGTGATCCTGGTTCTGCCTCGAGGGATCCCAAGCTCTTCCACAATCTTCTCCTCCTCCACGACAGAATTAGGCCGATCGAGTTCGATGCGTCCGCGTGAATGGTATGTTGATCCGACCGGCGGGTGAGCGTTGCTCAAAGGTGTGCGTAAAGAAAAGAGGGTCGTGATATGGACCTGCCGTTTTATTGACCGACGACTCCCAAGCCTAGCTGGCAGGAGGATTCTGTCCTCAGTACTGGAATGGTGCGGGAGAACGTCGTAGATCACTGGCTCAAAGAAACGAAAGGCAAACAATACGGGCGGTGACGGGAAGGACAGGTTTTAGGTGGCCAAGGCCTCAGAAACAAGGTCGAACTACAACGGGCTGGGACAGCGAGAAGGATGTTAGGGAAAGAAGATGAGATGGTTCCGGGAGAGAGGATTTGCACGAGATCCTAAAACACGTGCGACAATCCGATAGATGGGGAGAGAAGACGAGGGTGTGAGGAGTCAGGACGTAGGCGCAGCAGCGTTATGCGACAGGCATCGTCATGACGGACGCGAGATGTCTCTGTAGGGAACGAGGTGACCTGATGAGTGGGGTCGTCCGATTGACAGTTCGCGGCAAAGTCTGTGTGTCGCAAGGGGGAGGGAGACAAGGGGCGGGGATGGGAGGCTATGGCGTCTGGGCGCCGTGGTACTGGGTAAGGGGGGGGGGCCGTGGCAGGTTTGAGAATGGCAAGATATTCATCAGGGTGGCCCTGATGTGATACTCATAATGCGAGATGGACACGCGCGGGCACAGGGGACGCTCTGCGGGACTGTTCGAAAAGGGCAGAGTATGTACGTGCGGACACATCCACAGCAGAGGGAGGTGTCAATGGGACAGGCCGCGTCGACCTGATAACTTGCTTACCATCATCAACATCAGGAGGCCGGGGCGTGCAGGCGGAGGCGCTTCGGGGGCGGGCAGATGGGCAGACGGGCAGACGGGCAGACGGGCAGACGGGCAGACAACCAAGCCAGGGCGAGCTTAATGGCGATAAACTACAAGCCAGGCACGCCCCAGAGAGGGGCGGCCGGGCTGGGTTGGGCGCGTGGCATTGTCACAACTTGTCGGATCGCCGGGACCTGGAACACTTGGGGCGTCGAGGAGGTCGGAGAGTTGAGACCAGACGCCATGGCTGGCCTGGGTCAACGACTGGTTCGCAAGGTTTCCAGTTGCAGAGGTTTGAGGCTCATCCAGGGGTCCGAGGCAGATGCGAGGCACGGAACATCGCCCCTGATTGGCCTGATCGGCCTCGCTTGTGTCCGGGGTGGGGCGTGGAGCCGGCGGCCCCTGCTAGTGTGGTCGGTGTCCAAGTACGTACCTGACAGCCTACAACAGACAACAGCAGACTCGTGAAAACTGAAGGTTTCTGTTTCTGTTTTGAGCCTCAACGACTCGGTCTGAGTCTATATCACATCGGGGCGAATCGCCTCCATTGGTCACGCTGCAGGGGCGTCGTGCTGCGACCACACTTTTTTGTTCACATGCGAACCTTTAAATGACACACGCTGCAAAACCCTGATAGGTCAGAGTGGGCGAATGGCCATGTCGTGGTACCTAGGCACGGCACGAAGCCGCCCAAGCCTAGCGCTCAACCACCATTTGAACAGGTTTCTGTACGAAGAGGCGCAGGGCACGACGAACCTAGGTAAATAAATGGTGGCACTTTGCAACGACCTGTGGCATTGTATCATGTGTCCGCATGCCCAGAGATCTCCGGCTTGAAGGGTTGACAGCGTCGATCCGATCGCCTCCTGCACGGCGGACCCCCACCTCCCTCGTCCATCATCTCATACTGACGGATGACCGCCATAGCTTTGTGGCCTCTCCACGACATGGGGAACACACGCGGTCAGTCTGCAGTGCGGCTCGTTGCCTTTGAGTCTTGGTGGACTGGTGGACTGGCGATTGGCTCGAGCGCACTACGGCGATCAATTACCAGCTTCGTTGGCCGTCAGGGGTCCTGAACCTGCGCCTCCAGCCGGCGATCGACAAAGCATATTGGGCGTTGCTCCACGAGCTTATTTCCGTGTCAGTCTCGCGTCCGCTGCCCGCATCAGGTTTTCTACCTCTACATGCTACGTATCCTGGCCACCTGGTTGTCTACCCTAGGACAGGTTTGCCACAGGTTTGCCCTGAGGGGATTGCTTTCTCGTCGCCATTCCATTCTTGGCCCCAATACCTACTGCTTTGACTCGCCGTCCCATCCGCGGCGAGTTCACCGCTGAACCGGTGCCCGGTGACGGACAGGTTGAGTTTTTGCTTGCAATGCATCGCTTAGTATCAGACCTGCAGCTATGAAGTCTCGTCTCTGTTCGCATGCGTGGCTCGCATCTCTCAAAGCCAGTCTGTTTTGTCAGTCTCCAATTTACAGGTACATGCCCGAGCGGAGCCGTCGGCAAGTCGTGCGGCCACCGGCGCGGTCCAGCTGCACCGCGGTCGCTGCCTACACGGCCCCATATCAGCCCATCCATCTCTCCGGCCGATGAGATGGCGGCCCGATCCTGGTACAGCTTGACGTTGCCTGATCACCACTTCAACCACTGCCAAGGCCCACCCAAGGAAACAGACCCAAAAGCCGGTCTCTCACGGGAATTATCGCGACCATGTCTCGGCGCTGCTGACCTAGGGTGCCATTTCTTGTTGTTTTGAGTTCTCGGACTTTCATCTTTTCCAATCTTGTGAGCGAACCCTCAAGTACCGGCCTGCTATGGAAGCAGCTTCACACGCAACTGCAGCCGCTTATTAGAAGCGGCAGTGTCGCGCAAATTTAGTTGGGGGTTATGCGCACCTCAAAGCACAACCGCATGCATTCAACTGGAGTCTCGGCAATTTCAGCCGGGCACGCTGGCTTTGATGTTTTCAATTGAGCGGCTACCCCAGGCTCCTTCCAAATCGGCCTGGTGATGATGTTTTTTTTTTTTTTTTTTTTTTTTTCTTTTGTCTTGGTCAGATGTCTTGAATCTACAGCCAGGGATCGTAGCGAAGAATCCCGGCACCTGCAAGCATCCTCAATGTTCTGTGGTTCTGTTGTTCTGTCGTTGGTACACGGTAAGGTTGGCTCAAGGCATGTCGGCATCCTCCCCCTGGATGCAATGCCACTTCGATATCGGGCAGGCATCCTAAAGGAGCAGTGGCAAACGTCGTCACATTCTCGGTTATTTCGGCCATTGTCCTTGACGTTGCTGAGACCTGGACGGACTACTACGAGTCAGAAACCTGGAAGGTGATCCTCCACACAGCCCGCTTTCATTTCAGGTGAACCGACAATGGGGGGGGATTCTTCTTTCATTATTTTCCGCGAACCACGTGTGTGGTCGGTGAGGGAGCCTCCCCGGTGGGTGTGGCGCAAGAGCCGTCGAAGGCGCATTAGTAGTGCACATCGATTCATGGCGAGGTAGCCGCTGGACTCTTGAGGCTAGAGAGGTACAACTACAGAAGACAACCATCGGGAATGAGATACTTCGAGACGTCGTCACGCAGACAAAATATGAGCCACTTGCCGCGGCGCGTGGGGCCATCCGCTCTGATTGTGCAAATACCGTGGTATGAGAGACATTATTATATGGACTGCAGTTGCTCGACCGCGTTCGGAAACTCCTCCGCTCTCTGCACACTGGAGCCCTCGCGTACTCCATCACTGGTTGCCCCTTGCCCACAGCAACTTCCAATAGTTGACCAATGATGTACGGATTCTTCCCATTACAGAAATACGCACCGCCGGATCCGGAGGCGACTGTTATCTTGACAGCGGCCACGGAGTTGGCGATGGCCAATTGCAGCCGCCCCTGCCTCCCCACGCCCTTCCCTGTGCTGGTCCCCTACTTTCCTGTCGCCGGACCACCCACACTACGACTCGGGTCCTTGACATGTGGGCTTAGTGCATTATTGATGTGGTAGTCGCGATGGGGCAAGGGCTCGCTGTGAGGATGCAAGGTCGGAATCAAACTGGGCTGTGCCCTACATATAGTTGGTGTGCGTGGACTATCACCGCCGGCGATGGTCCCCATGTATATTTTGGGTGTCTGTCTCGTGCGCCTCGGAACTTAGACGGGCTGGAAAAGCTCGATTTTACCTTCTCACAGTAATGTTCTGGCCTCTTGATCTCATCTGCACCGTTTATTATTCATAATGTCTATCCGATCTGTTCTCACCAGCCTGGTCCTTACGGCAGTCCCTGTGCTTGGAGCTCCTGCCCTAGCACAGGCGTCAGCGCCGATCGAGGCCAGGTCTGTTATCTCTCATGATGCAGTCACTGGCTTCACCGAGGCCGTTCCCGACAGTGTTGCAGGAACCCTGATGCTCAAGTACAAGCCCAAGCTCAAAGTCACCAACGGCTGTGTGCCTTTTCCCGCCGTTGACGCCGAAGGAAACACCAGGTTCGACTCCCTCTCTTCGATCTGTAAAGACGCATCAGAGCATGTTCGGTATACTAAAACGATCCCTTGTAGCGGTGGACTGAAACCTACCGGGTCCTCGAATGGACACTGCTCCTCTTCAACGGGCCAAGTATACGCCCGTGCCGCTACCCACGGGGAGTACTTTGCTATAATGTACTCTTGGTAAGGCTCTGGGCCAGATCGACACCGCCTTGATCTCTACCGCTATGCTAACGGTACTTGTGAAGGTTTATGCCTAAGGACTCACCAACCAGTGGACTCGGCCACCGCTACGACTGGGAAGAGGCTATCGCATGGCTCTCAGGGGAGACCGCTGACGCCGCCCTGGTAGCTTTTTCTCTCTCCGCTCACGGCGGGATCTCCTCTACCAGGTCTCCTGGTCGCTCTGGGGACTCACCACTGGCCGAGTATGCCTCCACCTGGCCACTCAACCACCAGCTACTCCAGACTACCACCGTCGGCGGGACGCAGCCATTGATCGCGTGGGAAAACTTGACAGATGCAGCCCGTGATGCGTTGCAAACTACAGACTTTGGCAAGGCCATGGTTCCTTTCAAGGATTCTGTGTTCATCGGTAACTTGGAGAAGGGCTATGCTACTCTCTAAGTGAGTATTAGTAGCACATGTGGCGACTTCATTGTCCCTAGCTATACAGCTCAGCCCACACTGCAAAAGGGTGTGGGTGCATCCGTTTTCATCTGTGTTTCAAGTGCGACTAGGGGGTGGATATAAGGCTGTTTCGGATTCATTGTATATATTTGTGGTATGTGTCTGGTATCCCTTGTGGAATGAGCCTAATACGTTCTTAGACCAGAACGAGTTGACCCTCCTTCCGGCCACTATCCGAGTCACCCTGATAATCACTGTGTATGATGCGTTTTCATGGGTATTGTCCTTGCAGCCTCGCCCCTGCTACGTCGAAGTCCAAGAGCATTGGACATGCCTCCACTTTGCCGAGACGTTGTCCTGGAGAGTCCCCCGCGCTCATTCAACTGCTCGCTGGGAAGCATGATAGCGCGATCCAAGGAGTATGGTAGTCCCCGGTGGCGGCCGCGGATCATCATGCAGCAGATTATGACTTTGCTAAAAGTGGTAAATCTCCCACAAAGCGAGGTCATTACTGAAGGATGGCCGAGGGAAAGGCCGACGCAGCCGCTGAAGGTTTGTCAGCACTAATCACCATTTTCTATCAGGAGTTGAATGCGCCACTCACTATGCGGACATGACTTCGAACAGGATCGGGAATACCTGGAAAGCCTGTGTGCGTCGTGAAAGGTCAGTTAATTATTGAGGCAAGACGGTTGGCGTCAGGATACACGGGGAGCTTTACCGTCTGGTTGGGCTCCATTATCTTGTCCGCTTCAGCAATGCAGATACAGAATACGCCCAAGAAAATATACCACAAGTCGAAACTCAATTGGTTGCGAACATGTGCCAGTATGTACGATGTGGCCCCTTGATTTTCGTCAGGCTCTTCTTCGTCGGGCAGGTATATTCCCAGGCTCTTCTCCTCATACGTATTTGAAGCGCGAATACTGATTGCAATGGGTAACACGGAAATGTACATCATCACCAACAGGCTGAACTGTACAGCTGGGTTGACCTGTGAGAGGACATAAGTCGCCGTGCCAGTGTGGCGCGCCGAGGCAGCCTGGAAAAGGGATGACAAGATCCTGGGCCCAAGCGACAGATCATTCACGGCGGGGTTGTTCAGGTCCAAGGCGATGATAAGTACGACGTCTGCGACGTTTAGTAAGACGACGATTCCGAACAGAATCCACGTCGCTCGACTTGGGAAGAGAAGCGTGTAGCATCTTCGCGGGTGGTCGAGCAAAAACCTGAGTGTTTCCTTTAAGGACGACCGGCTCGGGACGAGCTTGAACATGGTCCAGACAATGAGTCGAAGGAAAATCGGATAGCACGTGTTGCCTGCAAAGGCGAGAAATGTCATGATAAGCATAGGCCAGGTAGCGTCGCGGAAAGTAACCATCGAGTCCGGGGTGAGGGTAAAGCCAAGGTTGTTGGCCATTGTTTGGGCAGAGTATATGGCCCTGGCAAAGTCAGCACTGACGAGGTCATGAGTAATGGCTAGAACGGCAAGTTTAGGACCTCACCACCATGAGTAGTCAATGCCGTTCACGTCGAGCCAGTCTCTGTACTTTTGGGGGGCATGGTGTATCCAAGGGACCAGGCTGATTACCCCGAGGATGTTGAGGAAGACAGCGTACGCTCATCTGGGATCAGCATGGGAATAGCAGCACCATTATGCGGCGCGGCAGAGGCGCAATGTGACTTACAGACAACAATCTTTAACAGCACCTTCAAGGCCCGGTATTCAATCCCACCGAGCCTCTCCCTGTCAGACGAAGTCAAATTCAGAAATTGCGAGTTGCGTCCGATTGTGACCTGCTTCGATAACATTGGCAGCCCGGTGGTGGGTCGATGGGGTGCGCTGGGGCGGGCAGCTCCCGCACGCGTCTTGCCTAGTACAAAGACTGTGCCAACGGTCGTCGCAACCCTCTCAATGGAGATGGCCTTGGACAGTGCTGGCAAGTTTCCTGGGCCGTCTCCTCCCCAGGTACGTCGTCTAACAATGCCCGTCTTGGGTTCGCTGGTCTTTGGGTCCACAACAGCGGCATCTTCGATATCTAGAGGCAGGCTTGTGTCAGAGATAAGACCAGACGACTGAGTTTTGTGACAACTTCACTGGGAGCTGATCTCACTCACCATCTGCCTCGTCTCCGACATCTCGCTCAACAATAGGATGGCCTGTCAAATGATCGTGAGTATCATGTAGAGTGAGGTCTTGATCGAGGGACTCAGAAAGCGTGAGCATACCATTGTCACGGTCCCTTGGACCCGGAATGTAAAGTGGCTTTGAGTCAGGCGGCCGGTGGACATCAGGTGCAAATGTTATCCCGCGTCTCGCGCTGTCGGTTTTGACTAAATTCAATGATTTGTCTGCTCCTGTCATGGACGGTGGCGATTTCCTAGCAGGCTCAGTGACGGTAGGGCGCAGGTCCAAGTCGGACTCAGAATCGGTGCGGTGTGGGCTTGGTTCATCGGCCTCTCGGTCCTCTGGTTTGAGGAGAATCGGTGCTGTATCGCCAGTCAGGGAGAGCTTTGGGCAATGTCCAGGAACGCGTGAGAGACAGCCTGAGACACACACCTAGGGTCTTGAGTTTTTTCCTGAACCAGTGCAGTCTCACAACTACTACTGCGATGTTGATGAAGGTGAGATTTGTGACCATGGCAATCAGATAAGTATAGACTTGTTGGTACGTCTCCAATTCTTTCAGATCAACGCTTTACAGATGCGCCAGTTGTCAGCCGTCATCAAACAAGGGTCTAATAGGCAGGACATACATACGTGTTCAGACCTGATTCTGTTGAGGCACTGACGCCGAAAAAGTACGCATCGATAGCCGAGATGTTGCCGTACGGGAGCAATATGAGCAGGCCTGAGAGGCCTGCCAGGATGATATACAAGTCTGTCAAGGCAGGTGTGTCGTCGTCAGAAACAATGTCCGATGCGCATCAGGGCGTCACACTCACAGTGTAGAGTAATGAAGTTAGCTTTGGGCATCCACCATGGTCTCCAGGTCGGCGGCCATCGTGGTCTCCAGGTCAGTTTCCATTTCGACTGGCCCTTGAGATCCATTGCCGAACGTGCTTTGGCTCAAGTTCCTCCTACTGGTCAGAGAATCCGGTCGTAGGACTGGGCCCACGCTGGGAGACTCTCATCTACCCGGGATCTTATGCGACAACACCAAGCCAGGCCGACCGATCGAGGGCGCTGTCATGACGGAAAGACGGAGTTGAGGCGTAAGCTCAAAGGAACATACCGGAAGAGGCATTTGCACGTGCGGCTCTAGCCTGGCACATGAATAAGGAGAGGCAGTGCCGCGTCTCGGAGGCCGCTCTGCCAAGGAGCTACAGACCAGGAAGAGACGACTTGGCAGCGCACGCCACGTAGGTGATAGGCGATGAGGTCACACAAAACTCAATCATTGGCTTCGTGATGCTGCGGAAGGAGTGTCCCAGCCAAATCGCTTCTCTTTGATTGCTGGGGATAAGCTTACTGCGAAAATCAGTTCGGTCGCTGCTGTGCTGACTGTGATTACGCTTCTCAAGTTTCAAATGAGGCAAGCTTCTTCAGCTCGTCTCCATCGTCGATCTAATAGTTCAGTAAATCTATCATCTCTTTTACGTCCTCATTTTACGAAGGAAATGTCACTTAAAGCAATGAAGCTGTAGGCCATAGAACCCAGGCGAGTGCCTGGGCGATTGTACACCCTAATCCAAACACAGCCCTCTTACATCCAATACCCGTGTCTTGATTGTGCACTTGGCAGGGGCTTAAGCGATATTTGGAAGTTCAGGCAATTTCTAAAATGCACTGCATGACAAGTGTTGCCTTCGCCAAGGAACAGTAGTTGCTTGGGTACTTAGGCAGGGGTTCTGTCTCTCACTTCATCTATATCTCTAGGTTGTCTCTAGGTTGAAGCTTCTGCTAATTTGGCAGATAAAGATACGTGAGTCCATGCAGTGGCTCTATCATTCGTTCCTTACACAATTGACATCAGAAACAAAGGTACTGAACCGGAGATCGTTTATTTAACCAACTGTGCATCGCTCAAATGCCCATGCAAAGCTCGTGCCTATGTAAACTACTTATGAAGACGCAAATTGGGCTCCGGAATCGGGAATTGGAATCATTCAATGTGCTTCGAAATTGACAATAACCAAAAAAGTCCTGCTAACTGTATTCCTCAAGACGAGATAGAAACGTTAAACTACAACACACGGCAGTGCCACTTGTGTACGCACCACGGAGCTATACAATGGGTCAATTGTGTTAGACTTTAGATGCTACCGCGGCATTGTGTTCTGTTTCCAGGCAAATACCATTGTTCTACTTCATCCCTACCATACCGGCTGCGAAGAGGCTTGGATGGCTCTGAGGCAACCAATTCCCTGGAGGCTGTAGGCCGAGACGTTGAGTCACGGAAGACTGCAGTTATTTAGATGCTATGTTGATATAGTATCATCCAGATTTACAAGTGGACATACAGCTCAAGCTTGATACCACAGACAGAATATCACGTACCGACTCCATCTCGACCTACATTTCCCACACACATACATATGATTGTGTCACCAAGAAGCCAATTCACCTGACTGTCCCGTTCCTCGTCCGCACAGTCTAGCGTACCCTCCCGTTTCTAGCCTGGTACACCTCAAATTCGGATCAGTATCGCAGCCTATACCACACACAATCAGGGGAATGCCACATCTAGCACTCCACCGAATAGCCGAGTCTACATGATCATGCAGGCCAGAGGTATCACAGTGCAGGAAGTGGGCATTTCTGGGTCATATACTAAGGATGTGTCCACTAGTTCATATCTCTAAGTTGTCCAGTACGACGCAACAACTCTGGCATTCCACGACACTGAAACACCCGGGGAACATTGTGACGATTGGTGATAAGAAAGATTCACGTAGAGCACGTAAAATTGGAATTGCGGGTGCCTCGGAGATAGCTCATACCGCAGCCTAGGCTGGATGTCGCACTGAATAGTAATCAATAAATATAGAACCTCGGAGCTCCACGCCCGGCGACACCATAATTGTCCCCGGTTTAAAAAATGCTTACAAACTTAGCTGAAAGATCTTGGGACCACTTTCATTCTTTCCGTAATGCTTGTTGACTAATCTGCTGTCCGGGAACTTTATTAGAGCAGGTTTTAGCTGATCGCTGCAGCGACCGAGAGGTCCCTCGATACTAGTAGATTTGTCATCGAGTCTCGTAGAATTTGAGTACTGAACAGGCTACAGCTTTGGCAAATGACACGATCTCCGGTCGGGGTGATGTAGCAGACTCCCCTGCTGGCATACTCTGTTAACGCAGAGAGAGATACCAAACTATGTTACGGCACCCTTTGAGATCAGTCAACCCGTCACTACACATTCATGGCCCATATTGGAAGCGGAGGCAGCCATGGTTCCGTGTCCGAGTGAAAGCGATGATCAGAAGATGTATGTGTATTCCATTCCTAATCAGCATGGGTCACCGAACAAGCTCAATTTCGCCCACCTCGTGTGATGTATATAAGTCGAGAGAAATCAGCATTTCGTGAGCGGATTTCACAGATCCTTCTTCTTCAAACCATTCTATTTCCGTGGAAAAAAGCACAAATCTCTCAAAATGAGTTCCCCTATGACCTCTCTTATCACTGGTGCGAATCGCGGTATCGGCCGCGGCTTCATCCAGCAACTCCTCCAGAAGCCCTTAACGACTGTCATTGCCGCCGTTCGCGACCCCTCGCACCCGACTTCCAAGGCCCTCGCAGATCTGCCCAGGGGGACCGACAGCCAGCTCATTGTCGTCAAATTGGATTCTACAGTGGATACTGACGCCGCCGCCGCCGTGGCTGAACTTCGTGAGCGAGGTGTTAGCTCTTTGGACGTCGTCATCGCCAACGCCGGCATTGCTCAGGGCGGTACTAGCGTACGCAACACGTCAGTAGCCAATACGCAGAAGCATTTCAGCGTCAATGCCATCGGCCCTTTGACTCTTTTCCAGGCCACCGCCGACCTGCTTCAGGCCAGCAAGAGCGGCAGTCCCAAGTTCATTGCTGTGTCGACCGTCATTGGCTCGATCGGCTCTCAAGAGATTTTCACCAACTTTCCCAAAGTTTCCAGCCCCTACGGAGCGTCCAAGGCGGCCCTGAACTGGTTCATCCGCCTTCTTTCATTCGAGGAGCCCTGGTTGACCAGCTCGGTCTTCCATCCGGGACTGGTGGAAACGGACCTAACTTCTGGCGGGAGTATGAACTTGAAGGCATTGGGCGCCATCTCCGTGGAGACCAGTGTGGAGGACATGCTCAAGGCTATTTGGAGCATTGAGCCAAAGGATCTCAGTGGGACTTTCTGGAATCACGATGGTACCATCATTCCCTGGTAAAGCACAGTTTTAAGCAGTCTGTGGAATGGCAAAACAGGATAGGGCAAGCTCAAGCTCGAATTGGGTTGTTCGATGAACCAACAAAATTCCATTTGTCAATCAAGTAGTTTTCAAGAGCAGAACCACCTGGAAGGACATGCAGCAAAAGAAAATCATGTTCATTCTGTACTTCTGTCACCAAAACATAGAATATTATGCTTTTCAATGCAAGAATGATTAGCTTCTATTTTTGGAAACCAAGTAAGAGCTGAGCTATGCTCTCAACGGTGTTTTATAGCAACACCAAAACCATACGAACAATACAACCAAGAATTACTTGAATAAGTTCCGTTTTCACTGTATAGCCACAGAGGGGTATTGATCTATGGCTGACAGCTATACTACATGCCTTGACTGTGTTTTGATAACCGATCAGCCGAAACTGTCACAAGTCATGGGGTCTGATGTTTCCCTTGAGAAGTGTTGATCAAAGGTCTTCTGATAGACAGAAATGCGCGTTCATAGTGGTCCTGCGTTTCGACAAATCTCAGGAATCCTAGAGTTGCGAAACCTGGGCATGACCAAATTCTCTATCACAATAACGGCATGGAATGACAAGATATGAGGAGCTGGTCGGCGACATTAATGGATTGGCCGAAGTTGAAGCACTGAGAGAGTTCAGCCAAACATCTCAAGTGCTGTTCTCGGGTTCAGAGAGATACGGAACCCCCAACTTCCAAGATTGCTCTCCGTCTTCTCGACGGTGTTGAAAGTTCCAATCCAAGGCCTCAGACATATTTCTCTAACATATTTCAAACATCATAGGAACTATACAACTATTATACTGCTCGAGCCGCTCTGGGAGCGTGTCCACATGAGAGAGAGAGAGAGAGAGTGTGTGTGTGTGTGTGTGCATCGCTCATCTGCAATGTGATGGTGCCCATGCGACTGCAGGTGCTTGAAACATGGGTCCCAGTTTGCTACTCTCAACCAGGCTGCACGGAGCAAATTGATGCAGGGCGCAGTTCTGAGACATCACGGCGGTTATTGCCAATGATAACTCAGTTCAGAATTTTAGAATTCGACATCTGGAGGTGGCGACCCCCAATTGATCTCCATTTCTCGGCTATATAAAGCTACCATCTCGCAGCCTTCCAACGACTAGCCCACCAGCTACCTCGGCTTACACCGAGATTGAAGAACCTTCTTTCGTAGTATAGTGGTTAGTATGCAAGCTTGTCATCGCCCATCCAGGAAGCAGCAACGCTTGAGACCCGGGTTCAATTCCCGGCGAGAGAGAAGAATTTGCATCATAACTTTTTCAGCTTTTTTTTTTGGCCCCCCATGGGTACCGTCTCGGATAATCTCCGACGTGCTGCACTAGGCACCATATTAGTGGAAGAGGGGAGCTGCAGCTGGTGGAGATTGTCGGAGCTTGTGTTACGTACTGTGTAGACAGCTACCAGTTGATGTTCACCCTTTACTTTAGGTTAATGCTTGCCAACTGGTTGCATCTAATTCCTTTTAATCTGGAACTACACCTTGAGTATGAAGTATTATCCAAGTATTCCTTCCGAGATCTTCCGGTTGAAATTGCGACTACTTCCATTGGTTTACGGCAGTGTGTTTGTGCCAGTATACAAAGCCTCAAACGCTGGTTGGTGCTGGCCTTCAGGCCCAGACCAACAGACTCGGCATATTAACCATGGTATCCCCTTGGGAATATTTATGTAAACAACAACCACTCATGGGTGTCTCGACAGAACGATCGTGCGGTCTATGAAAGACGTGCAGGAGCAATGCTTCAACCCTAGCCTCCATTCTTCGCAGTTGATCTACCGATGTCACTAACATATACCTCCATCACTTCACACACCAACGCCATGGCATCGTGGTTGAACACGTGGCAATCCCCAAGTACAGCCCAAACGACTGGCCTGTTTTTGCACACTTGCTACTCTGGCTGCTCTTGTGCTTGGACTGACGATCGGACTGTCCGTGTACAGATTGGAAAAGACGCCACGGCATCCATCCCTGAAGCGCAACATACCTGCGTTGGCTCGCTGCTGGTCACTCAGTAGGTCGAGGGACATAAATCTTCAGTGGGCGTGGCCATCAGGCATTGGTCCAACGTTGATGCTATATCTAGCTCAATCCGTTCTCGGTTTGTTTGGCCGTTAGTGCACCCATTCTCAAATGCCAAAATACCAAATCGGAGACAGACTGCGACAAGTAGATGCGCACGAAGTAGACTAGCGATATCGAATTTACGATCGAACGCCTTGACTTTGTGCGACGTGTTATCTTCCAAGTCTTTTGGTCGCTTCTCAAAAATCGGCTGACAGCCAATCATCCCCTTTGACGATCATCACCTGCATCCGCATCCAGCACATCTCTGATCTGTTGCAGACCGCGCTCTGCTTCTGAGCAGCACGAGGCCCATCCTCGAGACTACGAGCGGCAATTGCGTATACCAACTCTTCTAAAAGTCTTGTGTTGGGACTACTTCGCACCACCGAAGGGCGTGAAGGCGTAGATGGTCCCAAGAGCCGAGAGGGCTGGGCCTCCGTGGTCAAGAAGCTCAAGGTCTATGTCCGCAGTGCCAAAGTAACTATGCGTATCGGACAACACACTGCTGGTTGTCAAGCCACGCGATTGCACCCTTCAAGAATTTTGCCTTCTCGTCGTCGCTTCCCTGTGGTTGGAACTGTGTGGGTGGGGGTCGGTCAGCTGGCCCTCCCCGGGACTTTGCCCCCCGTCGTCTGCACAAAACTCACCTCAGTGATCCACACAGGGCGATTGCCGGCAATGCGGCACATGTCGGAGACGAGGCTTTGAAGTCGTCCAAAAGAGAGCACGGATTGTACTGCAACACGCAAGGTCAGCGATGAAAGCACCGAGAAATGAATTGCCAGAAGCAGAGGGTCAAACAATATGCAGTCCGTGCATGACCAATTCCACAGTCTGCGGCCATAAAGGACTACAAACAGCGGTGAGGCTTCCATGCCGCGGAGAAGTATGCCTGAACAGGTGAAAAGAGTCATGGGAGGCCGCTTACCCAATGGATCGGGACGAAATCGATGGTACAGTCACTGCATTGAGCAAGGAACTGGGTCATCCAGTCGCGTCCATCGTTCGAAACCGCAGGGGCTCCTAGCTGGGCCTTTCCAGCAAAGGGCTGCATATATTTGCGGTATGCATCCGCGGCGGCCGTGGTGTTGATGTTCGACTGGCCTGCATTCTCGGGCTCGTTGAAGGCAAGGAGGTGCTCGGAGCCGGCGGCAATCCAGGAGGACGCATGGCCATCCCAGGCACCTGTGAGTTCCGGCTTGATGCCCCAAAGCATGGGAACATACTCTGTAAAACTCTGCTTGTTGGTTGTGGTTGAGTACCAGTTGTACATCCAGTTGACAGAGCTTCCGTTTCCACCAAACCCCTGCGGCGGATCAAGATGTCAGTTACAAAGAGCTCCAAAAGGGGCTGCGCACGCTCAGAGACGGACCAACGATGGAAGGGCAGGATCAATGTATGGTGAAACTCCCAGTTTAGGGGCATTCGGGTTCGAGGCAGCTCCATATGCCAAGATCCCAAACGGAACTGTCCTGTCACGCGGCTGTTCTGTGGATAGCATGCTTTCAGGGGTATCGTAGATTGGGATTTCGCTTTAATCCCACTCAAGAAAACCATGGTGGTATAAGTGTTGCACGCACATCCCTAACCCTGGTTTACAACCACTTTCTAAAATGCTTAAATAGCCAGATTTCTTTTATTTCCTCCTTTTAAACTACTCTTAGGAAATAAATGCTTTTATAATTATGCTTTTAAACCCTTTATAATACTTATAGCCTTTTATAGTTATAAGCCTGGTTTATATAAAATAATCTTTCCTTTTTATAAATTATAAATAAGTTATGCAAAGCATATCTTAATTATATTTATTTTATATTATTTATTTCCTTTTATTTTTAAGTATATATTTATATAATAACTATAAATACTTCTTTAAACCTTATTAATTAAATAATTTAATTAAATACTTATTTCTTTCTTATTTAATTTATTATATTATAATCCTATTGCTAAATTAAGAAATATTAAGAATTTATAAACCTTAATGCATTAAATGCAGCCCTTATTAAGTAATTAAATATAATCTTAAAACTAAATTCTTAATTTATATAATATAAAAAAAAAAGATATTTAAAAGGCTTTATATAATAAGTATTAAGAGCATTGAAGTAATAATAAGCTTTTAAAAAATAAAATAATACTTACTTTATTCTTTCTCTTATTCTTTAATAAATTAAAAAAAAGATATAATTAATATCTTTAATAATAAGTTGCTTTAGCTTTTAATAAGGTAATTAAATTTAACGAAAAATAAAAAATTTAAAAATAAATATAAAAAATAATATTTAACTTAATTCTCTTTTTATATTTAATTAAAATAATAAATATAAAATAATTTTCTATTTAATAAGTAATTTAAAATATTAAAAATAACCTTGCATTCTTTAAATTAAGCATAATAAATACCCTTTAAACTTAATATTAATAATACTTAAAAAAAGCAAAGAAATTAAGTATTAAATCATAATAATAATATTAAAACTTTATAAACTTATATTTATAAGCTTATACTTATAAATTACTTAAGATTAAGAAATTTATTAATTTAAATAACTTTTTATAAGTAATTATAATATATATTACCCTTAATTAAGTAATTTTTAAGCGCTAAGAACTTATTAAATAAAACGCTTTAAGAAATCCTATTTATTCCTTAAAAACCTTATTTAAAAAACTAATAGCATTTTTATATTATAATAAGCTTACATTAACCTTTAGAAATATTATAATATTTATTATATTAAAATTAAAAGTACTTTTTAAAATAAAAAGTAATTAATTAAGGAAATAATTAAAAAATAAAAATATATTATCTTAATTATGCTAATAAAATAAAATATATAAATGCCTTTATTAAAAAATTAATTAATAAAAGAAATATATTTAATTTTTTACTAATTATTACTGCTTTTATTTTATGCTTTTAAAAAAATAAATCTTAAAATTAAAAATACTTTTAAGGAAACTTAAATATAATAAGATTAAAATATAATTATAAAAAAATTATTATAAGAACTTAATTTAAGAACTTACTTAAAAAAACCTTTTGCTTAAAGATTAAATATAAAGCTTATTAAGAATATTAAAAACCTCCTTAAGTATATTTTTAAGAGCTATTAAGAAATAATATCTTAATTTCCTCCTTTTATTTTATTTTTCCTTATAAAGCAAACTTATGCTTTTTTAAACCTTAATTTTAAAAAATTATTTAATTAATAATACCTTTATTATATTTTTATTAATTTTTTATTAATTTATTTATACTTTAATTAATTTATTATAATTACTAATTATAATTAATTCCTTAAAAATATATATAACTTTAAATTTTATATTATATTCTTTATTTTTAAGTATAGTTTTAAATAATTATAGCGTTATTTACTTTATTAATTTTATTAATTATTTAATTTTAAATATCTTTAAAAAAGCTATTAAAATAAATATTATTAAAGTAAAAATTATATCTTTAAAGGTTTTAAGCTATAAAATAAAGCGCTTTAAAAATATATTATATAAAGTAAATAAAAAAAGAATTAAGAATTTAATTTTAAAAAATATAATAATTATAAATAAATTTTATATTAATATAATATTAAAAGCGCTCTTATAAAAGTTAAGCATTTAATATTATAAAATTAATTTAACGCTATGCTTTAAATTACTTAAATAAAATATTATTCTTTTTAAACTTATTTAATAGTATAATTTAATCTTTCTTAAATATATATTATTATAATTTCCTTATTTTTATCTTTTATTATAAATACTTATAAGTATTATAAATATATATAGGCTTATAAGTTTTTTAATAAACTTAATAAAACCTTTTAAGCCTTTTTAATACTTAAATAAGAATTAAAAGGACTTAATAACTTTTTAATATCTTTAGTTTAAATACTTAAAGGCTAATGCTTTTAAATTATTAATTTAATATGCTTAAGGCGTAAAATTTAAGGAAATTAAATAAATTAATTATAAGAATTACTTTAAAGCCTTTGCTAAAAAGGTAATTTAATATAAATTATTAAAAAGCAAGAGCTTAAAACCCTTTTTTAAATCTTATAAGATCTTTTTTATTATTTATAAGCACTAAATGGGTTAAATTATAAGCTTATAATAATAAATAAGTTCTTAGAATTTATTTATATTTTCCCTTTTATATTAAAAACTTAAGAATAAGTATTTGGCATTTTTTAAGCTTATAAAAGCTAGGTAAAATAATAATATAATTTAAATATTTATAAAATTAAATAAAATATTAAGGTTATAATAATTAGCTAGTTTATAAATATTAAATATATTAAATAAGCAAAATAAAAGGGTATTAATTTAGAATTTACTTCCCCTTAAACCTTAAAAGCAAACGGCGCTATAAAAAAGGCTGGTAAAGTAATAAATAAGAATATGCTTTAGCTATATTATTAAAAGCTAATTTACCTTTTAACCTTTAGCTAAAAGTAATATAAACTATAACTTAATTACATAATATATTACTTACTTTAAGGAAAAAGGAGCGCGCCTTAAATACTTTTTTATATATATAGTTTTCCTATTATTTCCAGTAATTTAAATTAATATAAATTTACCATTTTATAGCTTATTTATTACCCTATTAAGGTAATATTTATGCTTATAAATACAAAGCATATATATTTAAAAAGGAATATAAAAATAATATAGAGAAATGCCTTATAAAGGGGGAATTAAGGGCCTATATTAAATATTTAATTAATTATATAATATTTAATATTTTTTAAATTTAAATTTCTTTATTTAAGTAAATAATCTTTATAAAGAATATATAGTTTAATAAAAATGTGTTTTATAAATTAGCAATAAATAAAATAAAAAATAACCTTTTAACTTTTAAAGTAAAATTACTAAATATTAAGATTATTAATGCTAAAAAGATTTAAGATTATATTTATATTATACCCTTAATACCTTATATAAAAAATAACTTAATTAATTTAAATAATAAATTTAATACTTATTTTATATTAAAAAAGAATAAAATTAATACTTTTAATTAAAACTTAAGAATAAAAACTTTTAAATTTAAAAGGTAAAGTTCGCTATATATTACCTTTTTTAAAGAGCTTAGGAAATTAAGAATAAGAACTTTTAACCCTTAAGAAAACCTTAAATATATTAAAATAAAGCTTTTATAAAGAGAAATATACTTTTATTAATAAAGTAAGGGCTAATAAACTTAAACCTTTCTTTTAAGAATTATATATGCTTAAAGTTATAGGAAATTAGGAATCCTTTTAATTAATATAAATAAAGAAAATATAAAAATAAATTTAAGAGTTTAAATTTATAAAAAGATTTTTTTAAATATATAATTAAAATAAATGCTCTTAAAAATCCTTTAATTAATTATTATATTTAATAAATATAATTATATTTTACCTTAATATAACTTTTTAAAATAACTTTATAATTACTTTTTTGCTTAATTAACTTAAAAGATAAAAATAAAGAATACTTAAGGATTTATATTTTTTAACCTTAAATAATATAATAATAGCCATTATTTAAGCTCTTAAGATTAAGTTTAGGCCTTACTTATAATAGCAATATTATAAAAATCTTTCTTTAAAACTAATTATATAAAAAAAGGCTTAAAAAAGCCCTTTTTAAGATAAATAGCTTAAAGCAATATATTAAGAAATATAAAGTTTTATTAAGCTTAGTATTTAAAGGATTATTAAGCGTTAAAAAGCAAAATTAATGCTATTACCTTTAAAATAAATATATAAATATAAGCTTAATAAAGATAGAATAATTAAATCTTTTAAGGCATAAATTTATATTTAAGGAAACTTATAACCTTATTTTATTATAAAAAATATATACATTATAACTTTAATTATAAAATCATTTTATATAATAATAGCAATTATTATATACTTTAATTTAAAGATTTAATAATTTAATATTATAATTATATTCTTAAATGCTAATTAAAAAGGGTTAAATTAGATTTATTATAAATTATTTCATGAATTTAAGAAGTTAAGGAAATATAAAGTACTCTTAAAAGCACTTTATAAACTTAAAGATTTTTTATTTCTTTAATATAAGGATTTTAACTATATATTATAAAATTTAAGCTTAAAACCCTTATTAAAAAAGCTATACCTTTTTATTAACTTAGCTTATAAAGTAATAATTCTCTTTTATATAAATAATATTTTAATTATATATCCTAAGGATAAATATAAATTCTTTATAAAAATTAAAAATAAAATTAAGTTTATATATAAAATAAAGAATTAAGAAAAGGCTTAATAATTTCTAAGTATATAAATTCTTAAAAATTAAGAAAAGTACATTATAACGCTTTTTTATAACTTATATATTAAAAAGATAATAAATAAATATAATTTATTAAAAAGTAAAAACTTTTTATTATTTACTTTAATGCTTAAAGAAAAGTTTAAGCCTTTTTTTAAATAAGCCTTAAAATAAGAAATTTAAGAATTTTAAAAAAAAGTTAATTCTATCCTTTATATAATAATTATAATATACTTAAATATAGCATTTCCTTACTTTATATTATTAAGATTCCTTATAAATTTAAGTTTAAGTTACCTTAAAGCAATAAATTATATAATTTAATATTTATATATTACTTAATTCCTTAAATTATAATTTAAAGAAAATTAAGAAGCTTAAGCGCTTTTAATAATTAAAAATGCTTTATTTATTAATAATAAAAAGAATTAAAAATCTTTTTAAAAATATATAATAACTTATTTTAAAGGCCTTATATATTAAAAAGCATATAAATAAATAATTATTTTTACTTTAATTATTAAGATTAAATTATTAGCTTTAAAGCTTATAGCTAAAGAAATAATAGCTTTAAAATGCTTATTTAAAAACATAATTTTAAATTTAAGTAAGCTTTAAATTATTTATTATTATAAATAAATAATAATATACTTAATTACTAATAAATATAAATAGCTAAAAATAAAGCTTAAATATATAAATATTTAATAAATATAATTAAAATAAGAATTTAAAAAAAAATACTTTTAATATTATATACTTAAAAATTAAAAAAATACTTATAAATAAACTTATTAAAGTTTTATTATATGCTTAATTTAAATATTTTAAAGCTTTTTTAAATCTTTAAAATATAAAAAAAGTAATAAAAAAAATTAATTTATTTATTAATTATTCTTATTATTAAGTTTTTATTAAAAATCTTAAAAATTATATTTCTTAAAAACTATAATATAATCTTTATATAAAAACTATTTTATAATTAAAAATTACCTTTTAATCTTTATAATAATATATTAATTAATTTAAAACTTTCTTTTAATTATTATAATAACTTTTTAACTTTTTTAAAAAACTTTTTTAATCTTTAATTAAATTCTTAATTATAATTTTAAATTAAAATTTAATAATATTTACTCCTTAATATTATTTTTAAAATTAAAATGCTTAATTATAATAATAATGCAATTCTTATACTTTTTTATAATTTTTATATTATTAATAATTTAATTTTAAAGCTTTTAAGCCTTTATATTAATCTTATTATATTGCTTTAAAGTAGTTATAATTTAAGCTTTAAAATGCTTTATTATATCTTTATGCTTATTCTTTATAGCTTTTATAAGCTATTATTATAAAGTAAAGATTTTTTAAGTATTAAAAGGAATTATAAAAATGCAATTAATATAAGTAAAATTAAACTTTTTGCGCTTATATATATTTAAGGCTTCTTTTTAAATATGCTAAGACTTTTTAAATATTAAGAAATTATTAAATTAAATATAATAAAGATAAAGCATAAATAGCAAAAAGGCTATTAAAAATAGCTTATAAGAATTACCTTAAATGCAATAATAATAATAATAATTTTTATTATTATAATTTATATAAAAATTATTATTATAATTATATATAAAACTCTTAATATAAGGAAGATAAGAAATATAATGTTTATTAATTTTTTTAAGCTTTTTTATATCCTTCTTCTTTTTTTTATACTTTATTTTAGCCTTTTTCTTAAAAAAAAGTTTTATTTTAAGCTTTAAGTTATTTATATATACTTAAAAGTTTTTTAAAGCTATATTAAAAATTAATATATATTTTAAAATTAATTTTTAAATTAATTAAGAAACTTACTTTTAAGTATATTATTTAGCAATATTTTAATAAAAGCATTAAAGTTTTTATTATTTTTATTAATAAGCTTTTTATTAATTTAAATATGCTTATATTTCTTTTTTTAAACCTTAAGGGTATAAAAAGATAAAATAGCTTAAGGCTTAAAAGCTTATTTTTTATTACTTTTAGCTATTTTTAATATAATTAAAAAGATACTTAAAATTAATAAAAATAAGTATTTTTAAATATAAATTTAATTAAAAAGTTTAAAAAAAAGGTTTAATTATTAATTATAAGTTGCATTATAGGGTTATAAGCAATTAAAGTTTAAGTAATAAAGTATATATATTATAGGAAAGGTTAAATGATTAATTGCTTAATAGGTTGCAGTTAATATTTTTAAGTATAAATTAGCTGCTTAAAAAAATAAGGTAATTAATAGGGTAGAAATTGCTTTTTAATTAAGGGGTGTATTGCATGCATATCCCTAACCCTAATTTATAATTACTTTTTAAAATGCTTAAATAGCTAAATTTCTTTTATTTCCTCCTTTTAAACTACTTTTAGGAAATAAATGCTTTTACAATCATGCTTTTAAACCCCTTACGACACTTGTAGCCTTCCACAATAAGCAGTGTAAAAGAAAGCCCTAAACATATATTGCATATATCGAAGAAAGGATCATGTTGCACTCACCTTGATGAGGACGTCATCGTTTGCACCCAGCCCACGCTTGGGAGCACCATCAGCCATCACGCCAATGATGAGCAGGGTGAAAAAGCAGATCCTGGATTAGATTCTGGTCATTAGAATGCCTAGTGATTTACATAAAAGCAGACAAATGGCGCTGAAAAATCTGGGTGACAAAACTGTCACGGGTAATCTGCCTTGGAAAACGCATCCAGGAGCTGGGGACGGAGGGGGGGGGGAATCTCAGTATGTTTATGAAAACTCACATCTTGATGTTATCCATGTTGGTTAGGATAGTATTGAGTCACTTTGAGGAAGTGAGCCGTTGATGGTGATCAAACGATGGACTGTTGGTTTTGTTGTTGGTGGGCTTGGTAGCCAAAATGTCGGTGATTGAGCTTGGGGTGCGAGCCCCTTTCTTGGGCAAAGGGTTGCTGAAAAAAATAGCCTTAGTTTTGGACTAGTTTCTGACAAGTGGAATGAAAAATCAGCTTCTGGGAGCGTGACCGAAGAGTCAACCCTGTTTGTTGATGTTGGCTGGCGCAAGACTTCTTGACGGTGAGCAAACGGTCCAGTACCTACATGAGTATTGCTGCTGTACAGCAGGGGCTAAGCACCGAAACTTACTATGGCAACTGCTTGACGGTTTGAAATGGCCGCAGTTCCTTGGAGATATCGGAGGAAACGTTTGGACAGGGAGAGGTTTTGATTTAGGGCTCTCTGGAGGCCGCTGGGGACTGGCTCGAGATCACAGAAACCGTATTCCATTACTCAAGATCAATATTTATATATCTTGAGAATTAAAGGAGTGGAGTTTCACTCTGAGATATGTTGGAGTCTCTCTCTGAGATGACAGGCAAGATAAACGTTATTGACCAAGGCTTCGGCCGGTTGAGGAACTATCAGAATGGCCTCTGGTAAACATTTCCGATACACCCTTTTCTAGGTAAGCTCACAACCTTGATCATTTACTTACTGACTGGCACCGGTCATAACTAATTCTCAGCAGCAGAATGAAGATGGCTTAGAGGTTGCCAATAGGAAACATCCGACAGCACTCAGGGATGTTGATAAGGACCACCAGTGGCAGTCTAGGCAAGTGATCAACAAGGTAATATGACTTGCACACATACTACGGGTGCTCTTAGGAGAACAGAAGAACGCCCTTCAATTTGACCTTCCGTCTCTGTGCCCGAAACTGCTCCTGCTCTCTTATCAGTGTTCCTTACTGAGAATGCACAGCGGCTTGTATCAATACCAACGAGCCAGACCATCCAGCTTATCAAGGATCGCTGCTCCGGAGCCTTACACTTGAAAAGCCGAACCCACAGGACCAGTCTGCTCTTATGTCAGACCCTTGTCAGCAGCAATGGTAGGGCGAGGTGCCTTGACGTGAGAGACCTGGTGAGGAATTAAACAATAACACAGGTACAACTTTTCCTACGATCCCGATAACCAAAACAACACATATCAGCCCAATGGTAAGCATAAAATCAATCTTCGAGGGGAAAATTTGTCCGCAGTTTTGCGTTCTTCGCCATTCCATTCCGGTGACCTTGAGTAAAATCGTACATAGACATGTGATGAAACAAGACACACAGAGGTGACTTTCGAAAAGCAGGAATGATTCATGCCAGTCCGTCAACCATTTCATTCCAAATCAACCGGCCCCTTGCGTCTGAGTAATGATTGATGGGATATCCCCACCGTCCCTCATCAAGACAAACTCCTGGAAACTTCATAAGACAACTCCCTGTCCAGTTAGAAAAATGAGAGGATGATTGGGCCACCAGGCTAGTCCACCGGCAGCTTCATGCTGCAGTCCATCCGAGAAGAGTCTGAAGACGACGGAGCACGACCAGACCCCTTTTTCTAAAAGTTGCTGCCTCCACCATAGTTCGAGCCCCAGCCGCCATGGCGAGGTCCTCCGGAGCCGTAGTAGCTATTGCCACCGAAACCGCCGTAGGCAGAGTAGGGGCTGTTCTGATGGGCCTGGCCGGATCCTGCCCCCATGCCGTAGCCTGTCGCTGCAGACTGGGCGCCATGCAGGCCGCCGTGGCCCTGCAGGTGACTGGGATAGCCGCCGTATCCCATGCCCGGCTGGGCAGACTGCGGAGGGGGGAGACCAGCCTGGGACGGGCCGGTATTGGTGGCAGAGCCGGGCCTGGCTCCAACGAGTGAAGGGCTGGGCCCACTTGCTGCCTTGGCGTCGCCATATGGCTCCAGTTTCTCAGCGCTGGACGCAGCCGGCTGAGTGGCGGGTGCGTTGAACGACTGACCCGCTTGGGCGCCATAGGAAACCCCACGGCCAAAGGTGTCGTGGATGCCCCCAAAGCCGGCACTTCCAAGGCCGGGCTGAGCACCCGACTGTGCGGACCCTGCGCGGCCGTAGTCGCCTAGGCCAGACCCGACGCCACCGCTATCGTTGCGGTGCAGAGAAGACTGTGGATATCCAGTCGCAGGCGACGATCCATGTTCGAACGGGGTCTGTTGCTGAGACATCCCATAGTGGTGTGGCTGACCATAGAGGCCGCCACCCTTGCCATATGGGAAACCACCTTGGCCGTAGCCACCGTATTGGTTCATGTAGTTGGAGTAGAACTGTCCATAGTATGGTTGATTGTAGAACTGATTCCCATGCTGCTGCTGCTGCTGCTGTTGATGCTGACCGGCGAGGCCCTGCGGGTGGCTAGGGGCCGTTGGCTGCTGGCCTTGAGCAGTTGGGTTGGGCGTGGTGTTACCGCTATTCGGGTCCTGAGCAACGGCGGCCCCAAATCGGGACTGGTTAGCACTCTGAGGGTACTGGCTGGCCAAATCACCCTGCGAGGCGCCGTATCCACCAAAGCCAGCCCGTGCAGCGAGACCGCTGTCCTGTGGGGCCTGGCTCGTCTGCTGCTGCTGGCCGTAGTTTTGCCCGTAGTAGTTGTACGGGTTGCGGTTCTGCTGATCAGCGGTGTAGAAGGAGGAATACTGGTCGGCCGAGGAGCTGTAAGCACCACCGGGTTGCTGGTTCTGAGGCTGCGACTGCTGCTGACTTGGGAAGCCCTCGAACTGGGATTGGGCCGCAGATGGGTTGGCCTGGCTGTACGAGTCGAAAGGTTTCTGAGGGAACGGGGACTGCTGCTCCTGGGCGGTTGGCTGGCCGAATCGACCGTACTGCTGCTGTACGGCTGGCTGAATCGGTGGCTGGGCTACCGGAGCTGGCGTGTAAGAAGTTGTCAGCATTGCACTCCCGAAGGGTCGGACCGACTGATCTGAAGAAAAAGAGTCGGGTTCACTACCTTGGACGGCAGGAGCTTGGTGGGCCGCAGGCGCAGTCGGGGGAACTGGGGCGCCTAGATGGGCATTAGTCTGGTAGGCTTGGGCATGGCTCAAGGGAGCTTGCGGGCCCTCTTGCGAGAAGGGAGGTGCAATACCGGAGGGACCTGTGCTTGGTGGGAGGGCGACTGCGGGCTTTTGGGGGAAAGCTTCGGGGACGGGGGCCGGAGGGGCGGGAGGCAGTGAGGCCCGGGGCTGGGTGACGGGAGAGTCCGCCGGTGGTTGTGCGCGCGTCTCGGGCTCTTCGCGATCACCATCAATGTCGTCCTCGCTTCCGTTCAGGTTAAAGGCACCAAACTGGACGGTAGCGCGCTCCAGCTGCTGGTTGGCTGCCTGGGGCATGCGCACAGCCTCTTCCTGGTTCAGGAACCGCCGTTGGGTCTGGCTGGGGGTGCGAGGGATGGGGGCGCGCTCTGTGGCTCGGCTGGCGGTCGCGGCAAATCCACTCGTGGGTGCCTTCTGAGCCCTGGTGCTGGGCGTGAGAGGCGGAGATCGGCGTTGCGTTTGCGCTGACGGTGGAGGCTCGCGGGTCCCACGAGTCGGCGGTCTCACTGGCAGCTGTCTCTGTCACAGGTGGGTGGGATTCGTCGACAACCTGCTCAAGGTTCGTCTCAGTCAACTGGTCCTGGGAGGGCGTCAAAGCAACTTCTGGCACGACTACCATAGGTTTCTCTGCAGGAGCTTGCTCTTGCGCAGGCTCAGCAGAAAGCTCAGCGATCTGTTCGGCGGCGGGCTCAGGCGCCGGTGCGGGAGGCTCGTCAGGGGCGGGGAGAGGTTCGACAGCGGGCTCGGGCTCGGATTCTGGAACGGGGGCAGGAGCCTCTTTGGGGGGCTGAGGTGCGGGCTTCAGGGCGGTCGACTGTCGGAGCATGCTGGCCCAGGTCTTTGCGGTCCCTTGAGGGATGACAGTCGACTGAGCAGGCTCAGGAGCGGCGGCGGGTCTAGCAGCAGGAGGAGGAGCAGCAGAAGTGGTATCAGAGGCGGCATTGCTATCCCAAGCGCTCTCGGCGGCAACAGCAGCAGCGCCAGCAGCCCAGCCGCCGTCATTGTCATTCTTGGTGGCATCCCAGGCGTTGGAGTCCTCTGTGGGGACGGACAGAGGCTGGTTCTCCCTGAGGCGCCCATTGGTCGTCGCGGTTGAAGATCTGCCACGGGCGGCACCGCGGGCGCCGCGCTCGGTAGCACGGCCACGGCCACGTGCGCCATCGGTTCGGCCACCTCGAGTGGTTCGGGCAGTCGTGACGGCTGGGGAATCGGCGCCAGTCGTGGTGGTGAAGGTGTTGTCCTTAGCCTTAGACTTGGCCTTCTTGTCCTTTGGCTTGGAGACCTCGCCCCACTGTGAGATGGTACCTGGTGCGGACGGGTGAACGGTTAGTCGGCCAGAAACAGCGACAGTAACATTGGCAGCGGCGGAGGGAGCGAGGGCGAGCACAGCAGGAATGGGGAGGAAAAAGGGACGAAGGTAAAGGGAGAGGCGGGGCAGAGGATGATCTTAGATCACTCACCATCGGCGATGCGCTCGATGGTCGAAGTTTCGTCGCCGTCGGTCTCCTTAAGAGCGTACAGGATGTCGACCTCTGACCAGTCTGGGAAGACCTCCTTGATGAGCGAGACCTTGGAGCCGAAGGTCTTGTTCAGGTCGCCAATCTCTCCTTGGTCCTCGAGGGTTGGTAGGGCGTTGGATTCAAAGTCGTGCTTTGGGTCGCCGTTGGTTGCAGCTGCAGCGGAGCGAGAGGCGTTTCGTCCTCCCCTGCTGGTGAAGCCACCTCTTCCGCCTCGACCAGAGCCCCTGCCGCGCGAGGCGGCTGGTCTTGCTTGTACGTCAGACATTTCTGAGGATGTTTTGTGTGTGTGTGGAGGATGTAATAGTGGTAGGCTGGGAGGCTGCGCAAGGCAAGGTCAGCAACGGAGAGTAGAATGCGTTCGGCGGCAGGCTGACGAAAAGCTTTGGGCAGGTGATAGATTGGATTGGCGGGCTGGGCGAAGGTCAAGACGCCGCCGTCGTCAACCGGTGCTTGAAAGGATGGTGTGAATGGGTGGGTGGTGGATTGAATGTTGAGACAGGGTAGAGATCGGGTTCGTCCAGACCAGGGAGGAGAAAAAAACAAAACGCCCGGACTCCCTGTGCTACTGAGGAGTGGGCGGAGAGGCTGTTTCTGGAAGTGCGATGTGTGTATGGTGGTTCCAAAGCCTTGCTAGCTGCGCCGTGGGGTTGGAATTGCCATTTGCAAAGGGAGAGGTGAAGGCAAGGTCAGTCCAAGTCCCCTTCAGGGTGGTGGTGCAATACGTGCCCAAGGTCAGCGCCAGTGGGTGCAGGTCTTGGTCTGTACCACAGTACCCTAGAACGACCACCTGGTACCTAGGTACCTGCCTGCCTGCCTATGTGATGGGTACAGCGACCAGGTAGGTAGGCATGTACCGCGGTACAGCCCCAGCGCGAGAAGGGCGACAAATTCGGACTCGCGTCAATGCAGGGGGACAGCTTGTTAGCATGGCCATAACATTCAAATGTGAATCATAGGTGGCTTTGAGTTACGGCACTGTTTGGCTGTGTTTGGCTGACTTGTCGGTCCAACCCAGGTACCTCTGCATATGACCTAGACTGGTACTCTGGGGCTTGGGCAAAGCTGTGCTGGACTGCAGCAGTATTTGGACCTGGCAACAAGTTGTGGGTGGGTAATAGACAGCTGAAGCTGGAGCTGAGCTGAGCTGAAGGATACCCAAAGACACATTGAACAGAATGCACAACTTGTATTGCAGCACAGTCACACGTAGGCACTCGGATCGCCAAAGTCAGTGGAGGTGAAGGATGGGGAGAGGATTGTGGATTGAGGTTGGCTTGGTCGACTGCCATGAGACTGCCTCAGGTACCTACCTGCCTACACTAGGGAATTCCAAGCATATTACATCTGGGGCACAATCAATCATCAGTCATATTTTGAGGGTGTCTACCTCTCTTGAAGCCAACAACGACTAGGTGCACTTATGGCATCTGCTGGAAAGTGACACTCTGGCTTTGGTCAACCTGACAGGCACAGATGACTGCAGGCTGGTATTGCATACAGTTACGGATACGGTTACGTCAGGCACCCGTCCCATTCACTCACTTTCCGTTTTGAATTTGCTGTAGCTCTGGCTCCTTGCCGTCACGTGTGGGCAGGTCGGTAGTGGTCAGATCGCTGGACTTTGCAGGGATGCAGCCCGTTGCTCCATCCAGCTTTTAGTGATGGCTGCTGGCTGGCTGGCTGCTCGAGCGGCAGGGTGGGGCGGCCTGCCGGCGTCGAATGTGAACGTGAACGTTGACTGATTACTTGATGATCCCCTCCTCCTTTCCGGTGTATAGCGCTATGAACTTCCCCTCCACGCCGAACAGTCCGACACTTGCCAGCTGCGATACTTTCTTCTTCTTGCCCCGCCAAACTATCGGAACAGGGCCATTGAAACGAAGTCACAGTCATATGCGCCCTCGAATGGGCTCCAATCTCGATACCGCTGGATAACAACAGCTGAGCACCAGACGCCCGAACCACACACTCGACCCGACCGCCCCCTCCCAAACCGCCAACCAAGATTGTGACCACCGAGGCACAACAAAATGTTTGGCACAAAGACCCTGAGCTCCCTCAAGGACTTCTTCCCGCAGATTCATCAGCCTCTACCTTTGAGCCGACGCGAATCCCAGCTACTGCTGAAGACCCTGACCACCTCATTCCGGAATAATCTCGACAGGGAGCATGGCTACTGGAACGAGAATACGCCTGTCGCCTCTCTAAAGGCCGCGAAAAGCGCATCGGCACCAACTCCGGTTAAAACGACCGCCCATCACGAGCCTCACCACCGACCAATCGATCGTCACGTCCGTGCCATCCTCTCGAATCCGTTGTTCAGCTATGACCGTGCCGCTCACAATACCCGCCCCGCCGCCCCCGAGCGAGATCCCATGGACGTCTTTGACGAAGCCGTCGCAAAGGGTCTGATGAATCCTCAACGGGCTGCAGGCGTGCTGAAGGCGAAGCGGCACTCCATTACACAGTCCTCTACCATCTCGGTAAACGAGACCGTGGCAAGCTCAGGCACAGCTTTGCGTGTGATCCAGTGGCTCCGCTCTCACGGCCATGAGCGTGATCTTTCTTTCGTCAGCTGTACTCCTTTGATCCTCTACTTGACGCAGTTCATGGTCGAGGAGGGTCTGGAGGAGATTGCCTGGGTCTGGCTGGGGAGGCTGATGAATGGTGAGGGGCCCGACCCGCCGCTGGACTCGCCTTCACCCGCCGCATATATTCTCGACAGTCTGGTACGGGCCAAAGCGCTCTTTGGCAAGAGCCTGGATGGAGGGTACGCCTGTATGGTTCGCGCCCGTCAGATGTTCAACAGCAAGCCCACCTTTGATTCTGACGCAATTTCCGCGTGGCGGGCGCTATCGTGGTGGTCGACAGTCTCCGCCTGGCAACGTTCCCAGCCATCAGAGGCATTGTTTGATGCATTCGCTGCCTTGGGCAGACAGCTGGAAAGATCCAAGACGACTTTCCTCGTTGACCGAGCCCACCTAGACCTGCACCACCCAACCCACCCAGACGCGAAACTCTCGTAAGTAGCTGTTCCAATACCTGATATCTCTTCCTGTTTCTTGAAATGTCTCGGAAACCTTGTCAGGCTCTCTGCGGTCCTTTCCACAGCTTGCATGGAGTTCCTAGGGATACTTCTCATGAAGCTATAATCGATTGTTTCTAACTGAGAATGGTTGGATAGAATGGAATACTTTGAGTCGTCTTCTCTCCAGAGTCTTCTGGATCAAGAAAAGCAAGAAGATATACACGCTTTCCAGACTTGCAGCTTCACGAGGAGGTATAATACCATCGTCAAGCGAGTGGCCCTGATGGGTATAGACACTGTCAACCACCTATCTCGCGTCGGCCGTGAGAAAGAGGCAGATTCGATCGGAAACTTGCTCACGGACAGGTTCGGCCTCACCTTGGTTGCAGCCTTCAAGCCCAGCCTGCTTGGAGCCGACTTGCGGGAATCCGAGCACTCTTTGCCCACCGGTTGAAAGTATGGTGCCGAGTCAGCCAGCAACGCATCATAATCACATGCGCAAGCCGCCGGATAACCTTTTGGCTTCCCTTCGCAGTTAAACAATACTCAGAAGCAATATCCTGGCGCAGCAACGTCTGCCTCGGTTGTTGGCATGAGCCGGCTCCGACGCCGCGGTAAACACGCGTCAAGATGTGACAGTGGAACTTGGGGCATCTTGGTGTTTGCCGTAGCAGCCATCAACTGCATCAGCATCTCGCGTTGCGGCACTGTCCCTTTACCTGAACAACAGGGAAGCAGGCCCGCTGGGCTTGTCAGAAGTGGCAAACAGACCATGACTGAACGAGACAGCCCACTTGATTATGTATAGTGTATCTAGCATTATTTTGATACAAAGACAGGCCCTCAGGGTATTTAATAAATGCAAGCAGCAAGACGCAAGGTTTTGTTGGCTCAAGGTGTAACGCCCAAACACCCCGTTGCCCGGATGGCGCTCGACACTGATTTGACAGCAGAAGGAAATTTACAGTTCCAAGCGTGTTCTAATGTGCATCATCTTCCAGCCCGTTGACCACTCTCAAGGCCCTCCTGGGGCCCATGACTACACTGAAGAAACTCGGCTCCTGACCTTCGAGCGAGCTGGTACTCGCACCACTGGTGCTGTCTCTCCTCGGTCTGCTGCTACCGCTGACCTCACCTGGAGAAGTGCCGGAGCCGGGCGATGGCCCTCCTTTGGAATCGTCCCCATAGCTGGGCCGCGCACCACTGCTCGTGGGCGTGAACTTGTTCGAGTTGGAATTGGAGCTGGGGTCGAGCAGATTGTCCCGACCAACCCACGCAAACGACTCGTCGCCCGCCCTGCTGCTCCCATCACTGGCGTCACGCCTGTGGCCGGCAAGCCAGGCTTTCTCTTCCTCTCCGCGGGCGTTGCTCTTCCTGCGCCCGAAGGCGCCGAAGAAGAACGAGCCGTGCGACGCAGACCGAGCCGGGAAGCGGTTCTGCACCGCCAGGTGCGTCTTGTACGCGCGCACCTGCCGGCGGTACAGCCACGCGCAATACCCAAGGTACCCGGCTGCCGCGCCGGCGAGGCACGCGATGACTATGGCGGCGATGAGGCCGCCCTGGTTCGCCGGTTTGGAGTCGCCGGGGCTCGACGATCCTGGGGGCGAAGTGATGGTCGCGGTTGACCCGGACGCGGTGATTGTGAAGACTGGCGGTTTGCCGGTGGCGAAGGGGCCGCCTGTCGCGCTGGCTGCGGGCTGCGTGATGGTTGCACTGCCTGATGGCCCGCCGCCAACGACGCTGATAACCTCATCGGGTACTACATACCCGTAGCTACCGGCCATCACACTATTGTCTGCGGAGCCGGCGTCGGAGGACGGAGCAAGCGCCCTGAATGACGTTCCCCACTCCAGGGACGAAGCGTTGAAGACATATATGCCGGGGCTGTCACATCTTGACATAGTTGTGTTGAACCCACCTGCCACGATCATCTGCCCATCGCGCAGGGTACAGGTATGCCCAGCTCGTGCGTAGGGGATGCTGGAGCTGGAGCCGCCTTGGGAGACAGGCCCGATCCAGGTGAATGAGGGGATGGTCAATATGTACATGTCGTCGTACTGAATTTGATTGCCCTGAAAGGAGAGGTGCCTGTTAGCATCAGAGTGAGCGTGGATCGGGGTACAGATTATGGATGTGGACCTACGGCAGGTTGCAGATTCTGCCCTCCAAACACATAAATCTGGAAGCTGCTCGCATCCGGCGCGGTCGCGACGACCGCACAAGGGTTGACTCGGACCCCGGGAGGAGACCCTGAAGTTTGTTGGTGATACCAGACCGAGTTGGCAATGTCATAGACGTCCAGTGTAGACATATCGTCCACAAAGTCCTCAGCCGTTCCGCCTCCGAGGCCGATCAGGACACCCGAGGCACCCCAGCCGGGGACAAACACCAACACACCGTCAGCCCTCTCCGTAAAGGTGTCGCTGAGCTGCAGCCCCCCTTCGGTGATGTTCCTGTAGGTTCCTGAGGCTGGCGCACCACTGCCCCTCAGTGAGAACACCCCGTCGTTGGAGTAGCCTGGGTGGGTAAACTCAAGCAGACTCTTAATATAGACGCGCTCCGTATGTATGCTCCATCCCGGTGTGGTGGAGAGGTCCAGGTGGCCTCCGAAATACCAGCTCAGCCCGAGCTCCGGCACACTGACTGCTGCTCCTTCAGCGGCTCTCTGGACAGGCACGCCCTCGGACGCCGAGTTGTTGCCCGAGGAAGTCTGAGGGTCCGAGTGCTCCGTCCACGTACCGGAGCCGATTCTGTACTGCCATGTCGAGACCTCTACCGGCTCCTGAAATGGATTGTCGGCAAACTCTCCACCATAGACGTACAGACTGTTGTAGTCATTCCATAGTGCGCCAAGTGCGACAGCTGGTGGTCCGCTCGGCTGCGGGAGGCCAGTCAGTGATGGCGAGCTGGTATCCCAGGTCGAGGTCAGGTCGAGCGCGAGGAGGTTGTTGTTCCAAGTGTCATTCTCCTGATTCAAGCTCGTCTTGGCCTCGCCTCCATACATGTAGAGCGTGCCATTGAGGATAGTAGCTGTATTCGATGTGGTCAGTCAGATTCAGCGTTGGAGTTGGGATACCCGCTGAAGATCACTCACACTGCATGGCCCACCTCGCGCAAACGTCTGTCGGGCTGTCTGCCCTGCTCAGTATGATGGGGCCAGCGTCCGCGACACCCACGGTGTCCTGTTTGCCCCTACCGGTGAACGGGATCAGGACAGCCAGGACCAGGGCAAGCATGCTGACCGCTGATAGGCCGCGTAAAGGCGATGGCGGCGAGCCTCCAACCGTCCTGACTCTTGGTCTCCTCCCTGCTGCGAGCTTGGCATACCATGGTATCTTGTTGGCAGCTGACTGCGCTGAGACAGTTTGAGATCGTGATATCTCGTGCAAACTCCGGCGTTGACTCAACGGGTCCGCTGACGGTTGCTCCCCTTTCTCTTGAATGACGTTCGTTTCCTCGCGCTGCTGGTCCTCAACACGCGAGCGAGCAGTTGCGGATGTGCTGACCTCGGCGGCGTCAAGAACGATCGGTCTCCGTTCTTGGCGGGACTCCTCCTTCTCGTCTGCTACGGCGTGGTTTTCGTCAAAGGTATTTGTTGATCCGGGTTCTTCTGGTGCCAGGCCCACCTCCTTGAATATGGACCTTCGGTCCTTCCTGATGTTGCTAATCATCGGAAATGGAGTCGGCCTTCTGGCGGCTTCGCGTAAACGGTCCTGAGTGTTTTGGTGGTTGAACGTCGGCCGAGTGAGTAGATGTGTGCCGGGTTCAAAGGAACTATGGGGGACAACCTTGACGAAGGACATCATGGATGGATCCAGCACCTCCAAGTGCTAAGTGTGCGGTACATAAGACACTGGGAGATCACTAGCTCGGTATTGTATAATTGCTGTAGACGTTCAGGGGACCCGGCCAGCCAGCCAATTTGGGATGATGTTTGCCACAATGCAACCTCCACAACTAATGGAATAGGGTAGACACGGTAGGGAGCAGGCGAGGAGGGTGTGGGCGGTTAGTGAAGATCGCTCCGGACGAGGGAAGACACAGTGTGGGATGAGGTCATCAAGCAGGACCGTAACCAACGAGGCCGAGGAGTTTCAGTCTGGCATAGGGGAGTGAGGATGCACCGCGAGATGCAGGTCTGGAGCAACAGAGCGAGAGAACCTCTAGGGAGGAAACGTGGGGATCAAACAGGATGGGGCTGCTGCCTCTTTTCAACGTTTGCAAGCAGACCGAAAACATCTTTGTTCTCGGCCGCTGTCTGGGGCGTTTCTCACCTTGTGCCTCACCTTTGGGATCAGTGTTACTGATATCTATCCCTGATTTGCTCGATGCACACGGCTGTATGGACTCTTTGAGTAGTCAAGGCGGATGTGATGCAGCCGGGGAGATGGTCGCCTTGTTTAGCAACAGGCTCGGCGATCGTCAAGACCTGGAGGGAGGCTGCGAGTGCGAGGGCGACTTGCCCGCTCACCAGCTCAGCAACACACCAAGCGGGCAGGAAAGCCGCCCGAGCATGAAGCCAAACAGCTGGGGCACGCGACGCAGAATAGCTGTGTTGCAAAGTCCCCCTGTCTGGCACTACATCATTGCTGTCACCTTGGAGGCCCAGGAGCCGAACAGACGGCCCTGACAGCGGGCCGGGGGTTGATGACAGGGGTGGGATAGTGTGGAGTGATTGCAAGGTCTGAGTGGACCCGCCGTACCGACAATGATGTCGACGCTTAATCTAGAGCGGTAGCCGGCTCGCTCTTAATTCGACAACCACTATAAGTGGACGGCGGCCCATCCAGCCCAGCACGCCTCTCAGACACGGACCTGCAAATCAGGTTTTTGACGGGCCCGACATCGAGTTCGATCCTCGATTGCACGGCCGATTGCTATCTTCAGCAGTAGCAACACATGGAGAATCAATGCCGGATGTGGGAGAAAACCCCGACGAGACATCGGCTTCCATTGGCCGGGTCCTCTGTCGCTTTCATTGTCCATCCAGCCCAGCAGCCCAGCAGCCCAGCAGCCCAGCAGCCCAGCCAGCCCAGCCAGCCTGGCCAGGCCTTCCCCCACCCCCTGCCCGGGCCTGCATGGCCTGGAGCCGAGACCATTCGAGAGACGTGAGCGAACCAGAATTTGTCGACATCATCATGATGGGCTTCGGTTGGGGGCACGAGAGAGGTCTCTCAGCTCGAGGTCATTGAGTCTGTCCTCTGCTCCTCCGGCAAACCTTCCAACCTGCCAGCCCAGCCACTGTGACTATGTAAGCATATGCACGTGTGGCGTAGAAGCCAAGTACCCAACCTCTCTCGACAGAAGACAGTCAGGATTCTTCTAAATTCCTACATGCCACACGTCTACGCCTCGGTTGATGGTGTGAACAAACTTTTTTCTACAAAGAGTCTGCATAGATGGTTCAAGAGTGCAGGATACGACCTGTCTCCACCTCATCATAAGAGACTCACATCAAGAGTTTCAACATTCAGGAACAACTGGCTTCACCAAGAGTTCAGGGTCATCGAAGAGGCCCAAGGCCTTGTGTAGATACCTTGGCGCTTCTCAGCGTATGATTGACTGTCTGTGGTTCCTGGGCTGAGAAGCCTTTTAGTATGGTCTCGATTCGCGACGTTGAAAGAGGCACTCGTGAGACCAGCATTGCATTCCTACCTATGATGAGGCCAGCCACAGACCTAGGTAGATCTGCCTAGCACACGTCCCCATTCATAGCTCATCTGCCTGGCCACTCGATTGCTCGTAGCTCATAGCTTCATGCCAGAACAACCCCTTCCCATCCAGCCTTTCCATTGTGACGTTTTTCAGCCCCTTAAAACCCTCATCAATATATAAGGGGTATCCGGCAGGCGTAGCCAATAATGTCATTGGCAGACTGGCGCCCTGCTGTCTTCTCAACAGCTCCAGCTGTGCTTTTCCCCAGCGCAGATGTTGAGCAGCGAAACCATTTCCGTCCCAACTTGGATGTGTGGCCAGCAGGCCAAGATAGAGCTGGGCACCAAAGGGCTCGGCAAGGTACTTGCGTTCTGCATCCTCCATAAAACGCTGAAAATGGACGGCACGGGTGAGGTTCACGTCGAGATGTGCCGAGCAATTGAACCCCGAGACGTGTCTGTAATTGGCACTGCTATGAGTCGTCTGGGACATGCTGTGGCCCAGGAGTGGTGACAGTGATGTCAATGATAGCTCATCGTCACGGTGATGTTGAGTCCGGCTGACATCCCATACTGAAACTGATACAACCTTTTCACCGGACAGTGATGTCGGTTCCGGCACCGTAATCACCTGGAATCTATAGTCGGCAGCGTGTTGTTGGAACAAAGCGAGGTAGCCTTCCCGCTGGCAGGCCCATGTGTATTCTTCGCCAACTTCGTCGGCAAACTGACGGATATAGTTGAAGACCGGCGAAGGTTTGAAGGCGTCGATGGCCACGGTGGTGATGTCGTCCACGTCGTCAATGGTGGCGTTGCGGAAGCGAGAGGGAACCGTGGAGGAGACATGGGAGAGGGCAGGAGAGACGGGAATTAGAAACAGGGTGGACCATGTAGCTCTCATGTTGTGTTGCTTCCCTTTGTGTGTCGTAATAAGCGAAGGCAGTGAGACGCCACCAGACGATACAGGTTGCGCCGCCAGGTCAAGAGTGTATATAGGGTTGGAAAGGTGCGGCCTGGATACGGCGTCGACGGATTTTTGACTCTCCGTCTTACTACTGCATCCTGCCAGAGCATCATCAAGCTAGCTCCAAGAGGGGAGATGTGCGGGCAGCCGCCACGACCCATGGGATGTGTTTACATGTTGACCCAGCAGGGTTTTCATGGCACCCATGGGTGCTCTTGATTTCCACACGGCCTTCAAATACCAGTTTGTGCTGGGAGTTTTGCTTGCCATCAGAACCAGTTGCCCGCCAGGCCAGCTGAAGATGTCTCAATCGAAGCGGTACTTAGGTACCTAGGTAGGTAGATAATGAATAGTAGTCCATGACAGGCGGGGTACAAGGATACCTGATCAAGCCAGGCAGGCCCACTTTTACGCCTCGCCTGCTGGTGACAGATGCACGCCAGCTGGCAGTCAGTTTTCCGCACCACCGTCCAATTTTTCCCAACCCGACCCCATCAAAGCCGCTACTCAACATCTCGAGAAGTTTGAGCATCGACACACCATCACCACACCCATCGCCAGTCAAGATGCCTACCCGATTCTCCAAGACGCGCAAGGTTAGCAGTGCCAATCCCAAGATAATCGCCATTTGAGAAGCCATTTTCACTGACAACCTCCAAGCACCGCGGCCATGTCAGTGCCGGTAACGGTCGCGTTGGCAAGCACAGAAAGGTACCACCCATTCCACGATCGAACCGGCCGATTTCCCTGCGCAAACGGAGCTTTGCGACAGCGACCGCGAGAACATCACGCTGACTTAGACTTGGTATTCTACAGCATCCCGGTGGTCGTGGTATGGCCGGTGGCCAGCACCACCACAGAACCAACCTTGACAAGTACCACCCTGGTTACTTCGGTAAGGTCGGTATGAGGCGCTTCCACCTCCTGCGGAACCACCAGTGGAAGCCCGAGATCAACGTCGACAAGGTACGAACCAGCATTGTCCTGGGGCTGAAGGATTGTGATGGATAAATGGTTGCTGATTAACCGACCCTGCAGCTGTGGTCTCTGGTCCCCGCCGACGTCCGCGAGAAGACCCTGAAGAACTCGTCTGCCGACTCCGCCCCTCTCATCGACCTCAACGCTCTCGGATACGCCAAGCTCCTCGGAAAGGGCCGTCTACCCGAGGCCCCCATCGTCGTCCGCGCACGATACGTCAGCAAGGAGGCCGAGAAGAAGATCACGGATGCCGGTGGCGTTGTTGAGCTCGTCGCCTAAGCGGATGGAGAGTAGGGATATCATGAACGGACACGGCAAACCAACAAAAGCAAATTTGCAAGCAGAATCGGTCGGATGGGCTGGCTGAATGGATCTCATACCTGGCGTCAATCGGTTTTCCCGTGTTTAGAGCAATGACACCATTGTTACGATGAACAAAATACCCTTTTGAACAGCCTTGCTCGAGGAGGAGACTATCGCGGCGCCGAGGTCACAGCGTGAGAGGCCTGCCATGGAGACTCGTGCTGGCCGACATGAGGCTAGGCTACGTTCAGCTAAATACGAGAATGACAGGCGTGATCGATTCTACCAACCCCCGAGTGCTCCCGCGGCAGTACTTAACTCAGAGATGATCTGCCCCATCTCACCAGTGGCCTGGTACACGGGCGAGACAATCTTTGCCCGTGAGCCGACAAGCTCGCGTGACGAGGAGAGAGCAAACCCAAGCCGAGCGATATTTGCGCCCCAGGCCAGCCGCCGGCAGCTAGACCCAGACATGCCCGAGCACAATATATGGCCTCGCTCCTCGACAAGCTGTCGCTTTGTTGTGATATGTGTGGTGCGAATCGACGGCCGTGGCAGCGACATCGCAGACATCTGCAGCAGTCAGGTGGCGTGGACAGCTTGCCTGGGCCCAAAATGGGTCCTACGTGCGCTTGTGCGATGCTCGAGTTGTCAGACCGTCCATCATGCCGGATTTATCCTTGCGGTTAGTTCCGAACCGCTCGTACGCGGGGGGCAGGTCCTGCATCGTGGGACGAGGTAGGGTAGGTTGAGAACCTCGGTGAATAGTGGAATGCGTTCTATCACTTGTCCCTTCCCCAAGACATCCCAGTTCTGATGCTTCCAAGCCTGCGTAGCGAGATCTTACATGAGTTTTCCGAGGCGATTTTGAATTGTGCCTAGTGTAACATCTTGATCTGGGCTGAATTACTTGTGGCTTGTGACAACTGGGCGTCTGAACTCTAACCCAAGTCTGGGTCTCCCGAATCAAGATTGAGCGAGCGCCTGTGTGCTCCCTGCCTATAGCCTGGCTGTGACGGTCAGTCTTCCAAGGTCGGGGGGAGGACAGACGCCTTGGCGTGCGTGGGCGCGTGAGCTGAGCTAAATGACATCACTCCCGCCTGGCCGCTGCCACAGCCTACGGAGCAGATGGTGACAAGGACCTTGAATAAAAGGGGATCCATCGTGTGTGTCTGTGTCGACTCTGCCGACACATCATCAACGTCAACCACATCCAGTGAACCTAAGAGACACTCGCATCTCCTACTTACACAACGCACTGAACAAGTCAGGCAGGCTACGGCACATCTCCGCAAGCACCATGGATTTCGTCAAGAACCTCACAGGCGGCAACAAGGACGGCGAGCAGCAGCAGACTCAGCAGCAGGGGGAGCAGAAGTCGGAGGGTGGCTTCATGAGCAAGCTCAACAACATGGCCGGCGGCGGTGCGACAGGTGAAAAGAAGGAGGACGGCCTCGACAAGGGTGAGGAACCCTGTCCGCAATTCTCGGCTACGCGCCGCGATGCTGACAGCGTTGTTGCATACAGGTGTCGACTGGGTCCAAGAGAACGTGCTCGGCCAGGGCAAGCAGGACAACGAGTCGGCAGTAGAGCAAGCTAAGGATGAGCAGATTTCAGGTACAGCCACTTCCTCCCTTCAAGACTACTCTTTCCTACCTACCTACATGTACTCATGCATCTTTGCCAACTGCTGACATCACATGCGTATAGACTTCATCCGTGGCCAGTACAAAACCACGACCGGAAAGGACTTCCCCGTTGCCGACAAGTAAACAAATGACACCAGCAATCTTGCACGTCGCTGGTTGAGGCTGCGCTTGCATAGTTCCTGGAAGGGAGGCGTCAAGAGTCTGCGTTGCCTTTCTGCTTGTGGAGCTCAAAATGTCGGGGCATCAGATACTGCTAGGTACTGCCATAGTGGATGAACTCTGTAGCGACTCTTTTGAACAGACTGCCTGCGTAGACCCTTGACACGCGTGCACCCAAGAACGATCCCACCATACTCAACTGAATGTTTGGCGACGTGGAGGCTAGCAGACAATTGCTTATGCTCACATATGTGTGATAACTCCCCCAGACGACTTGGATAGACGGACTCACCTTTACAGCTGAGATGGGACCCCGGAGATCTGCATAGAAACCAGCACCATGGGTAAGGCCAAGAGAATCCTATCTATATAGGTGTAAGAATTTCGTATTATGTAGACGCTATCATGGTGAAGAACCACCAGTTCAGTCCCATGCCAACATTTTAGGACCCCTGTAGACTGCGAGTGGGGAGCTCCCAGGGCTGAGTCGATCGGGCCCATGGCTCGGGGGACTCGGGGTAGGGGCAACCGCTGCATCACAACAGAGCTTATTTATTTATGGTCCCGCCAACTGACACGCTTCGAACCTCGCTGACAACCGATGACCCGAGTTCTCCGGTCCGCCCGTCGCCTCTTTGAATACATTTTAACTAGGATCTCGCCCACAACTTGACTGGGACCGAGTCGGTTGGACTTGACGCACATCGACACCCGTTCTCCCTTACCCCGTCTCAACCCCTCGCCCTCGCCATGGACTACGTCGAGCAGCGCATGGCTCAGGAGGCCCAGAGAGCCGCCCAGTAAGCACAATCGGCTTGTAACCCGGCCCATCAAGCTCCACTCCATCTCCCCATTGCATCAGCCTACCTGGAGAGGCGGGCAGGGAGGTAGGTAGGCAGTCAGGCAGGTAAAGGCTGACAACCTCGCGAACTGTGCACAGAGCTGCCCACAGCAACGCCCTCCTGACACCTCTAAACGTCATCCTGCTCCTGCTCCTCGGCTACACCCTCTACGCCACCCTCAAGCCCTCCCCGCCGCCGCTGCTTCCCAAGGAGCCACCCGCCACCGTCTTCCGCACCTTTACCCCACGCACCCTGCTGCCTTTTGACGGCAGGGACGGCCGCCCCATCTACTTCGCCGTGCGTGGCCGTGTCTTCGATGTCTCGACCGGCCGTAACTTCTATGGCCCCGACGGGCCCTACGAGAATTTTGCCGGTCGTGACGCCTCGCGCGGTCTGGCCTCGGGTTCTTTCGACGAGGAAGTCTTGACCAAGGACCTCGACGGGCCGCTGGACTCCCTGGAGAGCATGGGCCCGGATGAGATGGAGGCACTGCGGGACTGGGAGGAACAGTTTCTGAGCAAGTACCTAGTTGTCGGCAGGCTGGTCCCTGTTGGGCAGGAGGACAAGCCAAACCCGGATCGTGGCAATGGCATGTAAGAGTCGGTCAGGAGCAGGAGATGTCTCCCAGGATTCTTGTGCCACCGGAGCCAGCCCCACAGACATAGGATGCCCCTTTCACGACACAGGGGACGCCATATACAGAATAGACACGGCGTTTGCAATGCTCCAAATATCGCCGTTATTTACAAGGTCTCATCTTTCTCGGTCTACCAGCTCCACGCCCCATCCAGGCTGCCCTTCATGTCTTCGGAATCTGCCCAGCCTCGCCGCTACAGCTTCATCGCTTTTCCAATCGCCAGTCTCCTTTTTCTCCCTCGCCCATTCTAACAGCCTAGGGCTCTCGTGTACAAACGCCAGCACTCTGGCTAGGGTATCTACGTCTCGTGGCAACACCTTTGCCCGCCTCCTGTAGAACACATAAATCGCCACAGTGACCGGACACAGGAAAACCAGGACGACCAGGCAGATACAAACTGCGGCAGGCGACATGACCAAGACCTCAACAGGGATATGGACCTGTGCCAGTGTCGACCGTGCCAGACCCGTAGCAGCCATGCTCTCATTATACCAGGTGCCCTGGGGGCTGGCTACCGCTGGCAGGTCTGCTGGGAGCTGCTCGCCAATGGGCTGGAAGACGCGACCGCCGCTGGCAGGCTCGACCTGCTCCGAGGCGAAGTGCTTGAAATACATACCGAAGGCCTGGCTGGCCGTGGCGATTAACGTGTCTGCATCAAGTAGCGCGCGCTTGTCCTGGTCGGCGAGGTGCAGCGCCGAGAATGAGAGGAAATCGACGTTGATGCCAGTGTCGCGGATGTTGAACTGGTCACAGCTGGTCAGCAGGTGCGGTCATGGCGTGTTCTGCTGGGCGGCGGATGAAGCGCAATACTTACAACCCGGTCCCGGTCAGCCTGTTGCATTGTAGTGGAAGCCAGTGCTGCTGCGGTCTTGAGGTTGGCTGAGTAGACGAGGCCACTCCAGAACATCCAGCCATAACTATGCGGCGTCAGCCATGCCATTGAGTCACTCTGCTAGGAGGACATCCCGGACTCACCTATAAGTCGTGTTGTATTCGCTCCCGTACTGCGTTTCATTTGCTGGCACGGGGATATACGGCTCCCGAACCACGTCGTTGTCAGTCCATGCAGCAGTTGCGTTCTGCGGCTCGCCGATGATTGAGTAATTCCTCACCATGCCGCTGGACAGGTCAACAGTCACAGCCGCATTGGCTGCCTCGATGATGGGGCTGCAGGTGATGCCCTGCATCTGCGGCTCTTCGGTCCAGACCCAGTGGGCATATCTGGTGTCCGTGGATGTCAGATTGGCATCGAAATACAACCTGTCCAAGGGCCGCCCCACGATCCATTTGATAAACAACTCCGTATTCTTAGATTCGAGATAGCCCATCGTCGCGCCGTACCCAATTGCCGCTTCGCCTGCTGAGCCGTCCGTCTCGTTTGCGCAGCACTGGACCGGTCCCCGCTGGGGGATTATATAATAGGGAAGGGTCGTGTTAGGTACGAAGACGGCTTCTCTGAGCTCATAGCCAATGTCCAGACCTGGAGGTGAGTTTGTCGAGTTCCATGCCTTGTCGTTCTTGAAGTCCAGCGTTTCCAACCAGGTCGAGGCATTCTGGGCCGCCTCCACCGTAGAGCAGCTCAGGCGTGCCCGCAGGGCCTGTGTCTCAATGCTCACGTTGTATGGAAGGCTGCTCAGAGAGGCGGTGGGCTCGTTGTCTGAAAGGCCGAGTATCGCTGCCGATGAAGCGGAAAAGTCCACGGGTGCGAAGCTCCACGTGTCCTTGCTCCAAGAAGGGGTTTCTGCTGCCCCCATTGTCTCGAGCAAAGCTCCATACAGCCAGCTTGTGAGGTAGTCGCCGTACACGGTATCCAGAAGCGTCGGGAGTGTCGGATCAGAATAAGTGTGTGTCATCGAGCCATAGCTCTTGGTCCCTATCACCGTCGGGACCTGCCGCAGCTCGAGCTGACGACCTATTTCGACTGCGTGCATAGTAGTCTGGGTCTCCTTGTCCCACAGGGCTGAGATGCCAACGGTGAATATCTCTGTCCCCAGGGCACCGAGGCAAGCAAAGGCGAGGATCCAATCTGAGTGCCTCAAGGCCTTTTTGGAGCCGAAAATGAGCGACGAGTTGGCATATTCCACCAATATCGAGTCCTTCAGCGGCCTTGGCCGATCCAGCATCGCGGAAAATGGCTGGAGCCGTTTGAGCGTGCCTTCAACCGCGCCGTACCACAGCTTGATCCCGACTGCAAGCAAAGTAGGCACTATGGAATATGGGTCTAGGCTTGTCGCTACACTGGCGACGCTCAGATGGGCCTCGTAGACAAGCGCGTGTTGGTGAAGTGTGACTGTCTGGGATAGACGATATAGTACAGCCAGCACGGCTATCACGGCTACGACAGTGGCCAGCAACGATATTCCCATCCAGACCCTTAATATTGACGGCGCAGAGCTTTTTGGCTTGTCGTTCGGAAAAGACTCTATACCATTGCTCTGGCCAGATCCCGGTGCCGACGAATCTTGCAGCAAGGGGTCCGGCAGCGCAGCTCTGAGCGAGCCATCTTCCAGGTTGCACCATACAAGTAGCAGTCGCTTGCAGATGCTGTCTGCAGAGGCCCGACCGAGTCCTTGGAAAGCTGCTGCCGCAGAGTTATCTGAGGCGACCAGAGCCGCGGCGGCAGCAATGCTGGCGGGGTCCTCGGACAGGCGCAGAGGGCGCCTTTGGAGTCGTGTCTGCAGTGTCAGGGCGGCCAGCATGCCAGCATTCAGGAGGAACAAGACGCCAATAACGATCCCGATGCCCTCAGTCACGACGATCCGGCGCTCTGTGGTGGTGACACTTGCCAGCTTTTCGGTAACTGGCATGCCGGCAACACTTTGCGCAGACAGAAGCATCTGGCCCAGCCATTGTTGCTGTAACTTCCGAGCTTGCTCCAGGATAAAGCCTCTCTCAACGAGCTTGTGGGAGGAGTTTCCGTAAATGGATGCCAATGCTTGAGACGGGCCCGCAAAGCATCCTGTAGGGAAGTGCGCCTCCCAATTTGCTCTGAAGAAGGCATCCTCAAGTGCTTGGATGTTGAGCGCAGCAGGGTCCAACTGTCGCTGGCTGGACTTGAACTCTTCAGGGTCAACTGATGACTTTGTGGAGCCTTCGGACAGTGCCCCTTCCATCGTCACCTCTGCCGCGAGGTACGTGCTTGAGCACACATGGGTGTTTGTCCTAAGCGGCTCGTCCACAGTCCACGGAGTGTTGAATGATAGGAAAGACCGGGAGCCGCAGCTTGACGAAGCATTGGAGTATGAGAGCATGGACGAGGTGGAAGCCGCCCACGAAAGGTTGTTGAAATTGTTTGTCCACCAGCCTCCTCCCAAGGTCAGAAAGTTCACGGACGTGCTTGCTTGTCCCGGCGCGATAAGGGGTCGATAGATTTATACCGAACAGCCATCTTCAGAGATGACTTCAATATCTGCATAGTTTCCATATTGCATGGTCTGAAGAATCACCGTATCGTTCAATGCCCCTTGGGTAGTCTACCGGCGAGGGCATATCGATGAAGGCGAAGGGTCCTGCCGCTTAATGTTGACAGTGACCGGAGCAAGCAGACCGGCTGAGAGGGGTGAGATGACGAGGAATGCCGCAATGTTTGTGAAAGATGCGAATAACAGACACCAGCTCCGTGACCCAGACACCCTCGTGTTGAGCGCGTCGAATGGATCGTTCCACCACTGTCGAGACGGAAAGCACAACGTGGCGAGGGCGGATGCTCCCCCGGGCTTCGCCAATCGGGCGTGAACCTCTGTTCTCCTGGTGTCTGTCAAGAGGGTCGTAGTGCAGAGGGCATGTAAGACGGCGAGAAGCGTTGGCGTGAACCTCCATCCAAAGAGTAGGGCAGAGGAATCGCTGTCGGGACCCAGCCCGATATTGTTCACCGAGTATATCGTGATGGCAATGGCAGCCGCGCCGAGTGCCACTGATGCTGCTGTGACGACCCCGAGAAATGGAAGACGCAGAGTGAAAGGAAGCCATGTTTCCTTGGTCTTCGCTTCGAGCGACAGGTAGCCGGTATGGTACTCGGAAAAGACCACTTTCGAGCTCCCAGAATTGATGGCCTCTTTAGGTGCCACATGCCCGTCCTCGCTGCGGCCGTCGTTTTCATATGTATGCAGTGACGGAATGGTTCCTGTTGTGGGTGACGGTGGTGCTAAAAGACGTTCGGAAGTGGAATCCACTCGATTCGGATCCGTGTGCGCAGAAGACACACGATCGTGTTCTGAGTTTGGGGAGACTTCTGAAAGCCACCTGCCAGTATCCTGGGACAGCTCTGACACGCCGTCCGAGGACCTCTGGACTGGCATTGATACTCGCTGCGACTGATTAGAGGGGCAGCGCAACGAACAGATGCTGGTGCCAGAATCTGAATATTAAACATGGTTCTCCTGGCTCTCAGAACTCTCTCTCTCTTCTGGGTGGGCAAGCGAATGGGTGGCATGAACATGTTAAGGCAGGCAGTAGGTTGATGTGTGCATCGAAGGAATGAGGAAGATAATTCGAACCCAGGGTCCCTGACGATATCCCGATTGCATAGTCAAGCCTGCATTAGCGTGAGTGATCGCCAAGCTCAAAAGACTGTGAAATTGTGAATTCTTCAGCTTACGATCCTTCAGAGCATTGGGTCCACTTTCGCAGGCAGCAGAATTCAGTTTCGTTGACCGCACCGCCTGAGGACGGCAATTGCAGGCTTCCCCTGTGAGCTGGCGTCGTCCACCGCTTAAAGCAGGCCCTGCTCGTGCCATGCGGAAATTTCTTCCTGGGGAATCCCATACACAATACGATGCTAATTCAGAGAGCCACTGGAAACTAATCAGAATACCGGGGCAAGACTTGTCCGCTATTTAGTCCCTTGTTCCTGTCCTCTGCTTTGCATATACTCTGATATTTGACGGAGAAGTGTTTCCTGCTCGCCTGTTTATATTCATATTTCTGGATAGGTCGCAGAGGATTCCAGGTTCATTTAAGTACTTAGTATGCATCAAAACTCAAGTCTTCAACTCTGTCACGTTGTCCTTGACACTCTGCTCCAGTCCTGTGAAGCGGAATCCATAGGCCTCTTCTAATAACTCTTCCGCCCTCTTGATGGGCTCGATCTTTGATAGGTCCTGTCTTTGGTCCGGCACTTCAACCCACCTCTCGTCACCCGGGTACTGCCTCCTCAGAACATCAATGATATCGTTAAAATTGAAAGGTTCCGTAAACGCAAAGACACGCTCATCCTTCACAGTTGGGCTCGCCAACGCGATCACGTGGAGCCGCGCCGTGTCCTGAACATTTACATAGTACTGTGGCGGAATGTGCTTGATGGAGTCATGGTGGCCATCCAAGACTGCCTTTATCCAACGCGCCGTCGACGGATAGCCTTGGTTCTCTGGACTGAGGATGGCACCGAAGTTCGCATTGGGGAGTACTAGAAAATATTGTTAGTGACACGGTGCCGTGCATTAGGCCTCTCTGGCTCGAGAAGACAATCTCTCACCTGTGTTTATCACAAAATCAGGCTCAGTCTCCCTCGCCCAGTTCCAGACCGCTCTCTCCGATTCCGTCTTGCTAGCAGCATATACAACAAAAGCATCTTTCTCGACAGCATCTGTCTTCCAAGCCATCTCGACAGCCTCGTCGTTCCAGGACTCAGCAGTAACACTAAACACCTCCTCTGGCTTTGGCAAAGTAGCGGCCGTCGAGGACGAAGTATACACAAATCTCTTCATCCCCGCGCCCTCTTTCTTGGCCGCTCGCAGAGCATTGAGAACACCCTTGACAGCGTTGGCAATGACAACATCTGGGTCAGTCGAGTTACTCATATCGCTAGCGACGTGCACGAAGCCAGAAGCGCCTTTCAGGGCCGAGTCGAAGGCCCCGTCGATGGTCACGTCAGGGACCTCCAGGAGCTCAAACACCTCTGACCCATACTTGTTCTTGAAATACTCCCACACCCATGCATTCCGGCGGAGGCTGCGTGTTGTACCGCGGACCCTAAACCCGGCGGCAAGGGTTTGGTCGGCAACGTGGGAGCCGATGAAGCCGTTTACACCGGAGACGACGATCAAGCTGCCGTAGGGGATAGCTGGTGAGGAGATACCTTTCAACGGCATTCTGGAAATATGACCGCTCGGTTTGGATTTCAAGGCTTAATGAAGTAAACAAAGGGTTGTCATTATTGCCTGGTGATGCAAATTGGTAGGATTAGTGGCACCCGCTTTATATAACCAAATATCTGGAATATGCTGTGTGCTTGTCCAATTCAGGTCAATGACGTAGCAAGTAGATAGTCTATACTGCACCCGTGCTGACAAGATGGCGAAATGGATTTATTAGTGGCACATCCAGACGGTTCCCAAGTTTGCGCCTCTTGGTCAACACTGCACAGCAGTATTTTTCACATAGAAGTTATCATACCTTTTCTTGGAGCAAGTGTTCTGTTAAGAACAACGAGCTGCGGTATGTGGGCATTAATTGCGGATCTAGTCTTGTCTAAAAAGCTCAAAGGACGGTCACCGTTAGAAAAGGTGAGGGAAGAGACTGATACAGCGAGGCAGACTCAGCCGATAAGGTTCCTTGAGAGTTATCTGTTTTTCGGTCATGCATGGGGGACTTGTATGAAAATGCAAGGGAGATCGAACATGGACGAGAAACGGTGCAGATGCCTCATTCCACGGATTCATTGCAGCAGGGTCTGCCTCCGAGGCCTGCCACAGTCACCGCATGCACATAGGCACTTGCCTGGCGAGCTCGGCTGGTTGATACCCCGAGCCTATCACCCCCGGCTGCTGCTTCGGCCCCGGGGGCAGCCAAGCAAACCCGACAGCGGACACGGGGCCCCACGGGGTCGTTGCTCTTTTGCCGGTTCTGGCCACCGCTACGGAGCACCCCAATGCACAATGACTGCCGACAGGTGCGGGCTTGAGCCTCCTTCTAAGATCCGGTTTGCTCGGGGTTGATGGTGGATTTCTGCCTCGTCGTCTTCGGGTTAAGTACCCTGACCGAGTGGAACCAAGTCTTGATTGAAATTATGGAAAAGGGCGTCTCATCATCTCTCGCATGCAGATAGTGTCATCCAAAGCGGCAGACTGATTTCGATATACAACTTCCGCTCCTGACGTCTTTTTCTAGAGGTTAAATCGGAATATTTTCCAAGATCCGGCAAGATGCAGCTCTGGAAGCATCAATTGAAGGGAAAGGCCCTCATAATTGCGATCACTGCGGCATCATGCCAGGCATTCCTCCTGCTGGGCTTTGACCAAGGTAAGAATAGGGTGAACGCAGGCTGAATACACGATGTGACTAGAGCAGGCTGGACTGACTTTTGTATAACAATGAAGGGGTAATGGCTGGCATAATCGGCGCTGACAACCGCTTCGGCCGAGATTTCGACAAGCCGGGTGCCGGTATGCAAGGAAACATAACAGCACTTTACGACATTGGTTGTGTGCTCGGCTCGATTACCTGTTACTTCGTCGGCGAAAGATTTGGCCGGAGGACAATGCTGATAGTCGGCGGAACTATCATGATTATTGGGGCGGCGATCCTGGGGACTTCATTCACCGTGGCTCAACTGATTGTAGGCAGGATCGTGACAGGGTTCGGAAACGGGATGAACTCGTCCACAGCACCAGTCTACCAAAGCGAGTGTTCACCAGCAAACATCCGCGGTTCATTGCTAACCCTTCAGGGGACGGTGACGATTTTCGGGGTGGTAATATCGTACTGGACCGACTATGCCACCAGCGGTTACTCGTCCTCCTTCCAGTGGCGGTTCCCGCTCTCTTTCCAGGCGGTTTTTGCCGTGCTTCTGATCGTGCAGGTCGTCGGCCTTCCGGAGACGCCACGATGGCTTGTAGCCCACGACCGCCACGAAGAGGCCCGATCAGTCATCTCGTCCATCACCGCTCGCTCACTTGACGACGCCGACGTCGGTCGCACCCTCCTTGACATACAGTCCCAACTGGTGGAGGAGAACAAGGAGGGCCCTTTCCGCATCAAGGAGCTGTTCACATGGGGCGAGCTCCAGAACCTCCGGAGGCTGCTGCTGATCATCTCGGTGCAGCTGGGGCAACAATTCAGCGGGTCCAACATGATCAATTACTACCTGCCGGTGATCCTGACTGACAGCATGGGCCTTTCCAGAGACCTCTCCTTGGTCCTCGCTGGCTGTGCGCAGTGTGCCTTCCTGGTGGGGTCGGCCATCCCGGTCTTTCTGATGGACCGCTATGGCCGGCGGCCTCTACTCATGGCCTGCTCTGCAGGGCTGTGCGTTTGCTTCATCATGGTTGCCATCCTGCTGTCAACCGATGCCACTGGGCCAGCGTATGCGGCTGTGGCGTTCATATTCATTTTCCAGCTTGTTTACGGGGTTGGTTGGCTTCCAGTACCGTGGTTTTATCCGTCCGAACTGGCCACCACAAGAGTGCGAGCCAGGATGCAGGCCATCGCCTCGGGTTGGAACTGGATGGCAGTCTTTGCGGTCGTCAAGATCACGCCCATCGCCTTTGGTGAGTGATACGCGATACCAAGCCGAACTGGATGTGAGCTAAGCTGACTGTGCACGCGCTCGACCACAGCCAACATTGGATGGCGCACTTTTATTATTTTCGCCGTGCTGAACGCCTTCTTTGTTCCTATGGTGTACTTTTTCTACCCGGAGACCAAGGGGCTGGAGCTTGAGGATATACCGCTTCTATTCAAGCAGGGGGGTCTTACTGGCGGCGTATTTGCATCGCGAGGCAGAACGGTCACTCCAGGGCAGCATGCTCTCGACATGCACATCGGCCAGAAGGTGGAGATGGTGGGCGAGTTCGAAGCTACGGCATAGGTGGGAAGTGCTCGGGATGGTGGCAGTGGTCGTGGCTGGCTTTGTACTTGGAGTGAGTATCTCGGCAGCGACAGCAAGCAGCACATGATTACCAGCTAGCTCTTTCCCCCCTTCTCCACCGCCCTGGCCGTCTCGGGCGTCCAGATCCGATCCCCAAGCTGAACGTTCACACACCTGGACGGCTGGATACATACAGGTGCAAGGGGGGACATGGGGGCCTCCCATCGTGCCTTCCACGAGCCCTCGAGAGGGACGGGCATGCGCACCTCCCACGGCTCGCCTATGTGATGAGAAGGTGCCTGGCTGTCCTTCCACAGGACAGACAGCAATAAACACACACTCTCTACCAACGACAACCTCCGCTCGCTTTGCATTACCATTTGAACCCCATCCCATCCAACAGGGTATTCATTCTTTCAGTCTTTCATTCAGTCATCTGCCCAGTCTGTCATCAAGTCTTCAGTCCCGTCTTCCATCGTATCTTTCTGTCAAATCATAATAAGCAGCAGTAGTGGAGTCCTCTAGGACCATAGACACGAAACCATGTCTTTCTCATCGAATCCTGCCTCTCCAGGACAAATGCAGAAGATTCTGGAGAGTATTCCCACCGAAATTCTCGACATGATCATGGCCAATCTCCTCAGCGAATTGGCCGAACAAATGGACACCACCAAAGATACATTTATTCAGTGGATTCCAAACTGTCATCTCAACCGATATTGTCCTGGCTCTTTGCGTGACTCTCATGCCGACCTGCACAATGTTGCCCTTGCATCGAGAAACTTTTGCAAGAGTGCGAACCGCTACCTCTATCGAATGCTCGAGATCAACCACATTCATGGTTTGATGGATATCTGGGAAAGCCGAAAAACCCGCCCAACGCGGCTTCCATCCGCTATCTGCTCTGTTGCATTCCATTTGACTCTCCGACTGCCCAGCGATGCGTCGCTAAGCGCGCATCCGATTTGTTCGAGCAGATGCCTCTTCCTCGATGGGCGGACGGGGTCCAGCTTTCGATCGACGATCTTCAATCCAAAAACGACCTCGCTCAGAGGCTCTTTCTCGACATTATTCGACGCTGTTCAAAGCTCAAAAGACTTTACCTGCATCATGAGGCCGCGTCATTGACGCATGGTCTGCCCTCGCTCGCAGGGGCACCTCAGATTCCACTTTGTACCCTTGGCCAGACTCTTTGCACCCTCGCATTTGAGGATGGGGACAAGCACCAGGGGACCTACCGCCAAAAAACCTGCGGGGAATATCTGCAAGGCTGCGTCCAGCTGGTCATGCCATGTCTAAGAGAAATTGAGATCCGGGCGCAGGATGGGTTTTGGCAGATTGTGCTTGAAAACTCCAGGGGCTGTCCTTCATCAACAATCGTTCAGAGGATCCTCTCCTTGGCGATAAACCACGACGGATACCACGACGCCCAATCTGTACTACAATATGTCGGCCTACAGGATATGAGACGTCTCGAGAAATTCGAGGTGCACACGTGCCTTTTGAATCCGGAAGACCCAGAACGGCCGCCTCTCCCCCTCGGAAGCCACAATTTGAATCATGAGCTGGCACATCATGCGGAAAAGCTCAAGATCCTGCATATTGATTCGCCAATCAAGTGTTCCGGGAACCCCGTGGCTCATCCAGAGGATGAGCGCCTGCTTACTTGCCTGCCTTCACTTCGGACCCTCGTCAGCCTTCACCATTCACTTCACTTATTGTTCCCGACCCTGGCAGGCTTTCGGGATGAGCTTGAACGTGAGCCACACGAACAGGAGGTTCTGACCACCTTCCTCGCCCAATGTCCAGATACCTTGCAAAATATTCACTTCATAGAAAATTGGCACCATACATCGCTGGAACTACCAGAAGATGAAGATGCGATAGCAGTTTCACAAGGCGCCTTGGTCAGATTAACAAGGTACATGTGCGAAAATTGGTTGACGCAGAACGGCAAGCCTCAGCAGAGGACACTATAGCTAACACCACACCCTACGTCCTTCTACGCTGAGGGCACACATGCTGATATTGTGAAGCTTAGAGGGAGCCTGGAGAGTCTCAGGACCCTGCGGATGGTGGGGCCTAAGCATCGCACGTACACGTATCAACTTGTTGAGGAGGTCTCTTACAGAGGTTTACACGAGCAGCTGCTTCCCCTCGAGCTAGCATTCTGCATCTAGTTTGACCCTGGGAGTGACTACGACTGATGATTGTCGCTTGACCATGCGTCATGGCCAAGCGCTTTTCCATAGGTAGCTCTTAAGCAGTTCTCAGCTCACAGATCAGCGTCATAGGAAACAGACTTCCACAGAGTTCTCATCACGAAGCAATTATTGCCCCTATGCATATTTTATCATCGAGTATCAGTGGTCTGAGGCACTGTCGATTGCTCGCAGTGCTTCTAAGTGTACAGTGGGCAAGTTCGACAGATAAAGAGAGACAAGTGCACACAACCATACCAAGTAGCCTGCGGAACCTCACAACTTTGGACGTTTCAAGGCTTGACTCAACGTGGCGCCCATAACTCCACACTTCTTCATCACGTCAGAGAGCTTACATGATGATGAGTGTGTTGGGTGTGAGCAATGTCACCGAACCTAGCCACTCTGGTACGTAGGTGGGAGTCATTCTGACAGGGGAGATCACAAGGAACGCTCGGAATATACAGTTCTCCGGGTTTCTATGGGTTGAGAAGCGGCTATGGCCTTCTCGCTAGGCTACGCAGATTTTGGCTCGTAGCCAAGAAGGTCGGCAAGCGATGCGGCCTCAAAAGGGGGAAGGATGCGTGCCAAGTTTTGTTCAAGTTTTTTTTTTTCTTGTCACCTGGGCACCTAGACCGTGTTGATGAAGCTCCTCAGCACCAAGACTGATCACCCAAGGGTATGCAAGGTGCAAACGTGGGTGCCGGATCTGGTGGCTTGCAACAATTACTCACTGTCTCGACTCGAAACCGGCCCAGTTTCGAGGACGATCTGGCACGAGGGCAATACGGTTGCCTGCTTGACTGGCCACAGTTCGGGAAATTTGAGGATTAATTTGAGCTAGAAGCCAGATGCACGTCTACCTACCTCAAGTAAATGATGACTGGTCCGCCAGGGGCAACAATAATTCCTCTGGAGCGTCGTTCCCAAACGTGCAAGCTGCAAAGTGGCATTGGCAAAATCCCCCTGTACTTCTAGTCTTTCACTTCCCCTGATGTGCACAAGGGCAAATAAATATGTCCCTTTTACTCAAGCTGTTAGACACAAATGAATCTCTTGCTGTAAAAGATTGGAAGATACTGGTGGCCTGACGGGAAGGTCTTGATAAAGACAAGTTATTCTGATCGCCATACTATTTCTAAGTCATCACTCGGTGAAGATATATTCATGTACCTTTCGTATATACTCCGTTGATTCCCATATTCGGCCGGCAAGTCTCGCACCAGAGAACCCTTAGAAGTTAGCATGGTACCAATGTAGATTATGGATGGGTGGATCGTGCCACGGAAATTTCACTATCAGGGAACCATTGCATATGAGAATGCGGGGGGGGGGTGGGACGGCTAGAAGATAAGAGATATGCACGACACAGGGAAGCCTGCTGATAAGCATGATAGACGCACATGGCCCAGAAAGGCAGGTCGAAACGTACGTGATCAGCGTGGGATGCGATGAAGGTGGGCTCAGCACTACTCCCCCTTTCGTGCCATGAGTAGAGTATCCAAAGAAGGGAACATATAAGGAAATTATCTGCCTTGTTACAAAAGACTATGGCCTCATCTTATATAATTTTTCAAGAAAACTCATAACAATAAAAATTTATATCTCCCTGTGTAATTGTATAAGAAGCAGGATATAGCGTTTGGCCACCAGGTTGGGTATCATTAGTTTGTGAAAGCTGCACCTATCTGCCAGTCTCGCCCTTGTGTGTCCCTCCTCCTGGATTTGATCAACCTCATGGAACCACTACTCGCGTTGTAAGCGCTCCACGTCGATATGTGCATACATGTACATATGAATGTAGACACATGACAGTCTGTCGTGTAACAGTCCCTCGGGATCCTTCTCAACAGGGCGTTCTTGGCGTGTTCTGAACCAGTAGGGGTGTCTTGGCAGGCGTTTATATATTGGCCTGGCTGGCTGCAAGTGAATATTGTGTGTATACCAAATACGAGGCTCCAATTCGTGTATAGGAACCCAAGCACTACTTTTCACGGGAAGAATGCACAGAACAATGCCACTCGAAGGCGCGTGTCTTCTCTCACGGAGCAGAGACGTCGCCTTCCCGTGAAAGGTTGAGGGCCCTGCCTGGTTTTGACTGAGCCCCAAAACTGTTGTCGGTGATTTCCCCAAATGGGACGAGATGACTGTGTGGAATAGCTCGTACAGCCTGGATGTGCAGACAGTCCTCCCCATGTCGCCGACAACCTCCACATGTAACCTCATTGGCTTCGTGTGGGTGCCGGGATAAGGAGCATGTGTGCATGGTTCGCTATCTCCGCACCAATCTTGCCAGCATTATCTCACCCTCTTCCACAAGGACGCGCTCATTCCGTAGCTGACCTGCCTCGATAGACCACTTTAAAAGTGGGATGGAGCACCCATATCAGGCCATAATTTTCGGTCCTACACATGGTTGGGCACACCCCTCGTTCTCTAGATCCTTCACGATCCCTCGTCCGCCGTTGAGTCGCCATTAGCAGCGAAGGCTCAATGTCACATGGCGCTTGCCTTAAACAGGGTTCGATGTTCATCTCTGCATATGTCACTCGTGCAACGGTGCGCTTCATTTGAGTTAAAGTGTGTGCACGCCCCAGAGCCCTCGGCGCTGGGTCGCGTGGTCCCTGCATCTCGTCCTCCTCCTTGCAACTTGGCCCCCCTCGGTTCTCCTGTGTTCCGCGTTGCGTTCGTGCCCAGTGCCTTGACCCTCACCACCGGGGCCTTTCGTACAGAGAAGCAAACTGCCCTGTCTCGACACATTCCCTGAGAGCACATCAAGTGTCTTCCCCGAAATGGGCTCCAGCGAAGAATATGGCCGAGAAAAGTCGGTCCCATCGTCGCCACATGAGCAGCACGTGTTGGCCCCGGATGATGTAGACCATGGCGCAGAGAGCGAGCTGCAAAGGCGTCTTGGCAGTCGGCATATCACCATGATTGCACTTGGCTCGTCCATTGGTATGGGGCTTTGGCTCGGCAGCGGAACGAGTCTCATCAATGGTGGCCCGGCTGCGCTTTTGATCGGGTGTAAGTATCTCGCCTCTCATATTCTCCCATCGGGGCGTGCCGCAGCAACCCAACTGGCTGGGACGTACGAGGCTCACAATGGCTCACATTTTCAAGACCTTCTATCCGGTACGATGATCTGGTGCGTCTCGCAGTCCATCGGCGAGATGGCCGTTATGTATCCTCTTCCTTCAGCATTTGTACAGTGGACGAACAAGTTCGTCGACCCGGCCGCAGGTCTAACACTTGGTTGGTGTTACTGGTTTCAGTACTGGATAACTATCGCGAATGAGCTGGCGGGATTGAACACTGTCCTAGGGTTTTGGACAGACAAGGTGCCGACCGCAGCGTGGATCACCATCTTTTTCCTCGTCATTGTCGCAATCAATGTCGTCGCCGTCAACTGGTTCGCCGAGGTTGAAGTCGTTTTCGCGAGCATCAAGTTCGGCTGGATCTTCGTCGTTATTATAACCATGATAGTCATCTCCGCGGGTGGGGCCCCCGTTGGAGGCCCCATTGGATTTCGGTACTGGAACACGACTGGCGGGTTTACAAACGGTTTCAAGGGCTTCTTGTCGATCATGCCCACGTGTATTTTTGCAATGTCTGGTTCCGAAAACTGTGGCCTCGTCGCAGCCGAGACAGGCAACCCCCGGAAATCTGTTCCCAAGGCCGTCAGTTCTATCTGGATCCGTCTGGCGCTCTTCTGTGAGTAGTTGGGTACCTTCTGCTAAACTGTCATCCCCTTATCCTGCTAAACGAATTTCACGAATCCCTCGCTCGGGTTTAGGGAGTGGTGTGTTGTTAACATATAATCACTAGACATCCTCGGCTCGCTCATGGTGACTATCACTGTCAGCCCTGATAATCCGGATCTCTTCGGTGGCGAAGGTACAAACGCCTCACCTTTTGTCGTAGCCTATAAGGACTCCGGCTTAATGCCCCTCGCACACATCATGAACTTCATCATCTTCATATCCGTGTTGTCGACCGGTAGTATCTCAGGTTACGGCGGGTCTCGAACTTTGGTTGGCTTGGCTCAGATTGGAATGGCCCCAAAGGTTGGTAGAACCGTTTACCTTGCTTCAAGACTCGACTCAACGGATTGGAACACCCGCTGACTTGTTCTCTACAACTGCGCAGCAAATGCTCAAGGCCGACAAGACCGGTCGCCCCTGGTTCGCTCTGGTGCCAACGCTTGTCATCGGAGGTGGCCTTGCTTACCTGAACGTCAGCCAGAGTGGTGCCGAGGTCTTCACCTGGTTCTCAAACCTGACTTCCCTCTTCACCCTTTTTGGATGGGCAATGATATGTTTGTCACATATCCGCATGCGTCACGCCTGGAAAGTCCAGGGCCGCTCTGTTGATGAACTCCCTTGGAAGACGTGGACGTTTCCCTGGGGGGCCTACTGGGGCCTCATCTGGTGCATACTTCTTATTATCGCCGAGTTCTACCTGAGCGTGTGGCCCTTGAGCGACCCAATGAGTGCCAGGAATTTCTTTGCCAACTATATCTCCATTGTGGCCGGAGTTGTGATATGGCTAGTCACTCGTGCCTACTTCTACGCTACGAAGAGGCAGGGCTGGTGGGTCGACTCTCACACTGTCGACCTTGATGAGGGCCGCAGGTTCTACTCTCGTGCGGCTGTAGAGGATGCAGAGAAAGGCGGACTCACAAAGTCTGCGTTTGGGTGGATTCATCACATCTGAGCCATGAGGGCGGCTTCCTCGCAGTCTGTATTAGCTGCGTATGCATTGTGTGCGTCAGGTTTGGGTCTTCAAGAGTGTTGAGCTCGGAGGTAACCAAGGACAAGCGCTGTGACCAGTGGCTAATACCTAGCTATTAGTCTTGGTGCATATATGATTCCTAACTAGAGACCATTTTGGCAAGGCGTGCCTCAGGATGGTCTTCCAATGTATCGAACTCCAGCCCATCCTAGATCCATCACCATATCTTTTCTTCTTGACATGTCAGCTGAGGCCACGACCAGTGAATTGTTACTCCCATCAATCTAACGATGCCAAGCGCTTCGGCTCGCGGAGTATCTACGAAGACCGGAAAAGGACGATGCTGAGAAATTTGTGTATTATGCAACGGTAGCCAATGCGCCCGCAGGCTCAAAGTTTAAGCTCGACGCAGTTCAGAAATCGGACGAGACAGCTCGAGAGCGCTCTACTTGGCGGCTTGACTCGGCAACCTGCCAGGTATAGATGGACAAACAGACTAGCGCGAGCGCCACACACTTGGTGTCAACATAAAGTGCATGTAGGAAGAAAAGCCTCGGTGTGAGATGGCCTTACTGGATAGCAATTAATTCTAGTCTGCGAACCCAAAAGTCCTCCACACCCAAAGCGGACGTTCTGATGCGCCCGTGAATCGACCCGGCTGAGGCGGCCTGCTGTGCTATGCAACCCTTGGACTGTTTGACAGGCAGGGGAAACCATGTCATCGTGGTGCTACGGAACCATGGTAGACGGTATAAGGTATCGATGAGTCCGAATTGGTGAAGTAGGACAGTGCATCTGCTGGTGAAACACGGCAGTTGTGATGCTCGGGTCTGACTCGTCTACAGAAGAACAAGATAAGTACATGAGTGCGTTGATTGTTGGTTGTGTGTTGGATCTGTTGGCAGACAGCCTGGGTAACGTTGACGGGTAGTGGTGCTTGTCACAACGGGTCATTTCTCAGGCCAGATCTACGACGCTTAAGGTTGAAGGATCTTGAAGCATCCAGATCTTGGGGAGATTTGCCAATCCTATTTCAGGCTACAATAACAGCGGGTTGCGAACCTCTCTGGCAGGATATACTCTAGTACACTCCCCGAACTGCATGAGTCAAGGTTAGTCGTGCCATACACAGCACGAGCGCGCTGCATCTGAGGAGTCGTGTAAGTCATGAGCGATAGGTCACGGTCGAGTGCGACGCTATGACTTGACCAGCCAGTGACCCGTACATCAGAGGCACGGCCTACAAACGAGACTAGCATTACAGCCTGTTCCAAGACCTGTGTGAGATCAACATGTAAGACAGCCGGAGAACCGTACGTTTCGCCCTCCCAGCGCGCCCTCGTTCCTACTATATTTCGTTAGAAACGGCTTCAGGATTATCTCCCGAGGTGATCCCACCGGAGCAGCCGCATTGATTCGATCGGTGCATCCTATGTATATATACGTGTACGCGGAAAAAGCTCGGATGTATGCACGTGCTCGTTGAAAGCATGAACTCTCAACTTGAGTTGGATTGCATCCCATCTAATATGCAAAACTTAGAGTCCCGATTGGTCTGGCAAGCAACTCGTAGTCAGTCATATGCAGGGTCCAAAGGCTGACCTGAACGGCTGCCCGGATCCTCAATACCGGAAACTCTAGCTCCAAAGCCTTCACGGTCCTCTTTGCCTGACTAGTAATTATTTGCTTTCAGAAACACCACCACGTACTGGCCTGGGTGACTGACTATAAACCTAACCGGCGCCATACTCACGAATGGCCCACGAGCTATGATTTCCTAGCTGGCCCTCTTTTTTCAGCATCTCAATGGCCATCCCTCCATAGACAGCTGAGGAAGCGCGTTCTCAAACAGGCGTCCCCTTGGAGGCCTTGACGGCATTTTCATCACACAAGAACCAGAATGGCGTCCAACCAGTCGGTTTCAGCAATCGATAACCTCAAATTAATGCCAGCAACAGCCTCGGAGCCGACCTCTCCACTCCAGCAGGCCGGAATTCTGTTGGTTTTCTCCTCCACTGCATTAGCAGTCGGGATTACAGCCCTACGCTTGTATGCCAAAGGCAAGGCAAGGCAGTTCTGGTGGGGTGAGTGTTTCACAAGGCCATCCCCTAGCACTAACCATGATGCTAATAACACGTTCATGGCAGATGATGTTCTCCTATGCGCTGCCACAGCCTTGTCCATCGCACAGGCCGTGAGCGCTTATTTCACCATCAAGACCTCATTCCTCGGAATCCACATTGAGGACGTTCCTGAGCATGACCCGATCACACCGCTGCGATGGCAATTCATCATACAACTCTGGTACAGTCCGATACTAGGGGCTGTCAAGGCGTCCATCCTTCTGTTCATGCTCCGGCTCACCAGCCACATGGCCAGAGTTAGGTGGTCAATCCATGCTTTGAACGCCCTGAACTTGGGCATGGTTGCGACAATCCTCCTTGTCGTGATGATCCAGTGTGGCCCCGTAGAGTTCAATTGGGACAAGTCGATCCGCGGCGGTACGTGCATCAACCAGGGGTGGTTCTACTTATCCACCGCGGCCCTGACCATCTTTACCGACTTGCTCGTCTTGAGTCTCCCATTCTGGGTGTTCCTCGGCCTCAATATGGCGCGGGGCCTCAAGATCGCAATCCTTTGCGTCTTCCTCGTTGGTGCAGTCGTCCCTGCCGTCGGCACATATCGACTCGTACTTCTCTATCAGACATTCTTCGAACCACCGCCGCCGGACCCGACCTACTCGATAAGCCTCACCAGCTCTGTCATCGAGTGCAACTTGGCCATAGTGACGGCCTCGGCGCCGGCTCTGCGTGGGCTATGCCGCTGTTGGTTACCGCAACTGTTCTCGAGCGGCAAGCCTAGTAACTACCCTTACAGCTACAGTATCAGCATGCCTCCCGAGGAAGCTGGAAGGCAGGTCTTCCTCGGTCGCTCCCGTGACACGGACGCTGCAAGCACTGCAGGTATTGTAATGGAGGCGTGCCCTCCGGAGAGAACAACGAGTGAGGTAGCGACGAGAGCCGGTCTGGGGAAAATGGACGGAAAAGACCCGATTGAGACGGACAAGGATGGCAGGACAATGTTGGTGATTATAGAATTGGAAGATGGTGGCAACTGGTCTCGTACCATAGATGACGATGACTGGGCTCATCGTGATCGCCAGCTCAGGTCTTCAGCAAGTCCAGTGTAAATCGAGGCTCTGATTTTTCAGGGAGACTGCAACAGTACATGCAGCGCAGCCAATAACATGGCACCGGACAAGCCTTGGTGATTAGCCGAAGACATCACCCGAATGCGAAAATGCAGTGTTGCGTGTGCGGTGTCACAATTTAGCATTTAGCACTTGTCCCTTCAGCTCCTTGGCAACAGCGATACCTGCAGCTCTGCCGGAGAAGATACAGCCGCCCAGGAATGTGCCCTCGAGGGAGTTATAGCCGTGGACTCCACCACCGCCGAACCCGGCTGCTTCGCCGGCAGCGTATAATCCCGGGAAGGGCTCACCGTTTGGCTTCATCACGTTGCTTGCAAGATTTGTTTCCAAGCCCCCCAGTGTTTTGCGTGTGAGGAGGTTCATTCGTACCGCAATTAGTGGCCCATGCTTGGGATCCAATAACCGATGCGGCGGCGCAACACGGCTTCTGCTGTCGGGCCAGTAGTTCCTCGCGTTGTGAATGAGCATGGCCTGTGCATCCTTTGAATAGGCGTTATGGAATTGGCTGTCGCGGGTCTCGACGACGTCCTTGACCTGACTGTAGTCAAGGTGGGGCCCATCCCGCTCGTCAGCAAGCTTGTTCATGCCGTCTACGAGATCTTCCAAGTTGTCCTTGACGACGAAATCAACACCATGTTTTTGAAAGTTCTGGACGGGGATTGTGCCCTTCTTGCCAAAGACTCGCGTCAGAAGCTGCCACCAAGACTCTATTCAGCCTGTCGTTAGCAAACATGGCACTGTGGTCGCGGCAGGGGGCTTCGAGAGGGCCAGGTGGTTTCTGGAACCAAGCATCACGGAAAGAGGGTAGGGGTGGGGCAACGTACTGCCGGTGATGTCCGGGTTCTGCTCAGAACCCGACAGAGCAAACTCCCTGGCGATTATGGACTGTGTGAGGATGAACCAGGTGTAGTCGTAACCGGTGCTGCAGATATACTTGAGTGTGGCCAGCGTGTCGGTTCCCGGGAACAGGAAGGGTGGCAGCCGTTTGCCGGTAGCGTCAAGCCAAAGAGATGAGGGTGCCGGCAGGACGCGAATGCCGTGGCTTGGCCAGATTGGATCCCAGTTGGCGAGGCCCTCTGTGTAGTGCCACATCCTGTCCCTGTTGACCACGTTGGCCCCGGCCGTCTCGGCGATACCAATGATGCGACCGTCGACATGAGCAGGCACTCCCACCACGAAGTTTCCGGGGACCTTTGGGCCAAGGCGGTCCTTGGGCCACGAGGCCTTGACTGCGTCGACGTTGCCTCCGATACCCCCGGAAGAGAGGACGACGGCAGAGCCGTAGAGCTCGAATGGGCCCGACTCGTTCCTGTTTGTCTTGACCCCGCGAGGAGAATCATCTGGGTCCAAGATGCTGCCCCTGACGCCGACTGCCCTGCCGGTGGCGTCGTCGATGATGAGCTCGTCGACCCTGTGGCGGAACCTGAAGTCGACGAAGCCTTCCTTGGCCTTGGCCTTGACAGGCTCAGCAAAGACCCTCACGACCTCGGGCCCCGTGCCCCAGGTCAGGTGGAAGCGGGGGACCGAGTTGCCATGGCCGCCAGCGGTGCCATCACCCCTCTCAGCCCACCCGACGTTTGGGAGGAAGCCCATACCCCTGGCTTTGAGGTAGCTCTCCATGTGGTCGGTGGCGAAGTGGACAAAGGCCTCGGCCCACTGGCGGGGCCAGAAGTCATCCTTATCACGGTCGAAGCGGGCCGAGTTGAACCAGTCCCGCATTGCCAGGTCGCGCGAATCCTTGATGCCCATCCTCCGTTGTTCTGTCGAGTCGACACAGAAGATGCCGCCGAGGGACCAGAAGGCCTGTCCACCGAGATTTCCCTCGTTCTCCTGGTCGACAATGACAACGGGTACATGATTGCGGGTCAGCTCGAATGCAGCGACGAGCCCGGCAAGACCGGCCCCGACAACGATGACGGGCTCTTGACTGTGGCGCGGGGCCATGTTGCCGCTGTCGTGTTTCAGGGCGGGAGTCGTACGTTGTTGTGCAAGATGCGCCCAAGTGATGGAGACAGAACAAGAAGACGGTGATCAGGGAACTGTTCTCGAGAAACGAGGGAAAAGGGCAGGGTGAGATGCCCTCCGCATGTCATGAATGGCCGGTGGGTTGGGCTGGGGGGGAGGATTCCCCATGGGGCCCATGGGGAAACACAGTACTGTGGCAGGGCAGCTTTGCCTCGGCTTGCGACCCTGTCAGCGCCCGCCCGCGGACCCGAACTCTGAGCTCCTGGGAGAGGCTGCATGTCTCAGCAGGCACGTGCATCCTGGCTGAACGACCGACCACCCGCCCCAAGGAGGGACACCAGCCTGTCCACATGCAACCACCATCGATGCCTATCCACACCACCGTCGACATCACCGCCATCTTGGCCACCAACACAAGCACAACCATGCATGCGACATGTCCTCGCTGCCCTGCCTGTTGCAGCGTCTGGTCCGGTTAGGCACATGCGTGCACTGATGGGTGCTGCTGGCCAACAGTGCGCAACGGGCAGTCGGTCGGCCGTCACGCGTCGCTTGTGGGTCTCGAGGACAAACAGACATGTGCACTCGCCAGACCACCCATGTCTTGTCACCCACTAACTGCTCGACACCCCCCCCCCGCAGCATCCGCCCCTCGTTGACGGCGAGCAACACACCGCCCATCCCTTCGCGCCGGCCCGACGACATCTGCAGCAGGAACACCCGCCCATCATCCCAGTCCATCCCGTCCTCTGAGCAACATACAATCTGTGTGAGTGAGAGAGAGAGAGAGAGAGAGAGGCGCCGTGAGGTCTGTAAGGGAGGAAAGCCCCGGGGGCAAATGACAAAAGGCCAAAAAAGGATGTGATGCAAATTCTTCTCTCTCGCCGGGAATTGAACCCGGGTCTCAAGCGTTGCTGCTTCCTGGATGGGCGATGACAAGCTTGCATACTAACCACTATACTACGAAAGAAGTCTCTTTGGATCTCGGTGTGGGGCCGAGGTAGCTGGTGGGCTGGTTGTTGGGATTCCCGGATGCCGGGGGTGCTTATATTGACCACTCTGGCACGAAAGATTGGTTGTGAGTTGCTGTCAGCTCCAGAACTAATCATTTGTACAAGTACGGGTGTTGCTGTTAACATCCGTGTTTCTGACTCGGCAACACAAACACCAAAATCCCGTTCTGCTGCCGTTTCTAGGCTTCGGCTGCCCCCCGCAGCTTGCAGAGAGATGGGTGGGTAAATGGGTAGGTCGACCGCATGCTCCCAAGCTGGTCAGCAACTAGGGATCAGGGTGGAGGTCTGGTGCAAAATCCTCTATCGACGAACACACATTTTTATACTGCATGAAAAAGCTGGTAGCATGAGTATCAAGAATGACTGTGTGTATGAAATTTCGCTTCAAATATATCCACCTCAAAATACATGGTGAGATCTCCCTTATCTAATTCCGTGAGTTGTAAACCTGTTAACGATGCCTCGTGTAGCCTAGTTCCACCTTGTGCTAATGAACTTGTTTCCAATATTTGCGGCATTCCATTGACGTCACCAGATGAATGCCTGCAATAACTGTACACCATAATTTTGTGCATAGGTCACACTGCGTGACGGGGTCAAACTCGAAGGCTTGACTAGCGATGGTGTCAAAGCTTGGAGTGCCCTCAGTGCCCTCAACAGTGTCCTCAACAGTGCCGTCGCCTGACTTGGCCCCCGCGACCATCGCGCCTAGTGTGGTCGTAGTTGGAACAGTCCGCTATGCCATCGGTACTAACAAAAGTTTGGGCAAAAAAAGACATACAAATAAGCACAGGTCTATGACATCGCAAATTTCTTCCGACCCGTGCAACCATCATTTTTCTGTACCCATTTCCAACTATGGAATCGTCGTCTTCAATAATATTCTGGGGAAGCTTGCCCGCAGAGGTCCGGCTCGTGATCCTGGACCTTTGACTCCACACTGACGGCCGCAAATTGTCTCGCCTTGCCGTGGTGTCACGAGAGTGGCAGACTGTTGTCGAGCGGCACAACTTCGCAAGACTCAGGCTGACTCCATCATGCCTCACCGGATTCCCTTCGAAGACCCGCCGCAATCGGCATCTCGTGGGTTACATATGGTTCTGTTTGGAACTCGAGAAGTATGATTGCGGCTCGGAAATGAGCAGCCCTCTGATGTTATCACGCGCCGACGTCGCCATTCTTGCTTCGGGGTTTCGGAACCTGTTCTCGACTCTTAGCGCATGGGGGCCAGACAGTGGAATACTGCTTGATATCAGTGTATACTCGCCTAGCGACTCAGAGCACTGGATGCAATACTCACCTTTGAGGCCCGATGTCCCTTTAGATGAGTGTGGTCGAAGTCAAGACATGGAGCAAGCACTGCTGCCCAATGCTGTCCACTATGAGGACGACTGGATTGTTGGCAATGAGGACTGCATATGCCGTCTATCTTCTCCTTTATCCAAGTGCTTCGGTGTGATCGGCAACGAGAATCCACTCTTCGACGGCGAAGAGCAAGAGGCTCGGTGGTGGCAGGGATTGCCACTAGTTCCAGCAGTCAAGGGTATACTGTTGCGCCAACAAACACGTCGACAATGGAGTCCGATCACGCTCGCTCATATACTCCCCCGTCTACCCAGACTTCATGAAATATACTACGAGCCATGGATGGACACCGATCCCGATGCTCAGATGTTCTTAGATGAAGGTGAGCATTTGCTTTGCCGTACCACTTGTTGCTATACCATTCACTGGTGAATAACACCAATCCTCGGTTTATTATTAGACTTTCAATGCTTCTTCGAATCTCTTACTTCAAAGGACATTCAAAAGCTGGTCATATTCGGAAACTCTTTTCAAACGGACCTGGATGCTATTTCTGGATCTGAACGCGATCGAACATTGACTCGTGCCATCAGTCAAATGGCTGCGGAAATCAGCCTTAAGCTGGAGCACTTTTCAGGCGCGTTCATGATTGAGGCCGACCACTTTTTTCTCTTCTCGCAAGTCTTTCTGGAAGTGGAATAACCTGCAATCACTTGTACTGACTTCACAACTACTTGTGCCCGAATCGGACCTGACTGATATCAACCTAATGCTCAAAGACGCGGCGGCAGCAGCGAAGAGAGTGCCACGACTAAATACTATGGAGATTTGGAACGGAAGAGAGGCATCAGCGAGTCTCTTCAAATATCAGTCAAATCGAGGCCAGACGAATGCAGCAGTTACCTGGAGAAGCACATGGGAGTTATCCGTACGAAGCCTCGTAATTCAGGCTTGGAAAGCTGTCGCGCAAACGCACGGCGCTCGTGGGCTAACTTTCAGCGGGGAATTTCTCAATATCCGTGAGTCTTTGGAGTCTCACGGGGATGCAATTCACTACTTGCGTTTTTCGGCCGCTGTAATCCGACCAGTTGCATTACGGCAGATTCGTACGGAGCACAACATTCATAACACTTGGAATGAACGACGAGAGGATTGGCGGGCAACATTTTTGAGTGAGATGGAAAGTTTGGCTGATCCTGATAACCGAGACCACCAGCAAGTATTAGCATATCTGCGGGCAAGTCTCAGTCAGCGGGAAGTAAACTAACTTCGAGTCACTGAATCATCCGAGTTAATAAAGGCAGGCTTTCAGTCCATATCAATTCATTACATCAATATGTTGGGTAGAAGCTCAAGGATTGAATGTTGGGAAGCCTCCCGGTGCTGCCGTCCTGGCCTCTTTGCGCCAGTACATCATGTTGTTGGCGAGCTATGATGAGCTTTAATCTAGATTAGATGTCAGCTAATCATGATTCAATACCGTGGACTCCAACCAGCAAATGCAAAACCAGTTCGTTATCAGTCGCTATCCTTACAGGCAATCGGTCCAAAGTGTTGTCGTCATGGTCTCGTTGCCTACCTAGGTATGTAAATCACATTCATGTTGCTGGCGCCTGGGAGGTCATATGAGGAAGCATATCCCTCCATGAAATCTGGTCAACCCCTAAGCAAGGCACTATCAATCATAAGCAGGTTAGGCGACCCTGGGCCTTCGGCCCCAGCTGCAGCAGGACTGTTAAATATATCAAAAGGATTGTAAGGCGGGTTACATTGTTACCACGGAACTGACCTTGGGACCGAATTTGAAGGTAATCGCACATGTCTTCACACTTGTTGTTCTGGATCCACCCCCTCTTGAGGAAAGCAAAGCATGACATGACGCGATCTCTATAATGCACTGCCGGGCCTGAAATAATAAGACTAGTTAATCGACTTGAGCATTTCATATGCCGACGCATCGCTCGCTTCGACGTTAATGGCCCATGACACACAATTCAAATCACATGGTAGGCTAGATTGAGGGGACCGAATCTTCAACGTACCCATAAATGGAAGACTAGCTGCCTGTCTACACATATGTTCTGTGGTAGCCTCGTAGCTAACACACATGCCACCTAGGAAATAATATTCACGGTTTTGATAGTAGATACGAATCCTATAGAAGATGGCCACCGGTCACGCGCATTAAATTGACAGTATTCCGTGCTTATGGGCGTCCGAAATGATCAAGACTTTACACTTTCCTTCGTAGATGGTAGCTCTTACATACTCTTTCATGTCTCATTCTTGGGTAGTCCTTTCCATTGTATTTCATCAAGTCCCGGAAACAGTTTCCCGTGCTATGAACTTGTAGTCCTTTCCCTCTGTCTTATCTTCAAGCCAGAAACTCCAGAAAGGGACATCCCGCCTTCGCGCTGGAATACTCATCCTCGACTCTCTTCTCGTTTTCTCTTCTTCAATCATCACCACCACCACCATCACCGCCATCACCACTACCAAGGCACCGTTGTAATTAGTATGATTCAATGTGGTCTTATTTTCCTTCTGAAAGTTTGAGCTCTCAGCCAATTCAAGCCCAGCTTCTCTGCGCGACCTTGTTGATAACGGCGTTTGCATGCCCGGAGATGGGCACTACGTCTGAATGGCTAACATGCAAAAAGGTGACTGTAGAAGTATGTTGATTTCCATCAAGCGTTGCCTGGCTACAAAGAAGCTCTCGCCAAAGAAGAGCTGCGCAGAATGGAGGCTACTCGAATACAGCTGGAAGTACTGTGTGATAAAGCCCTTCCACCCTCTTGCCAGGTAGCTAGGTAAGTGATGGGTATGACCACATGCGTACCCTGCCACGTCCTTGGACCAGACGGGAAACATGTAAGAAATTAACTTGGGTCCACGTACCTTTTGGGCTGCTGTGGTGACGTTTATCGAAGCATGATGGGATTCCGTTACTGACTACCTCCTACATACGACGGCTTCTATGTTGACTTTTGGCTGTAGTGGCCCGACTAGATGAGCACTGTGCCACCTTTTCAAGTAGCTACGATTCTATCCCGAACACACGATTTCGCTCTGTGGATCTATCGGGTTTGGTCGGTCATTCACGTGCCAAGAGAGCAACACAGCCCAGAGTTACAACAACCTGAACAACAATGTTGCAGCCAAGGGTTCTCTCTGTACCACTCATCGCCATGGAAGTTGCTGAAACCGAAAGCGGCGTCTCTACACTCCTTGCGGGGCTTGTCACCGCCATTACAGATGTCACAAGAGTCGTGATGCCCGACGCGGCAGCCACATCGACAACAAGAGTCGTGGGCCGCAAAAGTGGCGTAGACGTCTGCCATTTGCTGTTGGACATGAAGTCGAGGATCGGCTGCGGCCCCCAGTACATCTCCGTCCCGGAGCTCCTGTTGCCTGTCATCTGGATGTGCTGTGCTGGACACTGGACCAGACAAGGCTCGATGTTGGCCGGGGGCCATAGTCGTGCGTGGTGTTGTTGGCCTGTAACTCTCGGCGCGCTCACACAGATAAGCAGAATGGCCAGTATGGCTCTGAATGTTGAAATACGTCTCAGGCGGTTTCTTTCTGCTATTGTACTATGTTCAGCAGGCTGGTCAAGGTGTTCGCTTTTGGTCTGATCCATGTTGTGGTACCTTTGCTGGGTGTCGAAACTGTCCCGGGAGGTGGGAGTCTCTGTCAACGTGGATTACACACCAGAAAACTGTTCCGTCTCTGGTATTTATACCTTTGGATTGAACCCCGCCCAGGGAAGCAGCACACTGCGTTCAGTCTGTCACTATGGGGAACCCAAGTCAGTCACAGCATGCTGTGACTCGACACCCCGTACGTACCACAAACACGACCAAGCACCTTTTCCAGCTATCTTACTCTGACGCATTCTGACCACGAGTTATCAAGTCAGAGCCTTTGCTATTTCTGAGTCGCCGGACTTGTGCAGTGGCCGAGGCGATCAAAAATGGTGGGTGGTCGAGCTGGGACATTGATAGGTCGTCACATCTGTCATTCTCAAGAGGCTCTGTAGCTGCTGTGCATCACATCTAAGTCACCTTGATGTCCAGATGCATGCCGAAAACAACGGGCTGAAACGGGTTGGCAGCCGCTGTGGTGTGACCATGCACTGGATTGCAAGTTCCTTCCCCCCCCCCCCCCGCCCCCAAGATCCAGGTGACCGAATGACCAAGTGCGAGGTATCCTGGGATCCGTCCCCTACAATCGAGTCTTGGTCTCTTTATTTGGACTTCAGCTATCTATCTACCTCGGTTATATTCCACCGTCAAGGTAATAAGTGATACTGCTATTGAGATATTGACACTGAGGTTGGTCGACAAAACTCGTAGTAAGCGAAGGGTAGTCGAATGACTTGATAGGCCCCGTCTTTTCGCTTACTTCAGGCCAAGGCCCGGACTCATGGATCGCATCTATCGTGCTCTGGTAGCCTCTGACTTGTAGGTAAGCCAGGTCCGGGTTTGGCTGACCGGTGCGGATGAAGCTGCCAAAGTGGCCGCTGGTCAACTGAACAGTGAGCAAGTCGTTGACGTCGCGGTAGCTAGACCAAGACCCACACAGTTAGCATTCAAATCCTCTCAGTTCACATTCGCTGCAAAGTAGTGGTGGACCGGACGCCCTGGCCATTTTTTTCATGGGGTCAAGGATATTTCGGGGCTAACCTGTGTAAAGCACCAAAGAAATTCGGTATACCGGATGAGTGGACCCTGTAGTAAAAAGTGTTTGGGTTGCCGAGAGGATATTCTGGAGTGATGTCTCCAGTGATATCCAGTCCGAGAGGGTTATAGGCCTCCTCAGGATATGCACGAACCTGCAGACAACGTGAGCTTTCCCGTCTAGAACTTCATGGTATCACCAGATAATAGATGCACGAAGGCAGAAAACTTACAGACTCGTAGAAGTACGCTGCAGGCACAGCACCAGACTCAGCGCCAGCATACACGGTCGCTTCGCCCGCACAACGCCAGACAAGGCCAGTATTTATGCGAACAGAAACATTCACCGAATCGGCAGTGAGGTTGCCAGTATCGTAAAGTGGAAACAGGTCCGAATCGATGACGTCCTGGGAATAATACGGCGAAATGTACAGATTTTGCTCAAGACATTCCGCTTCGGTGGTACACGTCTTGCTGTAGCTGCCGACGGAGGCACCATCGTCCTCGGCCACTCCGAAGATGATTGGCACACAGGCGGTGTTGTCGTTCCTGGAGGTCAGAATGAGCTGCTCTGTGTTGATGACCTCGCCGTCCTGCACAGGGTATCGAGCGACGTCTACCAGTGAGCTTAAGTCCCCTGTGTATGCAGTAAGACATGCGACCTGGGCAGCCAGAGAAGTCTGGTTGCATCCTGCCTCGTTGAAAATGTTCTGGCCGGCCACACTGAATGATTCATTGACGGTATAATACTGTGACATGTCAGCTTCATTGGATCCGTAAGAGGAAATCAACAGCAAAGCAAAGAAGGAGATGCCAGCATCTGCAAGTGTTCAGACAGATACAGCTGGTCACCTGGGCAGAGACCACCTAAATGGATCAAGGCAGCCCTGGGACAGCGCAAAGGGGAAGCGTTCTTTGAGGATTGCTCTTACAGAACTATAAGTAGTCCCATATCCGCTTCCGAGTCCGAGAGCGAAGTCGAGACCCAGATTAGACATGGCTACAGCTCCTTGGAACTTCCCAATGGCCTTGGGGGATCCTAACATGACACGCGCGGAACCAGCGCCTGCGGATTGGCCAGCGATTGTTATCCTCTTGGGATCTCCGCCGAATTTCTCGATATTCGCGATGACCCAGTCTAGAGCCGTGATCTGGTCAGCAAGGCACAGCCAAAAATCCATAAGTGCTGAGCCGGTAGTTGATGGTGACAGTAACGACGTCCTCGCGGCTCGCAAATTGACCACCGTTGCCAGCCCCTTGGCCGCCTGCAGGTTTGTTAGCAGATAGTGGCGGCACCACATGGATGCTATCGATCACTGACCAGTGAAGCCTCCACGATGAATCCAGAAGATGACAGGTCTGAGGTTCTTTGTCGACCCTACCCTTGGGATAAAGGGGGTCTCGATATTGAGAAAGAAGCAGTCCTCGCTACCGCTGCCGTACTGCAGGCATTGTGGCCCGGCCAGTTGAGCAGCAACGGCAGAGCCGTTTCCGGGTTAGACCTCGGTGTACCTGAAGCGGCCGGGAAACTGAGCATAGCGTATACCGGCGAACCAGAACGCCTTCTTATTACGAAAGCCCTGGTAAGCATCGCCTGACTCGACAGTGACGATGGATGTCGAGGGAGCGGGACTGAATCCCCCGACATCGTTTCCCGGCTGCGTCTGCGTGCAAAGAACGGGCAGAGACTGGTTGGTGGTGTTGTGAGAAGCCGCATGGAACGCTACATTCTCGCTGCCGGGTGTGGCGATCAGGACACCATTTTGGACCCAGTACTTGCCGCCATGGACATAGCCAGCGTAGGCTTGAGACCGCAGCTGGCGGCCGAGGTCTGTAGTATTCTGAGCCGAGAGCTGGGAAGGAAGCAGATCCTCGTTGATGGCGACACAAGCGGCCTGTGCTTGGTCGTAGGGCAGCGGGTCCAGCAGAAGCGCTCCAGCATGGTTGATATCATCCTAAGAAATTTGGTCAGTCCGACGCGACCACCAATCCCTCGGAAGCGACCATGTCCCCGACAGACATAGTGTGAAATTCAAGTTATTCTGATACAGAAGAGTCAGACTGGTGTTGGCGTTCGACAGTTGTACTGCGGACGTCGCCAGAGCAGTGCAGACCGCAGGTAGCAGAGACCTCAGAAACATCATAGTGGCCATGGAATCGGGTCAAGTGGGTGCTGGCACGGCGCTGGCTGCACTGGCTGCACTGGCTGCACGAAAGCCATCACCGCGTCGACATGCGTCTCCAAGAGTATATATATTCTACACCTGTACCCTGCGCGCTCCACGGTGAGCGCCGTGAGGCTAGTCGGATGGATCCATGAGGCGTACCAGGCGTGTCGATTACAGGGGCCGTGGACGGATGGACGGCTCCGCGTCCAAAATTGTCCATAGAGCTAACATGCGGTCGGCAGCACTTGCTTCATCTCCGGCGCTCTCAACTCGCCATCGCCTACCTAGGTGAGCCAGCTAGCTACCTAGTTACCTAGGTAGTGGGCGAGGTGCCTGGAAATTGATTTCGTCGGCCGTGCGGATGCGTGATGCCTGTCGTCACAGTTGTCCGCGTGGACTGGTGCCAGGCTCGTCGGTAGGGACGTGTTCCATGCCGGTAAATTGTAGCTAGCTCGCGCGCAGAGGCCGGGGTCCGATGCGCGGCCCCAAAAGCCTGTGGAATCCGACTGCATTCAAGGACAGGCAGCAAGCAACCGGCACAGATCATGGCTGGCCAGGTCTGGTTGATGATCGTCAAGTACCTTGGTAGTGTAGATCAAAGTGGGCAAGTCGAACTGCAGGAGATTCATTTAGGGAGGTTTTGCAGAAAGGTGAGACCCCGCCACGGCAATTTGGGCCCGGTTTTTTTATATTCTTTCTTGGAGCTTCTGCTTGAGCCCATAACCCCACCTCGGCACGCGCCCATCGTCACGTTCACAGTCACCACTTGGCCTAGCAGGTTCAACAATCGGGGGTCAAAAGGGCTGAGACTCGAGCGGAGTGGCTGCCCGTCCCAACCGCATAGCCTTGACCTACTTACTCTAATCCCCGAAAACTGGCTCGCTGCCAACGCTGGGGCTCCTAAGATGCCTCCAAACCCCTTCCTCCTAGCCGCAGACAATCCGGCCACGCTGCTGGCCCTTCTTCGTGACACACCAAGCCTCGCCTCCCAGCAGGACGACCACGGCTACTCCCTGCTCCATGCCGCAGCTAGCTACAACCACCTCGATCTCCTGCGCGCCCTCGTCAACGAGTTCAGAGTGCCTGTCAACCTGCGAGACGAGGACTCCGAGACCGCACTGTTCGTCGTCGAGACTGTCGAAGCCGCTAGACTTCTGGTCGAGGAGCTCGGTATAGACACAGCACTGGCCGGGGACGAAGGGCTGACCGCACGCGAAAAAATCCAACAGGACGGCGACTTTCCCGCGGTCGCTGAGTATCTTGCTAGCAGGGAGGGTGCTGCGGCAGGCACGGCCGGCACGGCGCAAGCTGCCGTCAATGGGGCCGGCCTCAACGGAAGCCTCCCACCGGTTCCTCAGGGTCTCTCAGTCAATTTTGGAACAAATAACGAGGATGAGGCTGCTGGTGCCTCCCCGGACCCTGAATTCAGGAGGCGCATCGAGGAGCTGGCAGCCAGGGAGGACTTAGACACAGAAGCCGGGCAGGCGGCACTCCGACAGCTGGTAGAGGAAGCTGTTGCCGGGGAGGAATTGGCGCAGGAGAGGAATGTGCGGCCCAGGCAGGGCTGAAGGACGCTTTTGGCCGGCTACATGTGGTTTCTGATATCCCACAGCAGGTATTCGCTTGGGGAACCTGGAGGTCGAAGAAATGTGGACTCGGCTGTGTCCCCCGAGAAGCCCTTGGGAAATGCCGAAACCGCCATAGAGAACCATGAGTGCGAGGGCAGCGCGAGGATCGCCTCGACAAGTAGCTTGCGGGCGAAGCAGGGCGGCAGAAGACCCTCCCAGACGACGCTACATAGCCTCACAACAGGCCCTTGGCCAGGCTCTCCGGGCGGCTGATACCGACTCAAATAGGGGTCGACCGAGTCCGCTGATGACACGCGTGGACTTTGGAGGCGCAGGAGCGACAGCCATTCATAGATTCCGCTTGCGAACTCGGGCAGGTCCTCATCTCCGATGCCCGCGATGATGCTTGGAGGTGGTGCGAGAGGCGGCACGGCAATGTCGGGATGCTCAGTGGTCTGAGGCGACGACGTGCATTTGATCGGCTGGAAGGCTTCCATGGGGTCGGGGTTAGGTGCTAGAGAGTGGTGTTAAAGAGGGTGTCATGTAGAAGCAACGGCAGACAAGCAAATTTGCAGAGCCAAGACTCACTCTTGTTAGACAGGTTGCAGAATAGCCAAGTCAGTGGCTCCGTAAGAGTGCTCTTGCAGGCGTACACGAGCCTGTCAAAGCCGGGCCTCCCGTACAGCATCGATGGGCTTCGGAGGTCGAATTCGACCACCCAGCGCGGCCTCAGACCCCTGTTACCCTTGCGCCGTGGGGCTTGCCGACCAAGCCGGCGCGCTCGTACGTCTCCTTGTCAAGAAACATGGTGAGCCGGCCGTCCTTGAGGGTGAAGACGTTGTCCAGGTCAGTGCGGCCGCGGGACAGCATGACGATATCGCCTATCTTGATGTACTCGGTGAAGAAATCTCCTTGCAGGATCTGGAGCAAGGTCATGGTGACGCGACAGAACTCTGGTGCTGGTCCTTGGCCTAGAACCTGCCCTTGTATTGCCTGCCATTGGTCTTGGGGCATGGTGAGGTCGACCTGCGCGGCTGGTCAGGATGGAAGTTGAACGTGCACTGCGAAGGAGGAGAGACACGTACCTTGCTGACGAGTCCGTCGAGAAGAACCGATGACCACGGCTTGCCCCTGGCCTCCCATGTTGTCGGCAGCTGCTGAGGGTCGAGGTGAGAGAGACGACCGTAGCTGAAGCAGCACTTGGACGCCTCGTAGACGGTTGGCTGTGAAAACCCTTGCATGTTATAATGGATTTTGCCCGAACCAGGCTGCGATGATGCGGACAGCTGTGAGAGACCCGTTCAATTCTCCGCTGGGATTTAGCAACTGCGAGTATGTTGAGTGCGCAGGTCAAAAGGTGCATCGATACGCTGCTGCAGACGTATCCTACGTTCGTGGTCAGTCCTGCATCTATGTGCATCTGCCTCTGGAGTCGCACCTCTTCAACTGCCTCCCTAGGCATCTAGTAGTCCAAGTGACTCTTCCTTAGAATGGCAGACTGCAGTGTCTGCAGTGTCCTAGCCTATGACGGTATTCGGAGTGCCACAGTGCACAAAGGATTGTTCTCATATACACACACAAAACCTATGCAGGTAAACAGAAGCTTGAAGCGAAAATAGAGCCCATACCTTCCAGATGTGCCTTGTCGGGTACTGTACCGGGATACTTGGGTACTCTGGTAATTGTGTGTCCAATTTTTGGGAAATACGCACCCTGGGTAGGTACGTGCTAAGGGAGGTACAGTGCTTATGCAGCTAGGCCGTATAGGCTCGACCGCAGACGTCCCCAAACTCATCCTTCTCAACAGCCATCACGACAGCTCGAGCGAGACTCACCATCAACGGCCGCCTCCTCATCCCCTTCACTTCTTTCAGAGGCCAACAGCAACGGGCGGGAGAGATGGCAGCTAGGGAATCATAATTCCTCATCTGCCCTTTACCATCTAACATGCACGGCCAGACAAGATGGAACGGCCATGACACACCCTCCCATGTGATTTTTTACCCCCCCCCCCTTCCATTCCCATCAGATTCAGACCGCGGACCCAAGGTCTCAGCATCTCGTCACACAGCTGGTGCACGTCGCATTGACACAGGCCCAGGTCTATCGCACCCAGCACAAACACCGACATGGCGGAGATTTCATTCCTCGTCCGCTTCAGCCAGGCGCACGAGACCTTCCGCGTGCCTGAGTTGCAGGCCCTGGCCGAGGCCGAGAACGTCCCCTTCACCGTGGTCTCATACAGCAGCCTCGTGCCATTCTGCATCATAACGGGTCCCCCGGATCCTGACGCAGCAGCCCGCCTCGTCCGCCGCTCCATCCTCACCCAGGCCATCTACGAGTACTGGGGCTCTGGGGACAGCCTGGACGACCTGCACCAGGACGTAAAGGCGCGATCCGCCCACCTGTGGGAGCAGCACGCCGCCGACTCGTGGAAGTTCAACATCGACTCCTTCCAGGGCACCCGCAGCAACGCCTCACGCCGCGACATCATCAACTCCTTCCACTACATGCCTCTCCGCGGGCCCATCAGGATGAAGGATCCCTCCCAGGAGTACACTGTCTTGGAGGAGTGGCCCAGCGACTCGCCACGCCTGGCTGTGCCCCATCCGGACCGCTTCCACTTCGGCCGCCTCCTCGGCAGGGGCGCCCGCGACATGGTCGCGCGCTTCGACCTCAAGAAGCGGCCCTATATCTCCACCACCTCCATGGACTCGGAGCTCGCCCTCGTCACCGCCAACATGGTACTCGCCGCCCCCGGGAGGCTCTTCTACGACCCTTTCGTCGGCACCGGCAGTTTTCCCATCGCGTGCTCCGCGTTTGGCGCCCTGAGCTGGGGCAGCGACATCGACGGCCGCGCCGTGCGCGGCTCGGGCCACGATGCCAGGGCAGAGGCCAAGAGGGGCCTGGTCAAGGGAGAGAAGACCCTCCACGGCAACTTCAAGCACTACGACATCCTCGACAGGCTGGGCGACGTCTTCACCTCGGACCTGACAAACTCCCCCATGCGGTGCTTGTCCTTTGGCATGGGCGGCCAGGGCGGAAGGGCGCGGCTCTTCGACGGCATCGTCTGCGACCCACCGTACGGCGTGAGGGAGGGCCTGGTGGTGCTCGGGTCCCGAGACCCTGAGGCGCGGCCGTGGGTCGTTGAGGCCGGGCACGAGCGGCTCAAGGACCCCAACTTCGTGCCGCCCAAGAAGCCCTACAGCTTCCTCGCTATGCTCGACGATATCTTGCACTTCGCGTCCGAGACCCTCGTGGACGGCGGACGGCTGTCGTTCTGGATGCCGACGGCCAACGACGAGGACCAGGAGATCCCGTTGCCGACGCACCCTTGCCTCGAGGTTGTCGCCATCTGCGTGCAGCCATTCAATAAATGTAAGTCGCTGCCTCTACTGCTTGCTCCAAGCGGCACGTACCCTGTGGCTGAAACTCGTCCTCAGGGTCTCGCAGGCTCATCACGTACCGTAAGCTGCCGGATGAGTCTGTCGCCAGGTCCGAGCTGGAATCGTGGAGGGCGGCGGCGGAAAGGCAGCACGTGGGCACGACTGCTGACGAGCTCAACCCGTTCAGAAAAGGCTACTTTAACAAGTTCCAGGCAGATACCTCATCGTAATGCCAGACCCGTCGGTCGATGTTCAGTGAATGTGTCTTGAACGCTGGTTTGTCTGTACCCTAAACCACCCGCACTTTGGGGTCGACTGTGGTGCTTTGCCGCGCAATACCCCGAGCGCGTCTATGACACTGCAAGACACCCGTCTCTCGAAAACGGGAGCCTTTGCTGCCCCTTGGAGCGCCTGTCGTCCTGGTCCCTCGGCTGAGAACATGGCCCCGATCAGCCTGACGGGTCGTACGTAGACCCTAGTCATGTGTGAACCTCCGAGCCTGCCCTTGCCATCCGTGTTTCATCAAGCTCATGTACCGTGTCTTCGCTTCCATGCTATGTATTACCAACCGCTAACTCCATGCTCGGCAAAAAAATTCTTACCGGAACTCCAGTGCACTGTAGCAACCCTTATCCTCAACGTGTTTCAATTCAAGTTGCTGGAATCTGGAAGCCAGTCAGCAGAGTGTGCAATATCAGACGCGTGCGGCCACGACGTGTTTGGGTGTCGGCATGCGCAAATATTGGGGGGAGGGGCGGGGGCCGCATCGATGCGTCACTTCCACTCACCTCTCGCTCTTGCTGTGGAAATAAATGCCATTGATCTCCCCCTGGACTTGATTAAAGCAGATGTAGTAAAATCCCTCGAAGCTCGCGCCACTAATGGTTCGCACTCTGTGATCGGGGACGAGGAAATGCTCTTTCCAGCGCATGAAGATATGCTCGCTCTGGGCAATGTCCTTTATCACAACTGCAGAGCCCCTACGTGCCTGCTTGGAGTATGGTCGGAAGGCAGGGAACTTAGCCCAGTGGGACAGGTCGGTCTTATCGTTGGCGCCCCAGCTCTCGTGTTTTGTCATGAAGCCGTACTTGTTCCCAATGATCTCCCCCTCGAAGTACGTTGTAAGCGTGGGATGATCATCGGTTAGCCCTGTCGAGTAGTTGGAGAGTCAGCATCGAGACCAGAGACGAATTGTTCGATCGGGGTGGGAAAGGACAAACCTTGGATACGGAGGTACCCGCAGAGGGACGATTCCCGCAAATCAACGTACTTGATCTCAACCTGAACCTCGTAGACCTGCCTCTCGGACTGCTGTGTCCCGGTGAAGCGGCTGCCTGCTCGTAGGTATGTTGACGGCGAGGCGGGTATTATCTAGCCATTGTCCATGAGTCTTCAGCCGAATTGTGCTCAAAACCAATGCGACTTACCCTTTTGGAGGGGAATTCAAATCCCATGCTGGGCAGAGCGTATTCCTCTTCCGTCCCATGATTAAGGTCTGTAGGGTTGTGCATATCGATGTCAGGCCTTGACGACGTGCCCGTGCCCACACCATGCCGTGGCCTCGAAATGTGGAGGGACTCTGACGATGTGACGTCGTACGGGGAGTCTGTTCGTTCGTCGTCGGTTTCTGCCATTGGGTGCTGGTCGTTGCGGCTTTGGGTATCGGCAGTGGAGGGACTAGTCGCTGCCATGTCGATGGTGGGTCCATCACTGCTTAGAGACTGAGGGTCAAGAGGGCTTCTCGTAGAGCTCGGGGATGTGTCAACGTCCTGTTCGAGACTCGAGTGTCGCGCAGCACGTCTGCTGACGTCGTGGGTAGAAATGTATGCATCAGAACGGGTATGCCAATTAGTGGAGTGGTGCTCTGCGGTCTGTTGTTCGTCGGGGTCTGGACATGTTGCGGCAATCGTGTAGGGAGGTTGAGGACCTGGCGAGGACGGAGTAGGCATGACTGGAGGATAGAGTATGGCGCGGGTGGTCGGTGACGTTTGTTCGGCAGGAGCGACTCCGAAAGGTGTGGACTATTGAGAGGCGAGTAATGGATTTCTGCCAGGCAGTCGGTCGGCGAAGCCAATGATGCAGATACAATACCAGGGTGAATTCGAGGCAGGCGCCTTTGCAGTGGAAGGACGGTCAAGCCAGCGAGCCAGACAGGCGCGGCACGAGCAGCCTCGGAGGTACGTCGGTCGGGCTTTGCAAAGGAGTGTCGACGGGGACGGGTTTCCGGCCGTTAATGGTGATGGCCCTGGCTATCGCGGACGCGCAGCGGGAGACAACCGATGAGTGAACCAGGTTAATCCAGGTATTCAGCATGCGGCATCTGTAAAGCTGTTGGCTGCCTGGATTTGGGTGCTGGTCACCAGATGCTGGATGCTTAGACGTTGCGCCTGGGAAGTAACAAATCCGCAGTTGAATTAGAACTAGGAAGCGTCGCGAAAGGAGAAGTGGAGGTCGAGTCGTCGGGCCGGGTCGAGTCAGAGCAAGACTAAGACGAGCGTTGGAACGGCCCAAATGTTGGAGAAGGCTAGGCCCAGGGCGCGACGCCTTTGGTGCCGAGGGAGGATGGTCTGCTAGTTCCTGGACGATGGGATCGGCAATGAGGAGGGCAAGAGAGGAAGAGAGAGAAAAAAAATAAAACGGTAGTCTAGTCGTCCGCGTACCTATCTACTAGATGATATCCAGCCCGTGTCCTGGATGAACGTGTTGCGCAAGCTGATGAGGGACGAGTGTCACGACCCAGCCAGGTGTCGGCCACCCATCCGCCAGCAGGATTCCAGCCTGCACCACCTATCTACCTCCATACGTACCTAGGTAGCTTACATACGTACCTAGGTATCTAGGTACCGTCTATGTCCGCCTGCCACCTGCCTGCCCTGCCACCTGCCTGCAATGCGAGGACCTGTCGCTAAGGGCCTCGACCCTGCACCACCGCACTACCGCCCACTTGGGCAATCGATGGACCGCAACATACCTACCTAGGTAGGTAGGTAGGTAGGTATGCTTATTAAGGCAGCTAGTGACAGGCAGCCAGGCCCAGCAACCAGGCATCATGGCTCGACTCTCTGGCCTTGGAAGCCTATGCGCATCACATCACTTCCGACTGTGCCTTTCCAGATAAACGGCAAATTCTGCTACGGCCCAAAGATCGAGTTTGAACACGCTGTCATGTTGCACTCCAGAGTCAGGATCCTGCATGGACCGAGGGGCTTGGAGTCAGCAGCCAGCAGACAGCAGACAGCAGCCATGGCCGGTCCAGCAACGGCGTTCCCGACCCGGCAGGTGTCTGGACTGTTTTGAATCAATCAATCATTGACCACTCCAGCACCTTGCAAGTGGCGTGTCGGGGCAGCACAGTAGGTTACGTTCAGGCTTTGTGGGAATTCAGCAGATTCAATACCTGGGATTTCATTGTGGACTGTAGGTTGTGGGCTGGCATGTCATTTACCCAGTCTGCTCCTCTCTACCGAGACATGCACGCCAAGTCATCGGCCATACGGAAGGAAGCTGGCCATTGCCTCTGCGCCCATCCTCTTGTCGGCTGTCGTCCACGACAGGCCCGCCATTTCTCCTTTCATTTTTGCTTGCCTCGCCGTCTTTGCCAGGCCAGCCCCTCCTCCCCAGTACAGACTCCTAAGTAAATACACGGGTGCGAGGCCGAGGCCGGACCCGAAATTGAGCCAACCCTTCTTTTCCCTCCTTTCCGCAGCGGCCTCGCAAGACCAGGGCGGCATCATGCTCGACCATCCTCTCAATACCCCGGTCAGATGGGCTTGATCTTGAAGTGCAGAGATATCAGGGAGAAGACAAGCGCCTTCAGGTCCTGCACCAGATAGTAGAAAACCCGCAGACCCTCGGGGTCGGCAGATTCGGTCACGTCGTGGAGAGAGCCGATCTTTGCTGTCTCGAAGCTGATATGGTCGCCGCCCATCTTGATTTCGAGCTCTTGTCTCCCGTCCTTGTTTTTCTGTGGCCACTTGCCGTCGTCTTCCTTGAGGATCTCGCTCGACTTGATAATGCGCTTGATCTCCTCGATGATGACGGAACTCACACACACTGCGAACGTAGTCTTCAGCACCTGCACTCGAACTTGGATATGGGTATGTGCGCGCGTGCGCGGGTGTGTGGAAGGGTCGGGTGTCATGAGGAGGGGCGCGGGGGAGGGGACGTACTCTCTTTGCGAATGAGACTGTCATTCCGGTAATTGGAGTTGTTTGCGTACCGTGCGACGGCGCTGCGTCCGTCGCCTACGACTCGGAAGTCGAACTCTGCCGTGACAACGCCGTCAGCCATCCGAGGAGCGAGGAGGGGAGCGGGCACAGCAGGACAAAGGGGGGGCACAGCTACACACCCAGGAACTCATGGCCGAAGCGACCCGAGTGACCAGAGTAGTACCGGATGTAGAAGGGCTCGTTGGCGGACGACATTGCAAGATGAAGTCTTAACAGTCGCTCCCAAGCGCGTGGTTGTCGCAGGTCTCGCCCTCAAGCTCTCATCATAGGCGGGTGGTGGATTCAAGCAACGGCGGCAGGCAACCAACGACCAGGTGCCTAGGTACCTAGGTAGCGACCTGGGCAAGGGGGTGGGGGCAGTCCAAGAGGCAGTAATTGACAGGGTCTGTTATCTCACGTCCTCAGAGCCGCTTTCCACACCCGCCTGTGAGACCTTGCCGCTGCGAGACGCGCAGGTACTCAGGTACCAAGTTGCCCAGATATGCGCAAGCTGGCCGGAACCTCCCAATTTTCCACCTCCGGCTTGTCACGCTCGGACCAGGGCGGTTGCGAGGGGAGGCTGCTGGGCGTGTTAGTGCTACTGTGTCACTGCTGCAGCCGCCCCCAACCTGTGTGCACTTAGACGCAGCAGCACCAGCAGGGCCAGATCTCAGCAACAGCGGACTGACTGACAGAGATGCATCTCTGGCCTGTGAATTGCGCCAACCCAGCTTTCGCCTCCCTCCACAACGCGCTCGACAACACAACAGCTCTCCCTTCCTGCCCCGGCCGCACACGTTGTTTGTTTGAAGCCGGCACTCAAACTCCCACCCCTCGCTTCCTTCAGATATCCCAATTGAGCTGTTAGTGCGCGTCGTTCTCTCCATCAACCGACCGTTGACAGCAAGGACACTGGACACTTGTCGACTGCATCAGCCAGGGGGAGCTTCGAGTCGCCCAGGTCCCGCCGTCGACAGCAACCGCAGCTCTCACTCTCGAAACAGGGCAAACAGCACCAGCATTGCCATCAGTCTGACACCTCGCGGGAAGCTCGTTGGGTTGCCCACAACCACCTTCCCCCCACAATGTCCTCCTTCCTCGAGAATGCCTACAGCCTGGTCCACCAGGACAATGCCGCCGATGTTCCCTCCATGTCCGAGCTGCGCACGCAGCTCGAAAAGGGCACCGACGAGAGCAAGGTCCAGACCATGAAGTCCATCCTCACAATCATGCTGAACGGCGATCCAATGCCTCAGCTGCTCATGCACATCATCCGATTCGTCATGCCCTCCAAATCCAAGCCGCTCAAGAAGCTGCTCTACTTCTACTACGAGATCTGCCCCAAGCTCGATGCTGGCGGCAAGCTCAAACAGGAGATGATCCTGGTCTGGTACGCATCCACAACGTCCTGCTGCTTGCCCCCTCCCTCGTCCCCTCCCCGACGGCGCGAATACCACCTCTCCATGCATACTGACAGCATCTGTCCCACAGCAACGGCATAAGAAACGACCTCCAGCACCCCAACGAGTACATCCGCGGCAACACCTTGCGCTTCCTCTGCAAGCTTCGCGAACCCGAGCTGATCGAGCCACTGCTGTCCTCTGCCCGATCTTGCCTCGAGCACCGCCACGCATACGTCCGCAAGAACGCCGTCTTCGCCGTAGCCTCCATCTACCAGCACTCTCCGTCACTGATACCCGACGCCTCCGACCTGATCGCGACTTTCCTCGAGACCGAAAGTGACCCAACGTCCAAGCGGAATGCATTCGCCGCCCTTGTCAGCATCGATCACCAGAAGGCCCTGGCATACTTGAGCTCCGTCTTCGAGGGCATCCCCAACGCCGAGGAGCTCCTGCAGCTGGTCGAGCTCGAGTTCATCCGCAAGGATGCCGTACAGAACCCTCAGAACAAGGTAGGCCCCCCGGCTTTTGCGAGACAGGCAGGGTCGATCGGACGTGCTAACGCCCTCAGGCGCGCTATCTGCGGTTGATATTCGACCTGCTCGAGGCCGGTGCTTCGACGGTCGTCTACGAGGCTGCTTCGTCGCTGACCGCCTTGACGAGCAACCCTGTCGCCGTCAAGGCCGCCGCAGCCAAATTCATCGAGCTGAGCATCAAGGAGGCAGACAACAATGTGAAGCTGATCGTACTCGATCGGGTGGATCAACTGCGGTTGAAGAACGAAGGGGTGCTGGACGACCTAATCATGGAGATTTTGCGCGTTCTTTCGAGCCCCGACATCGATGTGCGCCGTAAGGCCCTGAGCATCGCCCTGGAAATGGTCTCGAGCAAGAACGTCGAAGAGGTTGTGCTCCTCCTCAAAAAGGAACTCTCAAAGACCGTGGATCAGGAATACGAGAAAAACACCGAATACCGCCAGCTACTCATTCACTCAATACACCAGTGTGCCATCAAGTTCTCTGAGGTCGCGGCCAGCGTTGTCGACTTGTTGATGGATTTCATCGCGGACTTTAACAACACGTCTGCAGTGGATGTTATCAACTTCATCAAGGAGGTCGTCGAGAAATTTCCCAAGCTGCGGCCGGCCATCGTCCACAGGCTGGTCGACACGCTTAGCGAGGTGCGCGCCGGCAAGGTGTACAGGGGAATCCTGTGGATCGTCGGCGAGTACTCCCTCGAGGAGAAGGACATCAGAGACGCGTGGAAGCGGATCAGGGCCAGTCTGGGGGAGATCCCAATCCTTGCCTCGGAACAGCGTCTTCTGGACAACGTCGACGGCGAGGAAGAGAAGGAGAAGGACCAGGTCAACGGCCACCACAAGCCCGCTGCGCCGACTGGATCACGGAGGGTGCTTGCGGACGGAACGTACGCGACTGAAACGGCCCTGACCAGCCAGTCGTCCGCTGCTGCAAAGCTCGAGGCAGTCAAGGCAGCACAGAAGCCTCCACTGAGGCAGCTCATTCTTGACGGCGATTATTACCTTGCGACGGTCCTTTCGGCAACTCTCACGAAGCTTGTCATGAGGCATTCCGAGATCTCATCAGAACACGCCCGGACCAATGCTCTGCGCGCAGAGGCGATGCTGATTCTCATCTCCATTATCCGGGTTGGCCAGTCCCAATTCGTCAAGGCACCCATCGACGAGGACTCCGTTGACCGAATCATGTCATGCGTACGGTCTCTGGCGGAGTTCCGTGAGCACAAGGAGTTGGAGACGGTGTATCTGGACGACACGAGGAAAGCCTTCCGTGCCATGGTACAGGTCGAGGAGAAGAAGCGGGCCGCCAAGGAGGCAGTCGAGAAGGCAAAGACAGCAGTACAGGTCGACGATGTCGTAGCCATCCGCCAACTAAGCAAGAAGAACATGGGAGACGGATCGGACGACGTCGAGATCGACCTTGAGCGCGCCACCGGTGGCGACAGCACCGCGACGGAGGACCTCAGCTCCAAGCTGAGCAGAGTTGTACAGCTCACTGGCTTCTCGGATCCTGTGTACGCCGAAGCCTACGTGAAAGTCCATCAGTTCGACATTGTTCTGGACGTGCTTCTTGTCAACCAGACCACAGAGACTCTGCAGAACCTGTCTGTCGAGTTCGCGACCCTCGGAGATCTCAAGGTTGTAGAACGGCCGACGACACAAAACCTGGGCCCCCATGACTTCCACAACGTGCAATGCACGATCAAGGTGTCGTCGACTGACACAGGCGTCATTTTCGGAAACGTCGTGTACGATGGCGCCCACAGCACAGATACGAATGTAGTAATCCTCAACGATCTGCATGTAGACATAATGGATTACATCCAGCCGGCGAGCTGCACCGAGACACAGTTCCGCACGATGTGGACGGAGTTCGAGTGGGAGAACAAGGTCAACATCAACAGCAAGGCCAAGACTCTGCGCGAGTTCTTAGACCAGTTGATGGCGGCGACCAACATGAACTGTCTCACTCCAGAGGCGAGTCTGAAGGGCGACTGCCAGTTCCTGAGCGCCAATCTCTATGCAAGGAGCGTGTTCGGTAAGTTCAAATCATTTCCATCTGCACACAAGCATGCCTGTTGCTGACTTTGAATCAAAGGCGAGGATGCTCTGGCGAATCTGAGCATCGAGAAAGAAGGCGAGGACGGTCCTATCACAGGTTTCGTCCGGATACGGAGTCGCAGTCAGGGTCTGGCGCTCAGCTTGGGCAGTCTAAAGGGCTTAAACAAAATTGGAACGTCCGCCTGAACACCAACATGTTGATAAGTATAGATAGGGATGACGGAACTGATTTAATTTGAAAAGCCCGCGATGAGAGGGGGGAAAGTAGCCAAAAGCATAGAGATATGCATGCTGCTGTCCCCAAGGTAGCCCACAACCACAAAAAGCTACCATGATTCAATTTGTATGCTTGTGTTAAACGCCACCTAAAATTTATTCTGACATTATACACATGCCGCACTTGCTTCGGAGTTCATCGGTACGCTACTGATACATGATGTTCTGGCCATTCAAGATTCACGAAGGAAGACAAGCAGGGCCTCTTAGTCCTGTACTACAAGAGCGATGTACTGGGGAAAGGTATATCAATTCCTTGCTGTGGTTCCATTCTAGTAGCCGGACTAGGTGGCTTGAGGGTAGCTGAGGTCGTATTGGAAAGAGGTCGGAGTATCAACACCACCCCTTGCTTGCCATCAACAGGCAATCATTTTGCCGCTTTTTTGTTGGACTGGAAGCTTTTTTGGTCATGTAGGATAAGCCTCATTTCAGACATTCCGAGCAAACTTTGTTATGCACCTTGAATTTCAGAAATCATTCCCACCTTGCCTCAACGCAAACAGGGAGTGTTCTGGGAGACCTGAAAATCAAGTCTTTCTTCAACCCGTTGGGCCCTCCCAACATATTCCTCTCCTTTCCTGTTGTGGGCAAGGTGTCGAATGACATCCTCCCCTACCCGTCAGAGAATACAGAACGCTCAATGTCTCAGTTTCATCACACGGAGCTAACACTAGGGGTAATATTCAATTATATTAGGTTTGTGTGTCACAGGGAGTTATCCCACTATAGATTATAGCAGCCACCACTCGCTTGGTCGAGGAGCGTGTCAGATCAAGGTTCAGAACCAGGCCGAGTGTCGTTGTGAACCCGGGACGAAGTATGAACACCATGGAAACGTGGAAAATGGCAAGCAGCAAAGGGGTATCTCTCGGTACAATATGGGGATCAAAGCCCTGATAAAGATGTGCAAAGCCAAATGCAAAAGCCCTCATGTGTTTGTTAAGGGGTGATCTGATGATCATGTATGTTTAGGGCGCCTAAGAGACAGGCCGATCGAGTCCTTGGGGCAAAAGCCCGGAGTTGGTGTGATGCTGAAGAGCAGCGAATTGGAAAACGAAGCGAGGCTCCTATGTCAGCCCGGTGGATTGAGGCAAGGGCTGAGCTTCCCTGCAGAATGACCTCTCAACCGTAACGTAGTGCCGAACTCGAGTGTGGAATCTGGAGGGACGAGGGATGGCCTGTGAAGTATTGAGTGGTTGACACGGCCGCAATACCCAGCTCTAGGATAGACCCACGATGGGACTGTTGAGAGTTCGCTGCAATGAGTCAGATGAGCCGCGAGCATCTGACGCATACAAGCGCAGAGACTGGATACGATTGATGTTCCCGGACGAAGGCGGGTTTCGTACGAGTCTTGTGGCTCCGTCAGGGACGAGGTGAGCCGGACCGTATCGGGAGACCTGAGCAAGTTGTCTGTGAGGATTCGTTGGCGGATGAGTGGACGAATTTCGCAGGCTCTCTCGAGCGGTGCGATATGCGTGACCGCCGGCCCGGGAAGCTGAATATCGAATGTTCCGCCGCGTGTCGGACTGAGTCTGAGATTGGTAGCCGCCGAGATGGACCTGGCAGCTATGGATGTGAGGGGCATCAACCCAAACGAGCTGATCTTGGCGAGCCTGTCTGGGCATCGGCACATCGTCAGACTCCGACTCCTGTTTCTAGCGTGGAGGCTCGTAGACGAAAGCGTTGATAACCTGGTCCGTCCAGCCCTGAGCCGTGAGCGAGGAATTGTCTTTCAGGATCTTGCCCATGTGGACGAGGCGAACACGGTAGCCAGAGGGGAGCTGAACACGGGGAAACGAATGGTATCAGTAACGCCAAGGCCTACTAGACGAGCGAGAAGCGGCAGTGGGTCCACTTACATTGCTCTCCTCCATGATGCGGTGAATTATGCTGCGGACGGACTCGTCCTTCCCGACGTCCAGCTTCAAATCTCTGGCAGTATTGCTCAAACGAACCACGGCGAGGACCTGGTCGGAAATGTTGACGACAGCCTTGCCCTTGTGCACGCGACGTCGCTCCGCCTCGTCCTCCCCATCATCGTCGTCATCGTCAGCACCCGCGGTGGTGTCCTCTGCAGTCTTAGCCTCTCCAAATCGGTCGTCATCGTTTTCGTCATCACCAGACACAATGTTGTGTGGATCAGAGACGATATGGGCTGGCAATTGGTAGTAATTCCCTAGAAGGTCATAGGCGCCGTCGGCCAGGTTGCCCGTCGGCAGAGTAATGTCGGCCGCATCGAGGATTGACTGCGCAGTGGCAAGGGCCAGGGGAGCGCTGTGGTCGTCACTGGAGTCATTGGGGTCGTCACGTCCGGCAATATCGGCGGTCCACAAGACATCGAGGGCAGCATGAAGGGTCTGCCAGATCTCTGGACGGCCGCTGACCCTTGTATCGAAGAAGTCGGTGCGTTCGCGATCCAAGGCACTTCTGGACCAAATGCGGTTCTTGGACGACCACTCGTTCCGACGTAGCGGCTTGTTGATGTGCTGGTCGAGGGGTCTACGCCGGCGTCGACTGCGTTGCTGGTGGGGGCCGGCGCGGTCGTGGTCTGGCCCGGTGGAGCGGGCAGAAGGAGGTTGGGCCTGTGACTGCGACTGCGGCTGCGACTGCGACTGCGACTGGGAGAGGTCTGCAGATTGGGGCCGGGCTGGAGCAGCTCCACCGGGGTAGGGGGAGTTGGGGCCCCGGGGCAGCGAGAAGCAGCAACCCTGAGCTCAGCAGGTCAGTTGGCGATGCTCAAGATGTCCGGGGCGGGGCGGGGCAGGGCAGAGCAGGGCAGGGCTTGGCATTGCGCACCATCTGGAGAGGCGGCAGCCTCAGAAGGCTGGCCTTTGGTCTCTTGCAGTCGGCTCCAGGCTGAGATGTGTCTCGAGGGCGGCGGGTAGATGTCGTGGGAGCACGCCGTGGGGCCGAGGTCGCGAATGAACGGCGACGCGGCGGCGATATGGCTGACAATTGGTGATTGGCGACTGCTGTCAACTGACGACGGGACAGCCAGGCCCTCCCGACTTCCTAGTTCCTCACACGCTCACGTCTGTCTCGGGCTGCTGTCATGGCGTGGTTTGCTGGAAGCAGGCAGGCCTCAGTGGCAGGCACCTGAGGATTGGGGGGTTGGGGTGGGGGTGGGAAAGTCACGACCAAGGTTGTCGGGTGGGAAGGAAGAAGCTTGTTAGACTAGATCAAATGGCAGCAGCAGGTGGTGACTCGAGTAACCAGGAGATCGAGTCAGGTCAGATCAGATCAGATCAGATCACCAACAGGGAACGGGGGTCTGTGTGTCAGCACAGGATGTGGGGCCGCCCTACTCTGTGCAGACCCGCCCGACCCGTCCTCCGCGGTCCTCGTTTCTGACAGCGGAAGAACCGGCAGGTACGGCAGGAAACACCCAAGGGAGACCGCCGAATTTGAGCACGGTCGCACTTTGGTATCCTCACGGTCGAGACAACGACAACGACAACAGCAGCAGCAGCAGCAGCAGAATATTAACCATACACGCTTGCTTGCTTAGATTCATGGCCTCCTACCCAGGTTTTTATTAAGTAGCAGGTAGTCTAGGCAGTTTGCTCCAGTTGTTGCAGGTCATTCAGGAGGGCGTGTCTGCTGCGGGTTGGGTTGCCAAGCCTTCGAACAGCACACGGTATGGGCAGACAAGAGACAGGTCCTCTGCTTGCCTCGCCTTGCCTAGCCTTGCCACACGCCCAGTTCACAACTGCCGCATCACCATAGATACCCTCTGCACTTCTTACTGCCGCAGAGGCACCGCGTCATCTCCTCCTGCAACTTCTCGTCCCTGGCATTGCTCTCAATCTCCCCCTGCCCGTCCACATAGTCAAAGGTCAGCTCCTCGCCCTTGACAATGTCGCGGATCGCGAACAGAGCAAGGTCGTGGATATGTTTGTCCGCGTGGTCGCCCACCCGGGCGAAGATGCGCAGGTTAGGGTCACAGCTGTGGTTGATGAAGCGCGTAGGCCCGGACATGAACTCGCCGTCCACCTCCAACGGCGCTCCCACGAGTCGCGGGTCCATCGAGTCGGGATCCGTAAACTTGTCCAGCCCAAATAGATAGACGTCCTTGCGCTGCGCCTTTGACGAGTTGTGCCGCCTCCTCTCCGCCTCCCCTGGCTTGATGACCTCGCCCAGGTAGCAGTCCACAAATTGCCCACGCTTTAGTTCCCGCATGGTCCTGACCCCCCAGCCGCGGTTGTCCGCCGTCCTGAAGATCTGCAGGGGCACCTTCCGGCCCCTCTCGACAACGCGGTTGGGGCAGTAGTCCCGAGGGCAGCAGCACGCTTCGTGGCACTCGTAGATAGGTGCCCGAGAGTTGAGGTAGGAGCTCCGCAGGAGCCCCTTTTTGGCCCCCTGCGAGTGATAGGCAAAGCGCTTCTTCCTCGGCGCGCCTCCAACGGGGCCATTGGTGGCGTGGCGATGCTCATTCGCGGCAGCGGACCCGGGGGTGTCTCTGGATCCATCACGGCTGGCCCTCGACCTCGCCCAGCTTGGCTTCCTCATGTGCTCCTCGGCCCACTTCAAGCTCTCCTGATCCTCCTCGTCGAGCCCGCCCTCCTGGTCGTCCGAGTCCGAGTCCTCCACCTCGTCAAGGCACGCGCAAGCGGAATACATGCATGACTCCTGGTCGGGGCAGTCACACCCTGTGCGGAAGTCCTTCTCCGCACGCGTGACACCAGGACCCAGGATGGAGCCGTCGATGAAACGAAAGTTTGGAGGCAGCACGGCGCCGTCATCTGTCTCGTTTACTATTGTGACGGGGTATTTCTCGCGGGCGGCAAAGAGGCGCAGCTGGCAGAAGTGGCAGGCCTTGCGTTCGGAGTCGGGGACGGGGACGGGGACCTGGGCCAAAAGTCAGGGCCACAAATTCAGTCGACACCAGACCAGACCAGACCAGAACCAGGCCCGTTCAGCTGCAGCTCCAGCTTCAGCTTCACACATACCTCGGACTCAACATCAACATCAACATCATGGTGGTAGAAATGGCGCTCTGTGGCTGCTTCCATGCTGTGTTGTGTTTGCAGGGGGGTCTGTATGCTTCTGGGTTGGCCAGCAGGGCTGCGCTGCAAGTCAAATCATACAAGTGATGATGTCGGATAGGGAGGAGGAAAAAAAAGATTATTGCAGGCATTGCCAGAAGTCACACTTCGAGCCGTCGCGTGCTGCAGGTACGGTGGTGGGGGAGACGCGCCTGAAGCCCACAGCCACCCCACACTCAGTTAAACTTTAGAAGGTACAGCACAGTACCTGGGCTGATCGATACTTGGGTCATGCAAACGAGGGGTACCAGGTATCACCGTAAGCTTGTGCCGCAAGAGTGTGCAGTGCACGTTTTCAGCTTGTGCCACTAAAAGCCTCAATACTTCCTGACCGTACAGTATGTTCTTGGAGCATGTACTCATCAGGTGTGTCAGATTTGTCACCCACAACTTTAGCTCACATGCATGCAGCTTGACCAAGACTGTCTGTGCGCATATCCCACATCTATGCATGACCCAGGTGCCAAGTTCGTAAACCAACTCAGATAGGTTTGCGGTGGTTATGTGCGGAGGTCTGAACCCTCAAGAGACATGACCGCGCTTCCTCGTTCAATTCCTCTCAGCATCCCAGGTCATTGCCGAATCTCCACAGCGTCCTCGTACCCATCTCTCATGCAGCCGATACTTCGCGCACAGTCTTGACAAAAGCCTCCGGGTCATGGGCAAAGCGGCCAAGGAACAGGCCATCCGCCGAGTCTTTGAGCTTCTCGAACAGACCTGGGCCGGCAGAGCCGCCGTAGATGATCCGGACGGCGCCCTCCCGCTCTTTGACGCATGGCAGCTCCCGCAAGGCACTCACGACACCGACCACGTGCTCGGCTGCGGCCGGCTCTGCGGCGCCGATGGCCCACACCGGCTCGTAAGCCAAGATGACCTCGGCCGCGGCCGGCACAGCAGCCATGACGCTTTCCACCTGCGTTGCACACTGCCCCACCGCCATGCTCACCACGCCCTTTGTGCGCTCGCCGAGGCACACCAGCGGTGTGAGCCCGTTCCTGGCAGCCGCCGCCGCCTTCTTTGCCGTGTCTGCATCCGTCTCGTGGAACAGTCGCCTTCGCTCCGCGTGACCAACTTCAACGATGCGGCAGCCCACTTCCGCAAGGACAGACGGGGACACCTCGCCCGTGTACGATCCAGCGTCTTCCCAGAATGCATCCTGTGCACCCACCAGGACTGGCAAACCCCTCAGCTGCACCTGAGAGACGACCGATGTCAGGGTGATGGCATCCGGGATGATGAAGATGTCGACCGCGTCGAGACCAGGAGCCGCTGCAAGCCTCATCATAACATCATCAACGTACTGCGTCGTCCGTTGTGCTGAAAAGTACATCCTGTGGTTACCATCAGTGGAGTTCTCAATGCGAACATAAACGAAATGCTTCATACTTGGTTGATACGCCTACCAGACGGCGACGTTTCTGTGCCGGAGTAGCCATGGCTGAGATGCGCGGGGCTGACTGCTGAAGAGAGCCTCAAGGCACTGTTATGAGAACCGAGAGCTACTCCGTTCTTCGTGTGATCTGCCCAGTGCCCGGTGGCAGAAACTCAAATGCAGATGGATCTGGGTAACAAGACGGAGCAGGCACGGCCAGGACCAATCCCAGGAAAGAGGAGAGAATGGTGTCCGGGGCGGGACACCTTCTCCCCTCAGACCCCATCGGGGGCGTGACACAGAGGCTTTTATGGCGGGTGCGAAAAAAGCAACGTGAGAACAGACCATCTCGTCTTGCCTACTGTGGAGGCTCGCTGCCACTGACGACAGAGCTGGCGATGACACACTCAATGGTCTCTGACTGAGACGATGTTGTCCGCATTTCGCCACGAGTGCGGATTTATCAATCTCCTAGTATATCACATGCAAGGCAACCAAGTCTCATTATATGTTTTATTCGTCGGTGTATATGAAAGGCAGGTCTCGTCAACAAAGCGCATGCTGAGAATCACTCGGCGCCCCTCTCAAGGTCGCGAATAGCCTCGACCTTGCTGGCGCTGGCACTCTTCTCGTCAAACACGTACCCAAGCCACTCCTTGGCGAGCCTGCGTGCCAGCTCCAACCCGATCACTCGCTCACCCATGCAGAGCACCTGGGCATTATTGCTCAGCACCGCCCGCTCGACAGAGAAGGAGTCATGCGCCGTGACCGCCCTGACACCCTTCACCTTGTTGGCGGTGATGGCAACCCCGAGCCCTGTCCCGCAAATCAAGAGAGCGCGGTCCACCTTCCCGTCGGCGACTAGACGGGCTGCTGCCGCCGCGCGGTGAGGGTAGGCAGTCTTGTCATCTGTGGCGAACGACCCGACGTCTTCAATGTGTTCGACTCGCGGGTCCTTGGAAAGGTCGGCTTTTATGGTGTCCTTGTATGTCACGCCAGCTTCCTACCATCCCAACCATCAGCAACGGCCCTGAGCAGACAATCGGAAGGAATTGGGGGCTGACTTACGTCACAGCCTACCGCTACCCTCCACCTTGGTGTTGCTCCGTTTGCGGTCATACTGAGGTATACTTCCGGGGGGTGAAGCTGGCCGATCGGTGTCCTGGAGCGTTGCAAAGTCACTATTGGGTTCGGACTTGATGTACGTGTGCGTCTCAGACAACCAAAGTTGGACGGGTCAGATAAACAATTTCTAGGACCGCGTTGGTGGTAGTCGGGCACAAAATGAGGGGTGCGAGGTTGGCCCGCGGGAGTTTAGCCGTGTCATCACCGTCCTGTCAAACTATTCCCAAAAGTCGACGACCGGGCGGTCCTACATAATTGGAGGTGGGCGACTGCCATGTCCATTGTACAAGTACATGAGCTCCTGGAAGGCCGAAGGGCTTCACCACCCAAGCCTCTGGGGCTCCCCATTGAGGGGTTGCTTGCCAACCTCGGAGGGAATTCAGCATCAGATCTCCCAAGCCCCCGAGGAGCGAGACGATGCTAGCGCGGGTTGCCTGTTGCGGTAAACCGGCCAGCTCCAACCTCTCGACTCGCAGCGACCAGGGGCTCGGGATCCCCACCAAGCCAGCTGCGAACGCCTGCCGTCAACCCCGCTGTCTCCATTGTGCTTTTACACTTACCCGTCGGCAAAAAAAAAAAAACTAAATCGGCGGGATGGGTCTGGGGGTGGGTCTGGGGTTGGACCTGGGGCAACGTTGGTCGCGTGGAGATCGTGGAGAGTCAGGAGAAGTCTGGACCCAGAGCCACATCCGTGTTCCACCCTCGAGCCCCCAGCAGACAGAGAGCAGCCAGGGATCATGCCCTGCGTGTCATAGCACACGTCTCGTCAGAATTCAACCACTCAAAGGAGATCGGTCCGGCCAGATCCTACGTCAACTCAATTTTAAAGAGGCTTGTGCAGGTGAGAAGTGAGGTAGGTGGACGTTGGCGCTTCAACCTCCTTTGGGGGGCTGGATGAAACACTAAGACGGGCGATTAATGGTGTTAGCCAACACTGAGGGGTTCCGACTTGGACGAATATGGGCTAAAGACAGCGGAGGTCCACGACGCGGACTTTGCGGCATTCCAAACTCAGAAGTACCGATACATTCCTCTTCCTCGCCTCTTGTCTTCGTGCTGGGTTTGCTTAGACACGCCCAGGCGACCAGGATACTCCAGGCGCATATGAGCAGTACGCAGACAGTGTAGCTCGGGTAAAGGGTGGTGTCCCCTTCGCTTCACTCGGCAATGTCGCGATCATACTCCACATATAGAGAGCCGTAACCTCAACAAAGCCATCCTGAATAGGCTCGTCCAAACGACAAATTGGTGTCAGGCAAGATGTCTAAAGCTCACCTCTTTCACTCCCCAGATGGTCTTGTGGTCAAGTGCCTGAAGGGCCTCATCTCGTACAATCCATCCCTCTCGCTCGACGAAGCCAACCGTGTGGTCTTTGACACAAGACACGATCAGAACAAGGTCAGCATCGTTTCGGGAGGAGGTTCAGGTCACGAGCCGGGTGAGTGGCCCTAAGTGTAGTGATGCGTTTTGAGGGCTTGCCGTTGACAACCCCATCAGCGTGGAGTGGCTACGTGGGCGAGAATCTGCTCGCGGCCTCCGTGGGAGGGGACATCTTCGCCAGCCCCTCGACGAGGCAGATCTTGGCTGCCATCGATGCGGTACCAAGCAGCGAGGGCACCATCCTCGTGGTCACTAACTACACCGGCGATTGCCTGCATTTTGGCCTCGCAAATGAGAAGGCCGTTGCGAGGGGTCACCGCTGCCGGATGATTGTCTGTGGCGACGACGTCTCTGTTGGAAAGACCAATGGGTCCCTGGTGGGACGTAGGGGGCTTGCCGGGCAGATCGGGGTCCTCAAGGTCATGGGTGGCGCCGCCGGGCAGGGCGCGCCGCTGGATGACGTCTACGACCTCGGCATGGCATTTTCCCAGCAGATCGTCTCAATTGCTGCCACGCTGGACCACTGCCACGTGCCTGGGCGGACCGAGCATGCCGTGCTCGGAGATGACGAGGTTGAGATCGGCACGGGGCCGCACAACGAACCGGGATACAAGAGGCTCTCCCCGGCGCCTTCGGCCGAGGAGCTGGTCAAGATGATACTGACTCACTGCTTGGACGAGAAGGACCCTGACCGTGGTTATGTGAAGTTCAAGTCTGGTGATGAGACCATATTACTGATCAGCAACTTTGGCGGCATATCGCCATTGGAGATCGGCGCATTGACGGACGAGATTCTCGAGCAGCTGGCCGCCGATTGGGATATAGAGCCAGTGCGTGTCTATGTCGGACCTCTTGAAACGTACGCCCGCCTCCCGCATGCAAAGCGAAGCTCCTCTGAATCCTGAGAGAAACTAGGAGAACTAGAAAAGGCTCATCTGACTGACTAGTTCGACAGGTCTCTCAACGCACAGGCCTTTTCGGTGTCCTTGATCAATGTGACAGCTGCGGCAGAGAACTGTGCCTATTCAGTTGAGGAGATCAAGGCTTTCGCAGACGTCAAGACAACAACCTCTTGGGAGTCTATGGCTGGGTCGCAGGACTCAAGGCGGACTCGCCGACAGCAGCTCGTCAGCCCCCCGGAAGAGCCCAAGAGGGCAGCTGTTGATCCCAGCAGGGACCTCAGGCTGGACCCCGCTGCCTTGGATAAGATGTTGCGAGGCGCATGCGACGCACTCATACAAGCGGAGCCCGATCTGACAAAATGTGAGTCTTAGCTGGCCCCACTGACCTGCTATCTGGTGTGCTGGGCAGTCCACGAACGGAACGCTGATGTGTCTTGGGGCTTCAGGGGACACGTTGATGGGTGACGGAGACTGCGGTGAAACACTCAAGACCGGCGCAACCAGCTTGCTCGCAGCGCTGGATGAGAAGAGCATCGCAGCTACCGGGTCGGTGGTGACGGTGCTCCGGGAGCTGGAGGAAATTGTCGAGGGCAAAATGGGCGGCACGCTCGGGGGGATCCTGGGCATCTTCTTCGTCTCACTGCGCAACGCCGTCGAGCAGAGCGTCCAAGACGGCCTGGCACAAGGCGCGCCCCAGGTCTGGGGCCGCTCTCTCGCCACTGCGCTCGACCACCTAACAAAGTACACGCCAGCCAAGGTGGGCGACCGCACGGTGATGGACACCCTCCTTCCTTTCGCCGCGGCGATACAGAAGGCTGGCAGCTTCGACGAGGGCGTCAAGGCGGCAGTCAGGGGCGCGGAGGCCACCAAGTACATGACCCCAAGGCTCGGAAGGGCCACCTACGTTGCGGCCGGGCGTGAGCGAGAGGGTGATGGCGTGCTGCCCCCTGACCCAGGGGCATGGGGCGCCATGGTCGCTATACAGGGTCTAAGGAATGGGCTGTCGTCGAGGAAGGACAGTGCGGTTGCTGTGTGAGGCTGGCGTGGTTTTCGGTTGTACGATGTGCGTCATGAGGTACACAGCTTTGTCTAGTCTTTAATGCTATCTGCAATTGCTTGCTCAGTAATGCTACGAGTTAACCCACACGAGTGGGGTTTTGGGGGGGGGCATCCTCCCTTACTCCCCTGCCGTTGATGCTACCGGGCTAGACTATGCTTTGGTGAAGATGTCATGTCCCCGCAGGGCGCACGACCCTGTGGTGCTGCTCACACGGATGGTGGGCCTCATGCCTTGCCAGCGCTGCCCAGCTGCTGCATGTATGTCTCGATGGCCTCCTGCATGCGCTTCGTGCCGGCCTCGATGACGCTGGTCAGGGGTTTCCCTCGCATCTCGTCCTGCACGGCAGCATAGTGCTTGTTCATGCCCTTGTTGATGTTGACCTTTGTGACTCCTCCAGCGATGCACTTGCTGAAGATTTCCTGGGTGAAGGGGTCGGCACCGTGGAGGACAAGCTGCACGCGGTCGCCGACCTTGTCGTAGATGCTCTGCAGGCGGTCATACTCGAGCTGGATGCCTCTGGGGCCGTAGTTGCCATGCACGTTCCCGAAGGCTGGTGCCAGCATCTCGATGCCCGTGGCCACAAACTCCTCGGCCTGCTCCGGGGTGGTCAGCACCCCGCCGAGGTCTGCCGTCTCAGCGACACCATCCTCGCCGCCCTCGATCCTCCCGGGCTCTGCCTCGGCTGCGATGCCCCTCTCGTGGCAGTAGCCAACCAGTTCCTTGGTGAGGCGGAGGTTCTCCTCCTTGTCATAGTGGCTCATGTCGCACATGATGGAGTCAAAGCCGTCCTCGATGTCGGCTGCGCGCCTCACACTGCGGTGCGGGGGACCATCAGCCGGGGGGCTTTCCACGAGGCCTAGGACGAGCAGCTGGCGGGAGGGCATGGTATGAGGCATGAGGTATGAGCGAGAGAGAGGCTTACAGCTCGGGCGTCTGGCAGTGGTCCAGATGCAGCGACACGGGCACCTTGGCACTGTGGCAGGCGTCTGCTGCGGCTTTCACCAGCGAGGTGCCGGCATACTCGATTGCCCAGGGGAAAAGGAGCACCATTGCGGGTGAGTTTGCTGCCTCGGCGGCACGGACGGTGGCGATGATGGACTCGATGTTATAACAGCACATTCCGGGCACGGCATAGTTGCCCTGCCTGGCGGCCCTCAGTATGGCCATGGACCTGTTTTCGGACAGTGGGGGACGAGCCATTCTGGCGGTGGTGTGTGGGCCAATGGAAAGTGTCAAGCACGACGTAGAGGATCTTGGGCGTGGTCAGGGTGAAGGTTGGAGGTTGAGGGTGAGACGATGCAGAGAGAGACACACACACAACCACCTGAGTGTGTGAGTGTGTGTTGCCATGTCGCCCCGTGTCTGTCGGCTTGCCTGATTTGGTCGTCTCTGGCGGCAGACGGCCGGCCCTGGCCTGAAGCCTACTGTAGGTCGAATGTCCCGCGTTACGCCCAGCGGGAGGGGGTTGTGGGGCACCGGACACATCAAGGACGAGGGGAAACTTGGCTTTAGCCCGCTCGCCGGCTCCTGGGCGGCTCGTGCCTGCGTGGCAAGCCGGCACTCGCATCTCCAGCCCACACGTGAGGTCGCCAATCCATCACCACAGCGGGGGTCGCCCTGCCGACCAGTCGACCGAGTTCGGGGGAGGAGAGAGAGAAGCCCGTCTCTTGCTGGCTCCCTCGGATCCAGACCTCCTCGGTCGAAACGGCTCCGAGGGCCTGGCCTGCCTCATCATCATCATCATCATCATCATCGAGCAGATCAGCCTGGCTACCTTGACTGACTTAGTCTAACTAACCATCCATCTGACTAACCGTCGGTTCTGTCGTGTCGTGGCTCCGGGTCTGGGTTCAACTAGGTACTTCCTCCGCGAATGACTGCCGACTTCACCGGCGCACACTCAGCCCAACGAATCTGAGGCCCCTCCGTCGCAGTTTTCACGGCACATCATCATGGCATCCTCCAAGCCCGCAGTGTCCTTTATTGGCCTCGGGGCCATGGGCTTCGGCCTGGCCACAAACCTCGTCAACAAGGGCTTCCCCGTCACCGGCTTTGACGTCTGGGGCCCGACCCTCGAGCGCTTCCGTCAGGCCGGCGGCAGCTCGGCAGCAACCCCCGCCGAGGCTGTCGCCGGCAAGGCCCTCTGTGTTGTCATGGTCGCCACCGCCCAGCAGGCCCAGAGTGTGCTCCTGGAAGGAGACGCCCCTGCCGTGCCCGCCCTGCCCCGCGGCGCCACCCTCTTCATATGCTCCACCGTCCCTGCTGCATACGTCCAGGGCCTCGCGAAGCAGCTGGCCGGCATGGGCCGAGGCGACATCTCTCTTATCGATTGCCCCGTCTCCGGAGGCACCATACGGGCGGCAGATGGCACGCTGTCCATCATGGCCGGCGCGGCCGACACGGCCATCAGCAAGGGGAGGGAGCTCCTGCAGGCCATGTCGGACCCCAAGAAGCTGTACGTCGTCGCAGGCCCAGACGTCGGCGCCGGAAGCAACCTGAAGATGTGCCACCAGGTCCTGGCCGCCGTCCAGATCCTGTCGGCGAGCGAGGCCCTGGGCTTTGCGAGCCATCTCGGGCTGGACCTGAAGAAGGCATCCGATGGGATTGTCAAGTCGGATGGGGCGAGTTGGATGTTTGAGAACAGGCTCCCACGGCTGCTGGCCCCGGACTTTAAGCCCATCGCAAGCGCAGTCACCATCATCTTGAAGGACGCCGGCATTATCACGTCTGAGGCCAGGCGGTATGCATTTCCCACGCCTATGACGAGCGTCGCCGAGCAGGTCTACTTCACGGGCTTGGGCAGGGGGTGGGGCGCCGACGACGACGCCAGCATGTTGAGGCTGTACAGCGAAGGGGTGGCCAAGGTCGGGCCGGTCAAGGGCCAGTCTCGCAGCGAGGACGACAAGTTGAGGCTGGTGGTGGACCTTCTCAGGGGGATCCATCTGTGCTCGACGGCAGAGACTATCGCGTTTGCCAGCCACGTCGGCCTAGATCTAGACCAGGTCTTCGATCTGTGCACCAACGCGGCGGGAGGCAGCGCCATGCTGAATCTCTACGGGCCCGAGATGATCAAGGCCTTCCGAGGCGGCCGGGACCAGGTGGCCCGGGGTTGGGCTGCAGAACAAGGAGACGGCAGGCGGCTTGGAGCCATCCTCGAGGGACTGCAGGCGGCGGTAAACGAGGCCCAATTGCTGAAGATGCCGCTCTTCCTGGGCAACCAAGCGCTCAGCCTGGTACGTCTTGCTCTGCAGGGCGCATCCGACGGCCAGGACGGGCTGGCAGCGGCAGCGGTGGCGAGGGCGTGGGTCAAGTAATGGCCAGGTAATAAGTCAAGACGGTGGGTGTCGTTGGTTACAGGACACCGGCTTAGTGAGTCCCGAGGTTTAATCAACCTTGTGCCCGGGTCCCAGGTGTACAGTGGAGCGTGTCTTCTCTGCACTTGTCGCAGCGCTTCCAAACAGTACCCGCGGTGGTTTACAATTAGATAGGAACTCATCATCATTCACATAGGACAACTCCCTGTGCGATAACCTCTGGGATGGAGGGTAGGAGTAAGCAATAGTTCTTCTTTTCTCGCGAGATGCTAACTACGACCCGGGGAAAAAAAAGAGAAATGCAATGCAGCCTGGGAAAAAATAACAAAAAAAGGAAAGGGGAGCTACCATGTAAAGCCTGCACGACGGTATCATCAAAGCTCATCAATCGTCGCCCCACGACCCTTGCCAAAACAAAAATTACATGCCGTCAGGATGTTGTGTAGTCAGAGACATTTTCACCCATCCCCATCCAGTCGGAACACCCTTGTCGAGCCGTCACCCGAAGCACAGTCCCTGGCATCAAGCCGCCTTCTCCCACACATCGCTTTTGAGGCAGAGCTCAATGGTGCCGTAGTCTCTTTCAAAAAAAAGTACAAGGTCATGGTTGGTGCTTTAGAGCTCCTCCTTAACCTTGTCTTTGGCCTCGCCGGCCTGTTGCTTCGCAACATCGGCACCGATGTTGAGTTGGCCTGCGAACCACTGCCAGGCCCCCTGGAGTGTCTCGCTGAGCTTGGCAAAGGCTGTGCCAGATGGACTGCTTGTGCCGTAGCGGAAGTAGGTCGAGTGCTTGCGGGCGAGAGCTCGCAACTCGTTAATGTTCGATCCCTGAGGAGCAGGCTGTGCAATACAGTTAGTAATCGGCCAACATAGCCTCGGTCAAACGCGATTCACGCGGAGGGGTAACTGACAATTCCATAGCTGTCGAGGTAGTTCTTCAAATCGCTCTCACTCCAGGTATCGAATGCGCTCTTCCTGACCGAGTCCGTAGCCTGGGTGAGGTAGCTCGTGACGGATGCGTACGTGGCACCGCCAGCAGACGAGGCAGAGGTGTAGGCAGACTGTGCGGCACTGACAAGTTCATCGCGAGTAGCGCCAGACTTGTCAGCTGTCTTCTTGGCAGCAGCGTCTCCGTTAGCCTTCAGGTAATCCTTTAGGTTCTCAACCGAGAAGTCGTCAAAAGTCCAGGCATCCCAGCCAGTGGATGCCTTGTGGTAGTTCTTGCGGACCAAGGCGCGAAGCTCATCGGTCTTGGAGGCATGTGGAACGGGGACGCCACGGGCGTCAAGGTAGCCTTTGAGACGAGTGTCTGACCAGGAGTCAATTGCGCTGTTGAAAGCGTCTTGGGCGGCCAGTGATGCGTCGTTGGTGGCCTTTGCGTACTGGTTTCCAGCCTGCGAGGTCGCGGCTCCGAACGCCGAAGCAGCAGTACCGGACACGTTGTCGCCAAGGATGTCGGCACGGTTCTTGCGGACCAGAGCGCGGAGCTCGTTCAGTTTCGTTCCTTGAGGGACTGTGATTCGGGTCAGAAGTGCTTGCATGGAAACGACAACCAACGGTATACGCACCGGGAATTCCATTCTTGTCCGCGAACTCCTTCAGCTGAGACTCGCTCCAGGAATCGATGAGCTTGTCAGTGAGCGTTGCATACGCAGCCTGGGCGCTGGATGTGGCACTCGCAAGCTGCTCTTGCGACTTGAGGTAGGCCAAACGCGAGTTGCGGCGGACCGAGGCGATGAGTTTGTCACGCTGCACGGGGCTATCAGCGGTGTACCCAAGACGTCAATCGGGTAGGTGTGTCACTCACAGTGCTGGGCTGGGGGGCTGGAAACCCATGAGTGTCAAGCCACTCTTTCAGATCGGATTCTGCAAAAGTCAGGTTCCCTGCACAAGCTGTCGCTCCTTATGCAGTAAAGGAGCAGGGAAGGGGGTCGGCACTCACCAGTCCAAGTCTCGTAGAGCCAGTCGCCAGGATACGACGCAGCCTCGCCGACCTTCTGAGCAACCGTGTCATAGTTGCTGCGGGCCTTCGACAGGATGGTGTCCCTCTGGCGGGGTTGCGGTACTGTATGTATCCTGTCAGATGACGGTACAGCCCTGCGAGGGGGCAGGAAAACCGCAGCGGACTCACCAGGAATGGCATGATGATCACAAAAGGCCTTGAGCTGGCTCTCTGTCCAGGTGTCCAGGATCCAATCCTTGACGCTGAAGTAGGCGTTCTGAGCCTTATCTTCGGTCTCGTACCAAGAAGCTGCAACCTGTGCGACCAGTGTGTCCTTGCTTGACTTGGCAGAGTCCTGGACATCGACACCCTTCTGCTGAAGGTAGCCTGCCAGCTTGTCGTTGTCCCAGTTCTTGTAGGGACTGACGGCGTAGGCGTCCCAGTTGGACTGGATGAGCTTCTCCAGGTCCTTGCGGTCGGCCGGGGTGGGGTAGGGGATGTCATGGTCGGAGAGCCAACGCTCGAGCTCGGTCTCATGCCACTTGTTGTAGGCTGTAGGCGGGACACACAGAGTAAGCGTCAGCGGCCCGTTTCACTCAGTGTGGGAAATGGGAGGAGCATGACAGGGAAAAGGGTGGTTACTGTATTTACCGGCCTTGGAGAACCAGCTGTTGCTGCTGGCAACAGCAGCGTCGGCCACGAGGGCGACGGAGATGAGAGCTTTGATGAGCCTCATGGCGTGGCTGGATTCTGAGTCGCTCCGGGGTTTACTCGGTGGGTGATGGTTGTTTGTTGACCAGTGATGGGCAGTCCTCGAAAGTCAAGGTGGCACAGAACGGCTTGACAGAATGAGACGGTGAAGGCAAGTCAAGGAGGAAGTGGATTGGGATGTAAGAGGGTAAGGAGAAGTTGGCGAGGGTGGAGGGCAAGTGAATAATAGGGTGGCCTACTCGGTACGCGTAGGTAGGGAGGTCTTGTCAGTTTCGTCAGTCAATGTGCCTGGCAAATAGCGGCGGCCGGGGGAGCGAGGTGATGCGATGGCAACGCATGTACGTCACTTCTTTGTGATGTGGCTTGGGGCAGGCGACGCATGTGCAGCAGTGTCAAGTTGGACCGGCAGCAGGCTGGGGAGGGGGGTCAGTGGATCAACAAACGCCTATGCACAAGTACCCAGGTTGGACTACTGTACGTACAGAAACAGCTTTGCTTGTGCTCGCTCGTGGCAACAGACAGAACTGCTGGCAGAATGGTACGTGCATATGAACATGGAATACCTGAACAGGTACCTCTCATGCCCAACACCAGGTGCTTAGTAGTACGTAGCCCACCTAGGTAAGTACCTGCCTAGGTACAGTGGTCGAGACACACACGTACACAAGAACGGGGAGGCAGGCCAGACGATCGGTCGGCCCGCAACGCTAGATGGGTCAAAGACGTGCTGGCCTGCATGCACAGATACGTAGGCCAGCAATCAAGCAGTCAACATGATCTCGATGGGCCGATGATGGGTGAGCGACGGCGGCAGGGGCCTGAAGAGAGCATGCCCCATGCAGCCTGGCAGCGTTTCGACGGGAACGGGACAGGAAGCTTCGTTCGTTCTGTTTTCATGCTGGTGACGTCAGACAACGGTGGGAGGGAGAAAGGCACCAAGGGCCGTCATTGGATATCAACTTGTGCGTAACATACGTCTGTACCTACCTGAAGGGCTGTAGCTGTGAGCTACCTACATACCTGCCTAGGTAGGTGGGTAGGTAGCCAAGGTACCAATAGCATGTCCTGTGTGTGGCAACCCGTACACAACATGCAGCACAGCAGCAGCAACAGCAGCAAGAAGCAGCACAACGACAATAGGAGCAACAACAACAGAAGAAAACTCACCATTGTGATTACATCACCGTGTCCAGTTGGGGTGGATGGAAGATTGCAGTGAGAAGCTGTGGCGCGCCCGGGGGGAATGCTCCGGTGATGTCATGCAGGTGTCGTCTGGCATCAGAGCTCCAAGCTACCGGGAGCTTGGGCCAGCTTGTGATACAGTGCCTGTGCATTAGTCCAGGTTCAGAACGGTAGTCTGTTCGTCACTTGCGAGGGTGCCTCGGGCAAACGCACGTTTCTCAGCTCTACACTAGAGACATCAATTGACGATGCTGGGACTGGCTAACCTATATTTAAATAACCTCTTGCAGCCGCTGTTAAGCCCATGGTGACAGGGCTGAACCTCACCTGGAAGAACTTGAAGTGCTCAGGTGGGTATTTATGATTTAGTGTTACCGTGTAGGGCTGAAGGCCAAAGGCAGTGCTACTTGGTATAATACCGAGCTACCTACGACCTAGACCTAGGTAGGTATGTGCACCATAGTCAATGGATAGCCCTAACCCCCCACCATCAAGCCGTTCACATATTGCATCCCATGCCCGTCGTATGAGGAAGCGATGAAATCCTCATGGTGTTTGACCAAGTCTTAACAGCCAAGTTTCCGTGTACCTGACAAGAAATTGACAGCCCGTCAGCTCTTCAGCCGCATTGCACAGCCTTGTCACACTGGACCACTGATGCCTTACTACCTAGGTACCTAGGTATACATCCAGGTAGTCCTGATTGGACGTCTTCCGTTCCCCCGTGGCTCTGGCTCTGGTTCCCGTCGCGTTTGTGAACCCGTCTGGTCTGCTATGAGTACACCTCTTGTTGAAGGTATTGAGCACTGCCTACCTTATTGTTTCCTGGGGCCCTCGTAAATCGGACCTTGCTGCCTGGACGAGTCTCGTGGAAGAAGGAGGGGCCTGCAAATACGCCCGCCCGTTGGCCGTTTGACTCATTCGTCGATTGGCCTCAGCCGGCCTTGCCTCACTCACCTCAACTCAACTCAACTCAATCCAGCCTGCCCGGCTACAGCAATAAGTGGCACGCAGCCACGGCACTCAACCAGCCTTCCCAGTCACAATAGGTACTAGTCTAGTGTCAATATCAGTGAATGTCTCATCTGCACTCTTCCCGCCTTCCTCACAAAGTTTTTGCAACGCCGCCCAGCAGCCTCGCTTCTTGCCGCCCGAGCCTTTGCAGTCCTTGGCCTTCCAGACGCATAGCACATCAAAATCCATTCCTGCCTGTTGCGTCGTTCACTTCTTCATCTTCCGAGGCCCCGCAACTCCAGTCTCTTCGCCTTCGCCCTCACCTTCACTCAACATCTCACCGTACACTCCCACTCGCGGAGTTGGGGATACCACCGCGCTTTTCGATCCCGAGGCACTATTTAGCTTCCTCCACCATCATCAGGCAAGGCATGGAGCAACCGGTGCAGCACAAGGCTGCGGCTGTGGCTGCCCCCTACGCAGAGCAGACCCCAGAGGCCGTCGCTCGCTTGTGTCGCTCCCTCGAGGACGCCGCCAAGGACAAGAAGAAGTCTGGCTTCAGCGCCAAGAAGAACAAATTCAGCGTCGCCGGCTCCCGCGACGGCCTGACAGTCGACTCGTGGAAATTCCAGGAATACGACTACAAGAAGCGGGACCTGCCCACCTACGCCCGCGGTCTGTTCACCACAAGGACCCGCAACAACGTCCCCGAGATTGCCATCCGCGGTTACGACAAGTTCTTCAACGTCGGCGAGGTCCACGAGACCCGCTGGGATGTCATCGAAGCCCAGACCACCGGGCCCTATGAGCTCACCCTCAAGGAGAATGGCTGCATCATATTCATGAGCGGCCTGGAGGACGGTACCCTGCTTGTCTGCAGCAAACACTCCACAGGCGACCGCAGCGACGTCGATCTCAGCCATGCAGCAGCTGGCGAGCGGTGGGTTGAGCGTCAGCTGCAAGCCCTGGGCAGGACCAAGGAGGACCTCGCCCGTGAGCTGAGGACCCGGAACGTCACCGCCGTCGCCGAGCTGTGCGATGACGGTTTCGAGGAGCACATCCTCGCCTACGGCCCCGACAAGGCCGGCCTCTACCTGCACGGCATCAATGTCAATGTTCCCGAGTTTATGACGTACCCCGCCGCCGCGGTCCACCAGTTTGCTGACGGCTGGGGCTTCCGCAAGGTTGGCGTCCTCAGGATGGACACCATCATCGAGGTCAGGAAGTTCCTGGAGGAGTGCGCAGAAACCGGTGCGCACGAGGGGAGAGACGTTGAGGGCTTCGTCATCCGGTGCAGGCGCTCCTGGGACTCGTCCAAGGTGCAGCCTTTTGACTGGTTTTTCAAGTACAAGTTCGAGGAGCCCTACTTGTTGTACCGCCAGTGGAGGGAGTCCACCAAGGCACTGATCGCGGGCAAACCGCCTAGGTTCAAGAAGCATCGCGCCATCACCGAGGAGTATCTATTGTTCGCAAAGAAGAGGCTTGCCGCCGACCCGAACCTTGGAAAGCTCTACAACCAAAATCACGGCATCATCGCCCTTCGCAACGATTTCCTCGCCTTCAAGAACATCGATGGTGCTGACGCGGCCAAGTTCGAGGAGCTGTACGGAGACGGCGGGAAAACAGAGGTCGAGCGGGACGTCATACTCGTTCCCATCGCGACCATCGGCTGTGGCAAGACGACTATTGCTGTCGGTCTCTCCAAGCTCTTCGATTTCGGACACGTCCAAAATGACAACATCACCGGCGCCAAGCGGCCCCCACGCTTTACCAAGATGGTGCTCGAGCAGCTGGATACTCATCCCGCGGTCACTGCCGACCGCAACAATGCCCAGAGACACGAGAGGAAGCAGATACTCACAGACGTCAAGATGCAACACAGGGATGCCCGCCTCGTCGCCCTGAACTTTATACATGACAACATAGACAGGGTCCGAGAAATCACGCAGGGCCGCGTCTTTGCCCGCGGCGACAACCACCAGACCATCCAGGCTGCCACAGACCCAAACAAGGTCAAGGGGATCATGGATGGATTCCTGACCAGGTTTGAACCTTTGGACAGTGATCGGGCGCCGGACAATGGCTTTGACGCCGTCATCAATCTCGATCCCCTCGCATCAAGCCGGGAGAATCTGGAGACGGCGGTGACCGAGCTCCACCGTCTTTATCCCAAGTTGATACAGAATATCCCCGCGGCTGAGGAGATGGACCGTGTCATTCAGGAAGCCATGGATGAGTACCGTCCTGATCTACGACACACGATTCCCGATCGGAGGAAACCTGGCAAGGAGAACCAGAACGGTGCACAGGCCCAACCTCAGAAGAAGGCCAAGAAAAAGCCCCTAGAGTACATGTCGATTGACGTGCCAGCCAAGGAAATCACCTCCCTCCTCGAGAAGACCTTCAAGGATGCCGGCTCCGAAAAGTCCTGGTTCTACAACCTGCTGGGAGGCACCCGCCGCATCCAGCCCAAGTTTCACGTCACGCTCATGCACCGCGCCACTTCGCAAAATCACCCTGACCTCTGGGACCGGTACTCAAGGCTGCAGGCCGAGGCCGAGGCCAGCACAGGCGTCCCCGACAGCGCACTGGGCGAGGTCGAGGTCGTTCTGGAGCGGGTCGTCTACGACAGCCGGATCATGGCCATCGTGGTCAGGCTCAATGACCCTGAGGACAAGTGGCAATGTGTCAACAAGGTTGCGCACCTGACGGTCGGCACCCGGGACGGCAGCGTCAAGCCCAAGGAGAGCAATGACCTGCTGGCACGGTGGATATCCGAGGGAGCTAGAGAGCACTCGGAGATCGACGACATTGGGCTTGAGGGACGACCAAGCGTCAAGGGTACAGTGAGAGCAGTCATGGCTAGATAGAGAGAAAAAGGTGCAGGCGGCCGGTGGGGGCAGGGGATACAGAGGATGGGAACCCCAGGCGATGAACCATTGTCGCTAGCTGGCCAACAGGCACATTGAGTCTAACTGCATATGTAGGTAACAAAATCTAAGACCGTCCGCTGTTGAGATCGTTGGTGACCTGGACGAATGCTTCCCATTGCCTCCACGCCTCGCCACTTTTGATGGCCCATCGTGCCCTTCTCACCCCTTCCTTCCATCTTCCCCCGCCAGGCCCTGCCTCCCGCAGGACGCTGCCATCATCGCCATGACCCAAATCGCTCGAGTCCGCGTCGCACACGCCTGAAACCACAAATAGCGCGGCGGTGTTGATGAGCACGAACTCGAGGATGGGATCATTATCAGCGAGCTCGTCCTTCAGTATGCTCTTGAGGATCTTGGCGTTCTCGGCTGGCTCCTTCCCGGGCGATACCGTGTTGAGTGGGTGCCTAGTTAGGCCAAAGTCCTCGGGCGCGAGCCTGAAGTGCTGGATCTCAACCTCGCCTGCTGCGGCGCCCTCGCAAAGCCTCCAGCACAGGGTTGGGCCGGCGCAGCTGACCTCGTCCAGCTCCTCGTCCCCGCAGACGACCATGGCCTTCCTCACGCCGTTGAGACGGAGCGCCTCGGCAAAGACTGGGCCCAGGTCCTTCCTGGCGACACCGATGACCCTCGCCTCGAGCATCGGCCTGTCGTGGACATCCATAGGGTTGGCCAGGGGCCCGAGCAGGTTGAAGATTGTGCGCCAGGGCAGCTTCTTCCTCGTAGGGGAGACGAAGCGCATGCCCGGGTGGAAGGAAGGGGCGAAGAGGAAGGCGTAATTTGTCTTGCTGTAGATATGGCCTATCTTGTCTGGCTCGACGGCGCTCATGTCCGGCGGTGTGGGGAAGCGCATGTTTGCGATGAGGTCGGCGGAGCCGGACTTGGAGGTGGAGGCGCGGTTGCCATGCTTGGAGACGAGGAGGAGGCTGGAGGCGAGGATGGAGGCCGTAGTAGAGATATTGAAGGTGTTGTGAGAGTCACCGCCTGTGCCGACGATGTCGCACTGCGCACACGGTGGTTGGTTGTGGTTAGCAAGGGCCGGGTGAGTCAGGGCGGGCAAGTGAGCCGACTTACGAATCCGCCGGCGTAGCTGCCCTCCCTCCTACCCCTGGTCTCGATGACGCGCTGGAGCAGGTTCGACTCGACCCGGGCGGCGGCCCTGAGCATCTTCTGGGCGCACTGCGACAAGACTTGGGGGTCGCGTCCAGGCCGGTGAAGTGCAGACACATGAGCAGGGCGCCGGTCTGGACATCGTCGATGCGGTCGGTGAAGAAGTGCTCGATGGCGTCGGAGATCTCGCCGGCGGTGACTTCCGGGTGGCGTGGCCACAGGCGCGCAAGCAAGGGCTTGATGTCGACAACTGGAGGGGGCTGGGGAGCACCGGCGGTGGCCTCAATGAGGTCCGGCTGCGACTCGGACTGGAGATTCGAGCGCGGGTCGGGGGTCGGCGTGGCCATTCTGGGCGGAGGGACAGGCCTGGCCTTGTCCTGACTTGTCTTGCCTTGCCTGGTCTGGTCTGGTCTGGTCTGGAGTGGCACGATGCGACTTGTGAGCTGTGGCCTGTGATCTTGGACCCAAGGCTCTCAAGAACGGGGAGTCAGACAGGTAGATGAGCCGTCGAGTCGGATCGGCACAGTCATAATGAAGCCGGCTCCGGCCATTGGAAGCGCTGCACATCCACGCTCGATTCAACCCGTTCACCCCTGCAGCCCCGGTACTGTGGTAGCTTTATCACAGATGTTCCTTATCTTATCAGTGGCCCCTGTCGGCCCGTCTTGGCATCTGGGTAAGAGGTACATGTTTGCTCGGATGCTGGATCTGCATGGCCCACCCAGACTTAGCCCGGGGTCATGTATATATACATCCACAGAGAGTATCCACCCCGGGGCAAACGGCCGGTCCTAAATTTTTCGACGACGCGACTGCTGCACGCACCAGCAAGTTCGATGTTGCGCGGTTCCAGCGTCCTTGCTCTCAATTGACGTTCCCAAACAGCAGCCACGGCAGGCCCAGGTCTTCTCACGACTGAGCTCCACACCCGGCCAACTCCCCGTACTCTTCTCTTCTCTTTTCTGTTTTGCTCCGTCTGGCTTGTCGTTCCCTCGGGCGCACGCGTCTCGGACAACCGCCTCCAGCATGCCGCCCAGGGTGCAATGTCAAGCCTCGAGTAGGCTCGCGGCTTCTGCATGGAGATGCAACATGCACAAACCACGCCGTTGCGCCATGCCGGTGTGGGCGTCATCCTCAGTCCTCGCCACAGCCCCGAGGCAGTATGCCACAGCGGCCTCGATAGCATCGGTGCTGAGGCTCCCCGATGACTACGTCCCTCCCACCAAGCCACCCAGCGCAAGGCGCTCTGAGGAACGCAAGGCCCAGCTCTTGCGTACCTACACCTCTCTACTGCGGTCCACGCCTCTAATGCTCATGTTCCAGCACAACAACCTCACCGCCGCCGAGTGGGCCGCCATACGGCGCGAGCTAAGAGCCGCCTTGGCCGCCGTGCCGACGGCCCCGACAGCCCCAGACGGCCACGTGCCCGTCGATATCACTCCCAACATCTTGCTGCAGGTCGTACGCACACGCACCTTTGACCAGGCCCTGAAGGTCGTCGAGTTCTTCGACCCGGCCACTGTCGGGAAGTCCGACACAACGGGCGCAAAGGACACCTATACCCACGACTTGTCGATGGCGGCATACCAGGCAGTCAAGGCCACCGAGGGTGCCGTGCCCGAGGACTCCACCTACGCCCAGCTGGCGCCGCTTATGATCGGCCAGATCGCTCTCCTCACACTCCCAGCCGTGTCGCCGCAACACCTCGCCGCGGCGCTGTCCATACTGTCGCCGAGTCCGCCCGCCTTCCCAGCGCCCACGCGAAAGAAGAATCCGGGCTACCACGACCTCACGACACAGAGCGGTTTGCAAAAGCTCTTGCTGGTCGGCGGGAGGATCGAGGGCAAGGTCTTCGACTCTGACGGCGTGAGATGGGTGGGCGGTATCGAGGGTGGCCTCGACGGCCTGCGGGCGCAGCTGGTGAACATGTTGCAGAGCGCAGGCCTGGGCCTCACAACCGCTCTGGAAGGCGCATCAAAGAGCTTGTGGGTGACGATGGAGTCGCGGAGGACAATGCTGGAGGAGGGCGCGAACGATGCCAAGAAGAACGAATAGAGAGCGGGAGAGAGGAGGGACTTTACGCGAATACCCACGACTATCAACGACTCCGGCGTGTGAGCTTGCGGTGCATGACGCTGATAGAACAAAATACCGCTCGTTGCGTGTGAAACGCATCTGTGCCCTACTTCGGAGGACCCCTTGATGAGGCGTGTTTCTCGTGACCGAAAGGTGCCCAGGAATGGTATTCAGGGTTATATACTACTCAGCAATGTTTTAGCCATGAGTTTCTGTCGACGAGTAAAGGGACATGGGAAGGTCGTCACGCAGGGGAGCAAGGAAATCCCAAGCCTTGCCAGGCACTTTACAGCAGGAGACACCACACAACAGTACTATTTAGGTGTGTAGTTTCAACGATACACCCTGTATTGCCCTCACTGTTTGTATTGCCTTCACTGTTGTCCTGCGACGACTGGGATGCCGTCGCCAATCCCATGAGAGGCCATCCAGAGGTGTACTCGCGTACTGTATAGGCAACATGCACATTGATGTACATTACATGCTAGTCCAGTCAATTGTTCGGTTTAGACGCTAAGCCTCGGTATCCCTGCGACCTCCCACACAAGAGCCGACGGGCGCGCGGCAGGCAGAGTCCGCATCGAGCCGCCCTCTCTTAACACCACAAAGCACTGGCCCACTATTAGCACGACCGCCTGCTTCTCCATCCTCTGGACACCAGAAGCTTTACGTCTTGACCCGACGCGACCGCAGCTCGTCGGCCCCCGTCACCGTCGGCTGCTCGAGGCCATAACGAATCCCACAGGCCATGTTGGCTTCTGGCCCGTAAACGCGACGCCCCCGCGGACTGCCGTCCACGACCAGACGCGTCCAAATGAACTTCGCGCCATACCAGGCCTCTGCTCCAGAGGAGTCCCGCTCGCCAGACACAGCATCTCCCCGTGCCTCCTTAGACCGCCGGCCCTTCTCGCCGTCTACTTACCAGAAGCGCTCGAATCAGGCCAGCCCCCCGCCGCTGCAGCATCCTCAACCGCAGCGCAACTGGCAGGCCAGCGGTTACCGCATCGCCAGCCCAAACTACCAGGCGAGCCCAGCTCCTGCCGGCGCTGCACGATCAGCGGATGGCTACTTTGGCAACATAAGCAGCGGTCTGGCAGCGGACAGGGAGGGTATCAACGAGTTCGACACGAGCCTGGGCATCAGGCTGGACTACGAGGCATGTCTGGCTTACCTGGCACTGCCGCCGCTGGGGGCCATCGTGCTGTTGATCCTGGAGAGGAAGAGCGACTACGTCAGGTAGGTTCGAGACAGCTTTGATGCCCACCCATGTGCCCGGCCTGAATGGCTCTGTGGTAGGCCTTCCGCCCGACCGCAGCTGACACCGACCAGATTCCACGCTTGGCAGTCGGCGCTCCTATTCACCGCTGTCTTTATCGTCCACCTCATCTTCTCGTGGTCGGTGTTTTTCGGATGGCTACTTTTCCTCTGCGACCTCGGCCTGATCGTTTTCTTGACCCTCAAGGCATACCGTGATGCAGACATGCTCGACAGATTTGAGGTTCCTTTCTTCGGCCAGATCGCGAGCAGATTTGTGGACGAGGAGTAGTTTCCACAGTTGTATGGTAAAGCAGGTTGGTCAGAGCACGGATGAGGGATGGCAGCCCTGTCTACGGGTTGGTTTGTTCGGTGCTCGCTTAAGGCTTGTAGGCAATTCGATTAGCTAGCAGGCGCGATGATTTCTATGATACCATATTTACGATCCTGCGAATGCATGCAATGTCCCGGATATCCGATACACTGTGTCTCGATGTGAGATGAACTCTGTTTCTGCAGCCTGCCTGGCTATCCACGTACCTTTTGCAGAAGAAAACGCATGTTTACCTGAGGCTAGGTAGGTAGCTAGGCAGGTAAATACGGACAGGAATGCAGTGGGTTGTTGGGTGGTTCAGCAACAAAACGTCAGGTAGCTGATAAGCTAGCTTATCGGCGGTGACAGCTCGGCTGACTAAGTCCAGTGACGCGCCTCTGTTTGCCTGCCTTGGGCTAAGCCGCCGGCTTCCAGCTTCGAAGCTGTCCATCACCAACCTCCCACGTCCACCCTCTCAACCCCAACGCCTGCTCGAGTGCCCCTGCATTACCACCCTTCGCCATCTCAAGCCACCAACCCGCCATTTCGCCAACTCAAGACTTTCCTTGAGCACGGTCGCTCCCTTCGAGGCGAAACCTCTCAACACGACCGTCATTCCCCGTTGCCACCATGGCGTCTCTTGAGGAACTGGACGATCTCGAGCGCCGCGATCGTGACGACAAGGACAAGAAGGATGGCAAAGACGACAAGGGTGACGGAAATGATAAGCCTTCTGGCGATGGCGATGCTGAGATGAAGGATGCCGAGGAGGAAAACGTCATTGACGACGAGATCCTGTCGCTCAACACCCAGGACATCCTGAACCGCAGGCGACTCCTCGAAAACGATGCTAGAATCATGAAGTCCGAGTTCCAGCGATTACAACATGAGAAAGCCACCATGAACGAGAAGATCAAGGAGAACCGGGAGAAGATCCAGAACAACCGACAGCTCCCGTACCTGGTCGGCAACGTGGTCGAGCTGCTCGATCTGGATCCTACGGCAGAGTCATCGGAGGAGGGTGCAAACATCGATCTCGATGCCACGAGGGTAGGGAAATCGGCTGTCATCAAGACTTCAACGAGACAGACAATCTTCCTGCCACTGATCGGGCTGGTAGACCCCGAGGATCTGAAGCCCGGCGACCTCATCGGCGTGAACAAGGACTCCTACCTCATCCTCGACACCCTGCCTGCCGAATACGACTCCCGGGTCAAGGCCATGGAGGTCGATGAGAAACCAACAGAGAAGTACAGCGATGTTGGCGGCTTAGACAAGCAAATAGAGGAGCTCGTGGAAGCCATTGTGTGGCCCATGAAGGAAGCAGAGCGATTCAAGAAGATTGGAATCAAGGCACCGAAAGGTCAGTGGGCACTTGGCACTGTCGACGCTGTCGAGTTGTCTCTACGGGTCTCCGCCATGGTACACTACTAACAAGACGGTGATGTAGGCGCTCTTATGTACGGACCTCCCGGAACCGGAAAAACGCTGCTAGCGAGAGCCTGTGCAGCACAGACAGATGCGACATTCCTCAAGCTTGCTGGTCCGCAGCTGGTCCAGATGTTCATTGGCGACGGTGCCAAGCTCGTCCGAGACTGCTTCGCACTGGCCAAGGAGAAGGCCCCGTCCATAATTTTCATCGACGAGCTTGACGCCGTCGGCACGAAACGATTCGACTCGGAAAAGTCGGGCGACCGAGAAGTGCAGCGGACCATGCTTGAGCTCCTCAACCAGCTCGATGGCTTTGCCTCGGATGACCGCATCAAGGTCCTGGCGGCAACGAACCGCGTGGACGTCCTCGACCCCGCGCTGCTGCGTTCTGGTCGCCTGGATCGCAAGATCGAGTTCCCGCTGCCCAACGAGGAAGCCCGTGCCCAGATCCTCAAGATCCACAGCCGCAAGATGACGGTCGACAGTGCCGTCAACTGGGGCGAGCTGGCGCGCAGCACGGACGAGTTCGGCGGTGCCATGCTGAAGGCTGTGTGCGTTGAGGCTGGCATGATCGCGCTGAGGATGGGCAAGAACAAGATTAGCCACGAGCACTACGTCGACGCCATCGCCGAGGTCCAATCCAAGAAGAAGGAGGTGAGCACCGGCCCTAACCACGATCCCCGAAAACCCCCCTGCAGTGAGCAGCTCACCGCTAACAAATGGCGCAGACCGTCAATTTCTATGCCTAGTCCATGGAGTGACGTGGGGAGATTCCGCGGAAGGCGAAGGGCGGGGATGACGACGGATGCTCGGGGGCCGACGATAGAATATGCACCTGCTAGACGGCGGTTTGGGCACCACCTGTATGAATACAACCGGTACGGGGCTTGGCTACCCAGAGACAAAATCGGCCGGGCGGAATGCGTCTGCCTGCAAAAGTTCCATTTGCTGCCTTTTCCTTGTTTGTCAGTGTTTGCGGGAACAGATGTGTAGGATCCTGGCCACAGCATGCCACGCGTATGAATCACTGGTGGCACCACCAGCTCGACTGTCACCGGGGTGTGCTCTTGGGCCTTGGACAACGGTACAAGGCAAGTTCTCGGAGGGGCCCCGAATGTAGGTAGGCAGGGCTGCGAGCATCTCGAAATGTCTTGCCGGACCATCATGACTATTACATGGGTGACCTCTCTGTGGCGGCCTGCACAACCAACCCCTTCCCCTTTCCCCTTCCCCGGCCGCCCCGGCCAAGCACCTGGCTTCGATACGCGACGGGCCTGCCTGAGAGAGTGCGGTGCCGTGACCTACGTCACAAAGCGCGGTGGGAGATGACCACAGGGCCTCTCAGGGGCTCGGGAGACAGTGTGATCCTGGCGCCCAGAACTCGAGGTGGCATGGGCGGGCGGGCACACAGAAGCCAGAGCGGCACGCTCCAAGGTCAGAAAGTCGGACCGAGAGTCAGAACGGCGCAGGCCACCGATCACTTCTAGACTGGGTATGGAGCGTGTTGGAGAGTCGGCGGGAGAGCAGACGCGATCCGGGGCGCGTTGCGACACGACGGCCCAGGGCTGCCTCCCCGAGGAAGCTTATTACGGTGTAGCAGCTGCAAGGCGTGGCCGACTGGCAGTGCTGGTTGCAGCAGGAGAAGGCGCGCGTGTTGAGGCCGATGCTACGCAGTGGCGAAGACAAGCCCCGACTAGCAGGTCTTGAAGCGCCATACGGACCCGAGAGGGGGGTTATACCAAGCACAGTGTGGTCAAGACATGTCCAATCGGGGGGGTGAGTGACATGGCCTACCTACCTACCTACCTGAGCCTACCTAAGGAAGGTAGGCAGCTACCTATGTATGTAGATGGAAGGGACTGGCCGCAATAGGCAAGCAGCCCGGGGATGGCTCGACCGGATTTGAGACAGGCTGAATAGGCAGTGCTGTAGTCTGGGGCCTAGCTCTCTCCGTCCTCCTTCTTTCTGTGTGTCTTCCTACCCGCGCGTGTGTGGAAGAGAGAGTGCGCATGCGTGTGGCAGCATTATAAGGGCCTATGATGAAAGGGGTCAGGTTCTACATCATAGGAGACAGGCCGTTGTGTGCATGGGTGTGCACAGCGATTGCCGATGTAACGGCCGCCACCGTTGGTGTGTGTCTGTGAGTGGTTCGAGAAGGGGGAAAGGGGGGCCGGGGGGGGGGAATTAGGTGGTTCCGGGCCCTCACAAGCAAACTCAATTGTTTCCTCTCCCCCGTTCGTCCACATGTGATGACCAGCCCGTGGGACTGCCCTCTCCCGCGGTGGCCGTCCGTCTGCGTCTGCGTCAGAGGCAGCGGAAGTCGGACACGAGCAGAAACAGGGATGTGTGGCTACATCAGAGGTTGGCTAATGGGGGAGAGGCAAGTGTGGTCAGCCCAGACCCAACGGCACGCTCGCACATAAGAGGCGCTGCTATAGATAGACGGATGGGACGAGCGGCAGGGAGCAGGGTTGGTCGGCTAATATAGAGTACCGAACTCTGACAGACTGACAGAAGTCGAATCCTGCTGCTGCTCAGGGTGCGGTCTACTTGGGGCAGTACTTGAAGTAACAGTACGTGCGCCCATGCGGCTGCCGTCATCGAGCGTGTGCCCCAGATTGCCACAGGCACCAGGGGCTCTCGCTCTAGGTACTCAGTACTGGCTGCGGTTGGCTGGCGGCGGCGGGCCCACAGGGGCCCTAGTCGACGTTGAGATGCAACCTCTCCGTCGCCCTTTGGCTCTGTCTGGCTGGCTGTTTGGCTCTTCAGGCTAGATAGACTGGACTAGTCTTGTTATTGCTCACCTTGCGTGTGTGTTCCTGCTCACCACGACGACAAGGCATGGTGAACAATCTCCCCTCCCCGGCCAGCTCCAGCTCCAGCCCCAGCCCCAGCTCCTCCTTTTCCGGTCGTCTAATTGCGCGTCGACTGTGCACTATGCCTACAGCAGCCTACCGTCGTGCTGTGTGTGGTCTTGTTCCTGCTTGGCTCGGAGAGTTCCTTGGGTCCCTGTCAGGCACGGCGCATGGTTGGCTGCCGCATGCATTGGCGTGCCCCAGGGGCGGGTACTCCTATCCACCACTGACGTCTGCGTGGATCTGCAGTGTGTGCAAGTAGCACTCCTCACTGACTGCCTTACTACCTTGGGTGTCATGTCGAGAAGCTGCTGCTCTGGCACACATGCCGTAGCTCGGGGCAGTGCACAGCGCCCACACTCTCAGGGCGCCATGATGAAATGGGCGCCTTCAGCTGTCCCTGGCTCATTTGAGACTATCACGCCCGCCATGTCGACGTTGTTGCGAGTTTACGACTTTCGTCCGCCACTCCGTCTGCCTCCCCGTGCGCCACCCCGTCTCCTCGTGCGCCCGCCGAAGCACGCAGTTCTATAGTCCTACCATGATCATCATTGCCTGTCAATGCTGGCTAGTGCCTCTCCCTGTCGATACTGTACCGTTTCTCATTTCCTTCTTCCCTCTCACCGGGGAGATGGGCGCCATGCGAGCTAGACATCGGCCTCTTCCCGTAATGACTTCCTGTGGCGGAGGGCTGTGATCCTGGTGCGCACAACGCCATTGGTGGTACGGCCCAGCCTGCATGTGTTAGGCCGCAGTACTGTGATTTGCGTGTGTCCTGATGGCTCGCCGGCGCTGAAGCAAGCCTTCTTTTTTGTGGGTGCCGATCCCGTGTGGCGCATCGACGACTTATACCGCCCCCTGATCATATATCTTCTGCCCCTTTCCTAGCCCGATGACTACCACCTCGAGCTCAGAGCTACGTAGTATAGCTTGGCACCCATCGCCGTCATTGTCCCCGACATGTTGTCTCCAGGAGCACGGCTTGCTTGCTAGCCTGCAACCTCAGGTGCCTTGCGCTCTTCAATACACGTCTCGTCGTCCCCTTGTCTCCTCTTGAGGCTTTTCATATCCCAGTTTCTTCATGCATTGCTGGGGTGCCCCAGAGGCCCCAGGCTCGCACAAGCATGTCTTGTGCCCGTCACGGCAAGGCCTGCCGTTGCTTGCCACCGCATCCTTACCGGGTGCCCCGGCTGGGATATGGTCATCTTCAAATCAGACGAACCTGGCCGAGTAGCGACTTCCCTCCCGCTGCCTGGACGCCGCGCCCATGTGCCTTGAAATGGTCCCTTGTAGTGTCGACCCTCCCACAGAAAGGCAACCAGCACTTAGCGTCATCTTGTTCACATGGTACACGACGGTCTTGACCTCCTCTGATGTCAGAGATACTGCTCGCCCCTGAACGGTGGGTTGGTCAAGTGTGCGCACAGCCGGAGGCGGAGGGAGCCCAGGTCGTCGAATACAAAAGCCGCCATCACCTCGTGCCATCCAGAACATATCTTCTCACACATATCAAACCCACCATCAGATCCACCTCATCTTCACAAGCACCATCTTGCTGCCCCTACCAAACTGTCAAACTCCCTCCAGATTTATCACTTCGATATCCAACCCCAACTTCAAAATGCAGTACTTCACCGTCGTCTCCGCCCTCCTCGCCAGCGTCGCCCTGTCCTCCCCCGTCGAGGTTCAGGAGCGCCAGCTCTACATCCCGTGCTCCGGCCTCTACGGCACGGCTCAGTGCTGCGCTACCGATGTCCTCGGTGTTGCCGATCTGAACTGCGCGGACCCGCCCACCGTGCCCACCAACGCCTCCGACTTCCAAGCCGAGTGCTCTGCCATCGGCCAGCAGGCTCGCTGCTGTGTCCTGCCCATCGTAAGCATCCCAACCCCCCCCCCCCCCCCGGTCGTGGCCTGTACTGGCGTGCGAATACTAACAACGCGTCATAGCTTGAGCAAGGAGTGCTCTGCAACACCCCCGCCGGTGTTGTTGACTAAGCTGGTGGCCTCGCAACCTTTGTACTATCAATTGTTCATATTTGGTGAAGGTCTGGTCGCTATGGGCGGATGGAAGAGGGTGCGGCGCAGATACAGGATAAAATGGATATCGTGGGATTCCAAACGGCACAAGCTAGGAGGCTTGGGTAATTGTAAAGGCTTTGAGGTCTGCGGTACGTTATGTCTTGCACAAATGTAACATACTGTGCGCTGGTGCAACTATGTGGTCAACATCTTGAACAAACAAGGCCCTGAACTTCCTGTGCCATGTTAATGCAACTCAACATTTGACTGCAAAATTGGATTGACTCATGCATGCAAAGTATGTTATCAGCCACAAGTCATGGGAGCGGGAACGGTCGGTCTGGGGTCCTTATAGCCAGGCAAGGTAGTTTACCATCAACACATACTCTGTCACTACAATTAACTGGGGCGCCCTCTTGCAGAGGGATGAGGTGTACAATTACATAGGTCAAGGCATTCTTTTGAACAAATTGTTGTTCCAATTGGCTAGGTTGTTGTTGAATGTGTATTTCAACCAGGCTTAATCCGGCTACAAGCCCACGTATTAGGCCTCGTGGACAACCTCACAATTGTGAGCTTGATCCTGTGCAAACAGGGCTTGTATCAGGAAGAGTGACATTTTGAGACAGAAAGCCTATGTGCAAGGTCACTTGTCCGGATACTAAGGAGAGGAATTGAGCGCTTCATCAACAAAAATTTTATCTACAAGCAAGGGATTGCTGCATGGCCATAAAACCTCTCACAGCCCGTCTGCCAACATAGCGTCGATCAGCTGCACGTGCCTGTCCGCATTTGTCGTGCTCCACTCGGTTTCATACTATTTTCTTTTCGTCAGTACAGCTTTACCACGGACAGAAATGGAATGTAGCGGCTGTAAAGGACCATCTACGGCCACGGGCCTGCGAATGGAACGCACCCGTAAACAAGCAAAGGTTCCAAGCCATGTTCGGACAACATGATCCTGCGAGTAGGTGCGTTGGGTACGGGGCAGGGGTGGTAGGAGCCCGGGGATAGAGATTGAGAGAAACAAGAGGGCAGCGAGACGCAATGAGTAACTGACATTCAGCCCGTATGGCCAGATATGGCCACCTCCGCAGTTAATCTTGGCACTCTGGCCGTCCCAAGATCTCAAGAGTGGCGTTGCTGTGGCCCAGTCGTTGGCTGCGCACTTGGTGTTGAAGGCTGCGGTCTGGCCGATGCCCAGCGTGTGCGATATCTCGTGCATGGCTGTGCGTTCGGTCATGTACGATCTGTTGGAGCCGAATCGGATGTTGCCGTTGTAGTTGCCGTCAGCCGTGGCGACGCTCGGCTACACCATCCGGAATTAGTGACCACTCACATAAAGTCCAGGAATACAGACAAGTGGGATGCGCCTTTGAGCGCTCCTCTCTCGGGCCCAGGCAGGACTCACCTCGTATTGTATTGTCAGCCTCTTGGTTGCGTCGGAGAATTTGGCGTAGTGGGCAACAGCGGCCTTCATGGCAGCTTCGATCTTGAAGTAGGCGTCGGCCTGGTCCGAGGTAGGGTTCGCGGCCTTCTGCAGGGTCCAGGTAATCGCAGCCGAGGTTGTAGAGGCCAGGGCCAGCAGGCCGGTCAAGACGTGGAACCGCATGTTGATTGTCACTCTGCTGCGGACCTATGATGAGATGGTCAAGTGCCTTGCAGGAGGTTGCGTGGGCTGCTGTGGGTGGTCGGTCAGGCTGGGCAAACAGAGCTGGAAGCTGGGGAGGGATACTCTCTAGGTGGCTCAGGACTGCTTGTGTATATATATATATACACGAGTATGTCATACATGTATAGGTGGGATACATGTATACTTGCATGTGTACACATACACACGAAGGGAGAGGGGTCCAGCGTTGTATCCGCTGGCTGGTCAAGCACGCATGAATCTTGCGGGCGGTTGACAGTAATTCAAGGCTCGCCCCAAGCGCTCCACTCCTTATCTGTTCCGAAACAATACTGGGCGGGAATGTGACGCTGTTGTCGAGCAGCGGAGAGCTGCACTCCGCAAAAGGGCTCGCCATGGGCTCGCCGGGAGCTCTTGGGTGTCATCGAAGCAAAGGGGTTGCCCAGTGGATACCCCGGGTGCCAGAAGCCAAGAAGTGATCATATGTTGGGGACATATTGCCGGGCTCTCATGCCTGCCCTTTTCGACTCTTGGCCGGGATTCTAATTGGAAACCCCCTGACTGTCGTCTGCCGAGCCCACAATTTTTGGAACAAAACCGGGGAAGCCGGCACCGGATTGAATGCCTGGCTGTCTACGTGAGAAGATGGCTGCTTGTCGGAGAGTACGGGTTGGGGGCGGACTGCCCGCTGATGTCTACTGTACTACGTACATCCACCCCCCCCCCCCGAGGTGTCTCCTAACATAGCCCGGTTAGCCAGCACAGATATTCCTGGGTGTACAGGCAGGAGTGGTACTCTGCAATGTGGACATGATCGCACAGGACACAGGAGGCTGTCATGAGAAAAGGACGCCCCTGCGAGCAGCTGTCATAACCGGATGAATGACTGCGGAGCGGCTTCTCTCGGGTTGGAGCAGCAGGGTCGAGACGGGTGAAGTGACGCCCAGCGTCGGGGCCACAGCGCCAACGAGGTCATCACAATGGTTAGTACCATGTACGTAGTATCAACAGCAGAGCCGTCTGTGTTGGCCGGAGCCGGCTTCCCCCGGCTGGCCGATAAGCGGCGCTCGGATAAGCTTAAACCGACGTCACAACGGGCGGCTTCTCGCTGCGCTGTGGATCCGCAGCGGCAGCTCCTGTCGCGTCTGTCACAAGCGGCGCCTGAGCACCATTTGAACATGACCGGCCGACCCAACCCGTGGGCCGCCTGCAGGTCTGCGGACCTTGTAGCCTCGTCCTGCCGGGCGCGATGGTGTGCCTCGTCCTCGTCCGGGCTTCGGATGCTCACCGCCCACCAGACGCGCCGGCTTGCAACCACGAGGCCGCAGGCCACGGATGGCGTCTTCCGCGGGCTGACGGATGGGAGGCTGCCCACGCCGTGGATCGAAGCCTTCCGGAAGCAGCAGGCCGACAAAACCACCACAGCCCGCGAGGCTCGCCCCCCAGCAGCGCGACCTCAGCCCCAGGAGGATGGGCGACAGCTACCACCGCGTCGTCCTGCCCCTGGGCCAGGACCCGTGGCTGTCTGACACCTACATCAACTCCTCGGGCCACATCAGGTGTGTACAGCCATATGCCGGCGGGCGTTGCTTGTCCCCTTCTGTCAGCTTTCTAACACGGCTGCTCTTAGGCTGGGGACTGTCTTCATGGATCTGGACGCTCGTAAGCTGCCCCCCCCCCCCGAGAGGCCCGTCTTTGCCCCCGGAAAACTAACTCGGGCACTGCAGTCTCGGGCGTCATCGTCTACAAGCACACCGGGCCGGGCATGACCACCGTGACTGCGGCCCTGGACCGATCACAATAGCCCACCCACTGACCGAGATATGTGACCTGGAGTATTCTGGCCAGGTCACCTACGCCTCGGGCAGGAGCAGCGTTGAGATCACCTGCCGCGTTGCCCGAGCCCGCCCCGAGGGCGAGCCCACCAGGCCCGAGGACGAGCTGCTTACCTGCACCTTTACCATGGTCGCCCTGGATCCCGAGACCAAGAAGCCTGTCAACATCCCCGCTCTCGTCTGCGAGACGCCAGAGGAGGAGGCAATCTTCAAGGCCGGCGAGGCCAAGTCGCTGGCAAAGAAGAAGATGAGCAAGACGTCCCTGCTGGCCACCGAGCCCAACGATCCCGAGTCGGCCTTGATCCATAGCATCTGGCTCAGGCAGCTGCGCTACCACGACCCCAACGACAGCTTGCGCCAGCCCGCAAACGTCGTCCCCATGAGCACCACACAACTGTCCACGGCCGCAATCATGCAGCCACAGTACAGGAACAGACACCAGACCATGATCTTTGGTGGCTTCCACCTGAAGCAGACCTTCGAACTGGCCTTTTGCTGTGCCGCCAGTTTCGCCCACGCGCGTCCTGTACGTCTGCGCCTGGACGCTGCCCGAGTCTCCTGCCGTCTTTGACCCCAACAAACCCCCGCCTTATACTTGGACCACGTCCTATGTTATTAACACATCACAGACATTCATCAGTGCCGATCCCTGTACTTTCAGGAACCCCGTCCCCGTGGGCAGCGTCTTGTATTTACGCGCAACTATCGCTTATACCGACCCACCACTGGTGAGTGGCTCGCGCTTGTCACATCACAGGGCCGTCGCCTGCCCTCCCCCCTTCCCAGCGTCTAGGTCCGGTGGTAGCTGTTACCCACCGCGGCGAATCCGTGTGATGTTACCTGTTGCTGACTTCTGATGCCCGACCAGCTGGAGGAAGGCGGCAGTGAGCCACAGCACAGAGATCCCAAGCAGCCCGTGACGCGGGTGCATGTGAGAGTTGACAGCAAGGTCAGAGGTACGCTTCGGCACCGTCTACATGGGCCTCCTAACTCCCTCCATCCCCCCGTTCCCAGCTGCCATGAGCCTGCCCAGGACAAAGCTGCTCTTCCCGGCAGACCGCTGACTTGCAAGCGTGTGGCCAGATGTTGAGCACGACACCACAACCAAACCAACAGGGCAGTTCAATTACACGTTCTCGGTGCCCAAAGACGTCAAAGTGTTGCCGCACACATACCAGGAGTACATGATGTACATTGACGCGAGACGGAGGGTCAAGCTTGGGGACATACAGTCCCGCCAGGAGCGCAGCGACTCGACACAGGAGCAAAGGCAGCTGGCCGAGGACGCCAATCTCACCGAGTGATGATGATAGATGTAGTCATGATAAGAGTGCCCACCCGGTCCCCTGGGAGATAAACACCCCAGTCGAGGATAAGCGCCTCTTTTGCCTAACCCCCAAAGTGACGGGAACACGTAATGCCCCGTCTGCGCGGGACAGCAGTCAGATACATCCACCACGGCCTGTGGCCTCGGGTGCGCGCGAATGAAATGTGGGGTCGAGATCAGGTTCAGGGGACACAAAACCCGCAACGGCCAATTGATTTCAGCCGAGAGGGCCGACTCGATTGGACTGTCGCAATGCCGTGAAGATGCCCTCCAGGGCTGAACCTTGCGGCCCAAGCCACACTGCAGCCCGCTCGCAGGCGTCGTGGTAATGATAATGAAAGAGCTGGTTGGGGCAGCACAGCTTCCAAGTGGAACAAGGAGCGGTGGGATAGCCTATCAGATGGTGAGGCATCGGCTCCCGAACCTAGAGAATACCTGGGCAGATCTTGGTGCCGGACCCAGCAGAGATAGGTACTGTGCAAGCAGACAGATACCATAGTCACCCCGGCAGATTATTGCACGGTACTCGCACAGACTCCGGAGACAGGCCCAGGGATATCGATAGGGGTTGAACTGCGCTTCTTTCCAGCAATGACGGATGATGGGATTGGAGTTTCCTTTCTGTTGTGTTCATGGCACACTGCTCGCCATCTTCTGCCGGGGGTGGACTCGTTATCGGTGTATAGGAAACCCGGGGGGGGAGCAGGGGAGAAAAGAATGATCCGAGCACAGGTCGGCCTCGCAAGCTGCGCAGCCAAGCAGCCAAGCAAATGTGCACAAGCATCCGCAAATGCTTGTCTCGACGCCCTGCACACAATCCCGCAGCATGTAGACTACCTGATCGAATCTTACCCGGTACCTAAAATAAGTCTCAACCATAAGTGCACATATCCGCATCTGCATGTGCACCTGCACCCACAACAAACTCGAGAACCTCGCCGTCTCAGTCCCCGTCCCAGTCCCACCTCCAAATCAGCCCAGGCCGGCCCCGGACCCAGATATTGAAAATTTCGAGTGCCAGGGCGAGCCGCCACCGCGACACAATGTCTGCTAACACTCTTGCCGGCTCGCATGCTTGCTCCCAATCTTTGTCTGGCGTGACATCCTGGCCTCGCTCTCAAACACAAGGTTGTGCTGCGGCCGCCACTGTGGGGCTCGTCGACGTTACACACAGTACGGTCGTTACACCAGTCCCGTACACCCGTCTTATCAGCCCTACCTCGAGGGCCCGAGGCACGAGGCACGAGGCACGACGCGCACATCCTTCCGTCTTTACACGGCCCCCGCAGCCACGGAATGCCTGCCCATGCCCAAACTGTACTGTACGGGTGTGCGATTGTACGATAGTGCATCTATGTATCTGTCCATGTGTGAACCGGTGTACGTAGTGAGTAGGCCTTGTTTAAAAGCCAGGGGTGCTTCCGGCTCTTCACCGAGCCACCCTCCTACAATTTACATCATGTCACGTCCTCCTCTTCCTCGCGCCCACGCGACGACTCCAATCCCGCCTTCGTGATCCCATCGGGCACCGGCAGCACGACCACCACCACCACCCGCAGTATCACCACCAGTGCCAGCACCAGTCTTCCTTGGTCTCCCTGCGGGCTGGCAAGTCATCATGGCCTCCACACCCCTTCAAACATCCACACAGCCGGCCCTGGCTGACAAGGAGGCGTCTGACCTCGAGAAGACGGCTCCTCCCAGTCCCGACAACACTTCTCTGGAGGACGCAACCCTCGCCGCACTGTCGCGCGTCAAGACTGCCGACGAGCACCACCCCATCCACTGTACGTGATTTTCCGTTTGTTTTGTTTTGTTTTCGCCCCTTCGACGCCCGGGGCTTTTCCATCTCCTGTGTCTTGAGATGTCTTGGAAGCCGTCTCAGGATATGTCTCATGGATCGATAGTCTCGAAGGTCGTCTCTGCGGCCTGTGAAACATATCCAGGGACCGCTCTTCACATACCTCGTGAAAGTACCATCTGCAACCCGGAGATTCATCACTGAGAATGGCTGGACAGGGAGCTCGACCAAGAAATGGTTCATCATCTTCTGGTACTGCCTACTGCAGGCATTTGTCACTCTCACCACCACCACCTACGTGTCGGCCGAGTTCCTGGTCCAGGAGACGTACGGCGGCTCTACCCAGGTCGTCGCCCTGGGCCAGTCCATGTTCATCATCGGCACTGCCGTCGGGCCCGCCTTCCTCGGCCCCTTGTCGTACGTCCCGTGCCCAATCCCGCCGCGCGCCGTACCGCACTGCTGACCTTGCTGTGCCAGGGACATCAACGGCCGGAAATGGGTCTACGTCGGCGCCATCTCCGTCTATGCCATCCTCAACATCGGCTGTGCCAAGGCGCTGAACCTTCCCATGTTGGTCATCTTCCAGTTCCTATGTGGAGCAGCCGGCAGTGTGGCCCTGTGTAATGTCGCTGGTACTATTGCCGACCTCTTTGGGGACTCGGACGGTGCTGGCCAGCCCAGTAAGCAGCTTCTGGATATGTTTTGAATCTCTCCGGGGATGACGGTGTCCACCATATTCGTAGTCTGGTCCACTACTTTCCTCAGAGCCCTGTTGTCAGGCTGCTTGCAGCTTTGGGCGGGCCAGGGGCACTTGGTGGCCAGCCCCTCCCCTTGTCCACATGACATGTGATGTGAGGTGGATATCTTGCTCGGTGCTTCGATAGCTGACTCCAGGTGCTGTAGTGGCCCTATTCGTCGCCTCCGCCAACTCCGGCCCGTCTATCGGCTCGCCCGTCGGGGAGTGGATTGCCGAGAACCCCAACATGGGCCTTCCGTGGATCTTCTGGATCAACGTCATCATAGGCGCTGCTTTCGCCATAGGCATGTGCTTCCTGCCAGAGACCCTCCCGCGGACCGTCATTGCGAGGGCCGTCAAGAAACACCAGGCTTCCAGCCCGGAGGAGGTCGCCGTTGCAGAGGAGAAGATCGATGTGCTGAAGGAGATGAGGTTCGTCACGACAATGGCCCTCAGGATCATGGTTACCGAGCCCATTGTGCTCTTCCTCGGCCTGTACAACGGCTTCGCCTACGGCCTTCTGTTCCTATACCTGGATGGCGTCTTCGACGTTTTCGTGTACAACAACGGATTGAGCTACATCGGGGCAGATCTCACTTACCTGAATTTCATAGTCGGTGTGAGTAGACGTCCCGCGCAACTATGGCACCATCCGAGACGCGGCCATCTGCCTTGTGCTCGGTCTCAGTGTGCCAGTAGTCGAGCTCACCTCGCCTCCCTCGCCCCACAAGTTAGCTGATACCAGGATAGGTGACCATCATGTTCTGTATCGTTCCCTTGCAGACCTACCTTTACAGGAAAGACCGTCTCAAGCACGGCACCAACCGTCCCGAGGCCCGCTTCCTTACTTCTCTGGTCGGCGTCTGGGGGTTCCCCATCTCATTACTGTGGTTCGCGTTCACCGACGATGGGTATGTATCCACGCCACGCCCCCGACTCAACTGTGACCCATGGCCTGCTCTGAGGGGTCCAATGGCTCCCTGAGCAGGCTCCTCAGCAACGCAGACCGCCAGACAGTCTTGCTAACAGGATAATATTCAGGTCCGTAAGCTTCTGGTCACCTGTCGTCGCTGGCGGCCTTCTGGCCGTCTGCGACCCCCTGCTCTGGCTGGCCATGTTGAATTACCTGACAGACTCTTATCCGAGCGTCGCCGCCTCAGCTGTCGCCGCCTTCCTGATCCCGTCGTTTCTGATCGCCGCGGGCCTTGCGCACGCAGGCATCGCCATGTTTGAAAACATGACTACCAAGTGGGCTATGGCGACGCTGGGGTTCATCTCGTTTGGCCTGGTCGCCCTGGTCTATGTCTTGTACTTCTTCGGTCCTCGGATCAGGGCGAGGTCGAAGCTCGCTCGGAAGTCATAGGACGTGCAGTATCGAAGCTTCTACAGCGCGCCAGGGGGACTCGCCGTCGGCACGTCGACGGTTGGCTGTAGCCCTGCCAGAATAGCCAGATAGCAGTTTTCTATACCATGCCTCGGGCGTCAAGCTTTCATCAGAGTTTGGGTGTTGCCCAGTCTGTCACGTATGTCCCGGAACCCGTGGTAAGTTCCCGCCAGCATCCACAGCATACAGTACGACAAGATAATATAAGCATGTTCCCTGCTAATTCTCTGGCCAGACATGCCTTGTCACTCACGAATCCCCCGGCCTTGGGATGATGGCGCCACATTGCTCCTCCGGAGCTCGGCAGTATGGCATGACCACCCAGCACATGCTCTCATCGGTCCTCCATACTGTCGATCATTTTCGGCAGAAGCAGATCGTTGAAGGCCCAGAGTATGGTGGTGAATTGGGCCGCAAACGCCCCTCCCGTCCACCACGTGGAGCGATGGCCCTGGAGGGCGTACTGTGCCTGGATAAACCCAGCCCTGATTTCGTCGGCGTCTGCACACATACGCGCCGGACCGTGGTCCTGAAATGCAGCAAATTGAAGCGACTCGTCAGTGGTGGCCAGCACTCCACTTTCCACCGTCTTGTTAAACCCATCCACAACAAGGCCCCGCGCTCCGGCCGCGTCAAAGCCAGCGTCGGTGACCATGAGGAATCGGAAAAGGTCACTGTCCTAGCCGAAGTAGTCGAACCGCGAGTTGAATGGTGGAAGGGGAAGTGCCGTCCAGTTTGATGGCTCGGCGGCGGCCGGCATGTTGGTCAAGGACTGATTCACAACCAGGGACGGGTTTCTCACCGCGCCGACGTAGACGTTCGAGGGTCGGAACTTGGAGAAGACGGCCGACTCGCTCGCGTCCAAATCAAAGGGGGCCATGTTGTCAGTACTAGGCTCGATAGCGATCAGAAGCCGCTGGGCTCTAATCCGCTTCCTGTTGCCGTTTGCGGCCTCCACGACGACTGTGACACCCGTGTCATCGGCGCCACGTACAGATGACATCACGGTACTGGAATAAAGAACATCTTGGCCGAGCAGATCGCCGATCTTCCGGTACAGCTCGTGATTGTCCCCTGACACCGGGACCACGTTGCTGGTCTCTCCAAATAATACGCCCGTCAAGGGTGCTCCTTTGCCCTGCATCACGTACATTGTGGGAATATTCATCCTGCACTTTGTCAGCAGGGTTTTCTCGATATTTACATATCACACATGGGTGGCGAGGCCCATTGCACGTGAATGAAGGGCCGCGTCTGTCAGTATCACTCACATGTCGCCAAGACCCACGCCAGTCAGCTGAAAGAGTCGCGGTACGGCGGCCGAGATGTTGTACCTGGCCACGAAGTCTCTGAACAAAAGAGTAAAGTCCTCGGGAATTTCACCCGGCAGCGGGAAATCAAAGTAGCCCGGCAACAGCAGTTGCTCGTATCGCTTGCACAGTCCATGATACGTTTTGAGAGCAGCAAGCGCTTCGGCACTTGTGGGGGCGGTGTAGTTGTCCAGGGCCCGGCCAGTTGTAAAGTCCACGTACTTGGTAGTTGTCACGAGAGGGAATACAGAGACAAGGCAGCTGTCCTCAATACGTCAATTCAGATTAAGACGGCGCTACCTTCTATGTAAGGAAGAAGTCTTATGGAAATCGCAAGGCAGGGGTTTTATGCCTGAGGGGTGTGGGGCCCAGAGCCTCAGTGAATGCCTGCAGTCAATGGGGTCCTTTACCCATACACCCACTCACAGGAGTAAGGGAAGTCTGGGACTTTACCACGACGGACATGTTCATGCGTTTGGTTATGAAGTCCGTGGTATTCTTGTAGGTAGTCCAAGCCTGGACCCCAGCATTGATGGGCTTCCCGGTGAGAGAGGATCTTGACACGTCTCGGTGAGCCCGCCCTGCGACAGGCAGTCAGTACTGAAAGTCGGTGCGGCGGCAACATGCTGGCTCACAAGTCTATCTCTCTTCTCGACCAGCATGATAGTCTTTCCCATGTCGCGCAGCTTGACCGCTGCGTGTGCTCCTGAGGCGCCACCCCCTACTACAACCACATCGCGGTTGACTACTTCGTCGGTGATGTCAGAAACCCCACCCGCGGCAGCAACGAGTGCAATGAGCACCAGGGGTGTAGCGAGACGCATTGCTTGTGGCCGGAAGATCCCCCACGAGGGCGATGGTTGCGTGTACTAATCAGAGCTGTCCCTGGAAGTGATGATCTGCGGTGTGTGCACGGGTGTCTCTGATTACCAGCTAATTACGGAATTGTCTCACCATATGGACAGGAGTTGGGGGAACTTGGTGGCTCTGACGCATTGTCGAGGTGATTATAGCAGTACTTGATGAAGCAATGAAGCAAACGATAGTTGATTGTTGTGTTAAGGAGAGAATTCTCTCCGCTATTAAACGTTTGGAAGGAGCTTATTTATAGGCTAGCGTTAATATATAGGCATATAACCCTTGCACCTTTCAACATACCCCTCATTATAAATATTATTATCTTAATAATAATAAGAGATATTATATTTTAATAATTAAAATGTAGTTTAAATATTTTATTATAATTTATATTAAAATTATTATATAAATATTATTAAATATTTATATATTTTACTTATATTATTTTTAATTAATTATTTTAATATTTATTTAATAATATAAACTTTATATTTATTTTAATTATAATCTTATTTAAGTTTTTTTACGAATGAAATAAAGTAATATTTTTATATAAATATTAATAAAATTATTTTTAAATATAATATAATAAATATTATATATTTCTTTAATTCTTTTATAAATAAAATAATAATAAATAATAATATATTTTAATTAAGCATTAACTTTATAATTTTAAATAAGGTTTAATATTAATTAATTATTAATATATAAAATAAATAAATGCTTAATATATTTAATATATAAATATTTTAATATTTAAATTCTTTAATAAAATATATAATAATATTAAGAAATATATTATATATTTTATCTTATAAATAAATTTTATAATAATAAATTAATGCTTTAATAATTAAGTAATTAAGTTATTATTAAAGAGTTATATATATTTATTAAATGCTTTTAAATTATTTAAATTAATATTATAAAAAGTATTAATATATATATAAAGTATAATAAATTAAAATAATAATATTTATTTTAAAAATCTTAAAATATAATTTAATATATATTAAATATATTAAAATAAGTTTTTTATAATATTTAAATATTAAATTATAAACTTTATATTAAATATTAATAATATTATATATAAAAATATAAAGTTAAGTTTTATTTTAATTATAAGAAAATTAATAAGTTTAATAAATAATTAATATATTATTATATTTATTATAATATTATTAAGCTTTTTTATTATAAAAATAAATTTAAATTTATAAAGGTTTACTTTTAATTATAATTAATTTTATTAAAATATTTTAAAATTTATTAAATATATTTTTTAAAAAAAATATAAATATTATTATTAATTTATATTATTTTTAATTTAAATAAATATTTATATAAATTAAAATCCTTATATTTAAAATATTATATAAATTTAATATAAAAGTTATTAATTAAAAAAAAATTTTAAAATAATTTATTTTAAAATAATTAATTTTAATTAATATTAAGTTTATAATAATATTTATATTTTTTTAGCTTTTTATAAAAGCTAAATTTATTATTTTTAAAAATTATATAACTTTTATAATATAAAAAGTTTAATAATAATGAATTATAATATTAATTATTTTAATTTTATAAGTTTTATAAGTTTAAATAAATTATTAATAAACTTTATATTATTAATAAGCTTCTTTAATTAAAATATTAATAATATTTTTATTTTAAGTAATATAATTTTATTTAATTAATTAATTATTTATATAATTTTTATTATTAAAATAAATTAAGTAATATAATTTAATATTATAATTTTAATAATCTTTTATAATAATATATATAAAATTAAAAATAATTTTACTTTTAACTTTAAATTTTATAAAATATACTTTTTAAACTTTATTTAATAATTTTATTTTTAACTTATAAGCTTTAATAAAAATATAAAAAAAATATAAAATAAAAATATAATTAAAAATATTTAATATTAAACTTTTATTTATAAAATACCTTAAATAATATTATTTAATATAATAAAGCTAAGTATAATTTTTAATTTTATAAATATATTATATAAAAAATTAATTTAAGTTATAAAAATAAATAATTATAAAGTTATTAATAAAACTAGCTTATAATAAAAAGCATTAATTAACTTATAACTTTATTAAATATAATAAGCTTAAGCTATATTTAAGCTATATTATAAGCTTATATTAAGCTTAATCTTTTTACGTAATAAGCGTATATTTATATAATAAATATATAAAAATAAGCCCTTTTAAAGCTCCTTTCTTTTTTATAATATTATAATTTATAACTTTTTTAAAATACTTTTTAATAGCTACTTAAGATTAACTTATTATATTAAATTAAAATTTTTAAATTATATAAAGGAAAGATATTTATATTATAATAAAAAAAATTTAATAAATAAGTTATTATTTTTCTTTAAAGGAATATAATTAATTTTTTTTTTAATTAACTTTAATACTTAATTATAAAATTACTTAAAATATATTTTAACCCCTTTAATTATTTATAATAATGTTAATTAACTTTATTAATAAATTTATTATATTACTTTTTATAATAATATTTTATTAATTTATAAAGCTTAAAATATATATAAGCTTTTTTATTTTATTTTTTATTTAATATAAATTATTTTTAATAAAACCTTTATTTAATAAAAATAAAAATACTTTTATAATTTAAAAAATTATAATATAATATAAGCTTTTTATTAATAAAAACTTTCTTAAAAGTCCTTAAAAGCATTAAACCTTTTTATAAAGCCAGCTATTTTCCAAGGTTTAAATATAAATAGCAATATTTTATAAATAAGGCAGCCATTAAAATAAAATAAAATGCTATTTATTGCTAATAAAATAAACCGCTTAGTTAAAAGATTAATAAGTTTTAATTATAATTAAAAATACTTAATAATATATAAGTGCCATATTATTATATTAAAAATGAGCCACTTAAATAAATGGGGAATAGGTTTTGCTAAACCCTCTTAAGGATAACTTAAGAAGGAGCTTTAACGCAATAAAAAGGGAAAATAGAAATAAAAGGAAGCTAAAAAAGGGAAAAGGCAAGTATTTTAAAAATTCTTAAAAATAAGAAAAGCTTAATTAAAGTATTAAATATATATAAAAAAAAATTAATTTCTTTAAAAATATTTAAAATAAGCATAAAAGCTAGTTTTTTATAGTTAGCTAAAATTTAATATAATACCATTTCTTATATATTTCCTTATACTTATTAATATACCCTTCTTTAAGTACTTTGTAATAAGTATTATAAAGATTATTAAAATAAAACCTTATTATCTTAAATTAAGCCTTTAAGTTTTAAAATTTACCTTATTATAATCTTAATTATTATTACCATTTTTAATTCCTTACTTACTTATCTTATTATAACTTTTGCTTTTTTATAAAAGCTTTAAATATTCTTAAAACTTACTTAGCAATATATTTATTAATTATATCCTTTTAGCTATTAAAATTTAATTTAATAGCTAACATTAATATAATTATTAAAAATTTAAATACCTTTATAAAATAAAAAGTAAATTTATTCTTTTTTTTAATTATTATATTAAGTATAATATATTAGCTTTATTAATTTTTACTTTTATTTTTTATAAAGCTTTTATTTTTAAGTTTTATGCCTTATATTTAATTACTTAATTAGCTTATTTATAAGCCTTTTAAATTATTCTTAAGTAAACTTTATTATTATTTTAACTATTTTAAGTTAGCTAATACACTTTAAGTTTTATCTATATTTATTATAAAAATAAATAAGTAAAAAAGATCCTTATATATATTAAGGCAAGCATTTCTTGCTAACTTTAAAATATCTTATAATATAATACTTAAGCTAAAGGCTTATTTAATTAAAGTTTTTCTTAGCTAATTTTAAGTTATATAAAAGTTTATACCTTATTATATATTAAACATTTAAAATTAAGTTATTAAATTAATTTATATTAAAAGTATTATTTCCTTTATGCCTTTCTTATAATTAATAGCAATCTTAATATATTATGATTTAAATAGCCGTTATTAAATAATCTCCCTTTATAATAAAAGCCCATTTCTTATTTTAATTACTTTCATACCATTAATCCTAATAAAGGAAATTAATATAAATATTTAAATAGCTTTACTAATCCCATTAAGCTTTAATTAAATAATAAATATTTAAATAGCAATATTAGCAATAGCTTTAAGCATTATAAGGTATATAATTTTAATTAAAAAAGCCTTAGCCTAATCCTATACCTTTTATTTATTCTTTTCTTAATTTTCCCTAAAATAGTTTTTAATAAACTTAACAACATATTATTTATAAAATACTTTATTAATTTATTTTAATTTTAATATAAATCTTTCATTAAAATCTTACATTTTATTTTTTAAAGCAGCTATTAAATATTTATAAATAAATACTTTAATATCCTTATTTATTTTACTATTTCCATCTCTTAATATAAGATTATTCCATAGCAAGCAATAATTCTCCATCTTATTAAAAATTATTATTATTTAATAATTAAGCATATAAATAAGTATAATAATAAATTTATAATCCTTAATTAATTTATATTATTAATATTTTATAAGTAAAGTATAATTATAATATAAAGGTTCTTTAAATAAAAATATAATATCTTAAAAGTTAAAAAGCTATTAAATTATAAGGGCTATAATATATTAAGTTTTTAATTTTTTATATTTATAAAGCATTCCTTTTATATTAAAAAAATTAAGGGTAAGAAAGATTTAATATTATTTTATTAAATTTATTAACTTAGCTAGTTTTTTTAACTTAAAATAAAGATTAATATTTAAGAAATATTCTTATATTATCTTTATAAGCTTATTATTAAATATTATTTATTTTATATTAAAGAATAATAATTAATTAAAGGTTTAAATTTATTAAATATTATTTAAGCAAACCTTATTTATAATAATTCTTATTTTAAAAGAAT